CGCATGTCTGCACTTTTTCGATATTGAGGATGGCATGTGCGGTGGGGAGGGAGCCTGCTGATAGCACAGGATGCAGTGATTTTCCTGGAGTCGCGCTGACTGAGTGAACCTCGGATTGAAGGGCAGACATAGATAACCACCTGCAGGGATTCACATCTCGTTCCATTTAACCACCTCTGGAATTCTCACAAGGGAAAATCAAGGATGCTGGAAACACCACAGAAAGAAACCAACAACCAAAGATGTTGTTTCTTAGGGCAATTAGAATGAAATTGCCTGAAACAGCAGACAGGCACAGCACCTAAAGCAAAGAAGAGTGTCATGTTTACATCATTGATATGCTGTCATGGTCTGCATCCTGCGTCCCTTCATGTGTTCTCCAGCCCCCTCTAGGTTCCCCTTATGTGCCTCCTTGTGTTCCCCAGCCCCACTCCAGGTTCTCCCCTCAGGTTGTTGTGTCCCTTTAGGTCTCCAACCCCTCCAGGTGTCCCTCTGGGATCCCCCACATGTGTACCTAAGCTTCCTGTGCCCCTGCTTGTCTCCAGCTCCCACCAGGTTTCCCAGGTTCACTTGTTCTTTAGTTTTCTTTGTATTTGTGTTGTCTAGCTATTTTTTCCCTGTAGTTTCAGAGGTTCGGTTCCTTCCTTGGTCCTTCCCCACCGGTTCATTGGTTCTCCTTTCCTCCTCAGATCCAGGGTATCCGCGGGTCCTTAAAAAGTCTTAAAAAGTGTTAAATTTGCTTTTCCAAATTTAAGGCCTTAAAAATCCGTAAAAATGACAAATAATCCTTAAATACAGTTTCCAAAGGTCTTAAATTACCAAAGACCCAATAAACAAGATTATTGTTGTATTGTAATTTTCATGAATTTCTAGTTAGTGTTCAGCATTTTTTGTGTATGATATTGGCGTAAGCGGAACCGTACACATTCAGTTGGTTGTGAAAGGGGGCTGTTTAAGATGAGCACACTAGCTGGTTAAGCTAGTGGGAGCTTGCGCCATGGGGACGTGCAACTTTTATGGTAACTGGATGGCTAATCTCACGTTCGCGACGTGGTTCGCACCGGTTCCAGGCAATAGCTGGAAATTATAGTTTAAATTTAATTTTAAAAAATAGCTTAAATTTGGTCAAAGTGGCCTTAAACAAGGTCTTAAAAAGTCTTACATTTGGCTCCCTTAAATCTGCAGATACCCGGCAGATCATTAGTTATTTGTCTTGTTCTTATAGGCTTTAGGTTTGGTTATTATTCATATGTCATGTTTTATTTCCCCTCCTCAGCTCAGATTCCTCTCCCTGATTAGTAAATAGATTTCACCAGGTTTTTCCTCTCCCCACGCACCTGCAGCTCATCTCCCAATCATCCTGCCCCTGTGTGTAAAACCCTGTCTGCGTCTCAATGTGTTGTTGGTTCATTGTCCTTGTCAGCGTTGTTTTGTCGTCTGTCCCCCCCTCCAGGTCTCTATGTTTCTGGCTTTATGCCCTTCTAGGATTTTTGGCTTCTTGCCCCTCCAGAGTTTTTGGCTTGTGCCCTTCTAGGATTTATTTTTTGGCTTCTAGCCCTTCCAGGATTTTTGGCTTCGCGCCCTTCTAGGTTTAATTTAGTGTTTGTCATTCTCAATAAAGAATGTTTTCCTTTACATCCTTTCCTGCCTCGTGTCTTTCTCGGTGTCTGCGCATTGGGTCCAACTCCTCCAACTCACAGCGTGACAGCGAGATGTGAAACTATACTATCCTTTCAAATGTGCGTCTCCCTACACTCCCACTACATCAAAGCGAAACATGGAGTCCTATTAAAAACAATGAGTCCTAGAGCATGAAGGTGTCTTAACAGTAAAAACATACATAATTCTCTTATTCTCTTTGAGTAGTTCCAAATTGTAAAAATGGAAGCTATAAAGAGAGAACTCTTGGCATGGTACACCTTGATGTGCAGGTGCCTATAATACTGAAATAAGTCATCCGAGAGTGGAGAGGAGAAAACAGATGGTCTCCATAAAGCATGGCGTAAAGCTCCCCCAGATGTTGGGAGGTAGTTGGAGATCCCGTGACAAGCAGTGTGAGGGAGGGTCTGGTAATGCAGAGAGTATTAGTGGTCTCTTTATGGGTGCGTTAGGTGCTGCGGAGGGGAACGCGGGGGTCTGCCACTGAAGCTGTCTGTGAGCTGCTACCAGGTTTTTATGCTTTGATGAACCTACCCTTGAAAAACCGGGACATCCGTAACCGTATTCGGCCAAGCCCGCGCAACTCCTCCCTCTCTTTATCCTCCTGGAAAACATAAATCAGTTTCTCATATCATCATCTAGTCATGTTCCATGCATATGCAGCTCTAATCAGTAAATCTGTCAGCCTTCCCACCTTTCAGTGATATATCAGATCCGTAATACTCTCCTATATATGCGGTAAATCTCCAACAAATCCTGCGTTTCGTAAAACTCAAAGACGGAGCTGCATGAACTGAAGAACTTCACTTCAGAACAGATATCAAGACCAGTTCGGCCTTGGATGAGTCGGTACTGATGGCTTCAGTGAGCTCCAATGTGTCTTCTTACCACTAAAAAAAGTAAGCCAGACTGGAGGTCAGAATACATTTCCTGAGTTGGTTGTCCACGTTGTGGACTAGCATAACCCTTCAGTCTGATTAATGGCTGTGCACTGTCTAATGAACAGTAATTGAATGGTTTAATGCAGCAAGTCCTTAAAAGCCCAGAGGAGTCGTCTTCCTCTGCCTAGCTCTCTGGAAAAGCAAGGCGGTGACATTGTCTACAGTTGATTATGGCTGACCTTGGATGGGGAAACTGAGGCCTTTGTAATGGCTAACCTTCGCTTCGGGGAATAGGAGCAAGTAAAAACAGATGAAAAACAAATGGAATGGACTTGCATTGGCAAAGAAAAGGAATGGATCAATGCCTCCGTCAATGACCATTCGATTTTTTTATCACAAAAAAGGGAGAGGAAGACAATTGATCAAACATTCCTCATTTCATTGGCATTTCTAACAATATTAATTAAGAAAAAGTGCTTAGCTGACTGGTTAATAAATCAGCCAATACGGTTAAATCAAAACAAATGATGGTTGTAAACACAATGCTACAACAGAAAGTACAAATCTACCCTTGTCCACGTTTCATCAAAGCATCTCCAACACAGACATACTTTGCTGTCAGAGAAATCAATCAGCTCCTTAACGGAGTACCCTCTAAAGGCAACCTTCAAAGAGCCCAACAAAAGTCAGTCAGGTGATTATAAGAAAAGCCTTGATAAATGTGAATCAAGCTCCAGACCGTCATTTTTCTGCTCTCTGTCACCGAGATAGCCGGCTTTAACTCTCAGCGGACATCTTCACTTGGCAGAGATGCTGAATCTCGTTATTCTTTATTTGGCCCAGACCACACAGGTCAATATCACACGCACAGCGGCGCGTCACCGGAGAACTGTCTGCAAATGCATTTAAATCCAATGCAATAAATCGTTTAAAGCTCCAGATGAAAAACGTAATCATGTAATTGAATTTGGTCATCAATATCTGCTATACACACGCACGTATGCGGGCATTTTTAGAGCGTATACGGGGCGTCGGGGTGGGAGGAAATCTGTCAGAACTCAGCTGAAAGCATGAGTCATAGCGGTGCAGTTATCACTCATTATTATTCACAGCCCTCTGAATGATGAGGCCGCTGACGACGAGACGGCGACCGTCTGTTTGGCCTCAAAGGGAGAAGAGGAGAGCGTGTGGAAGATAATTAGACTTTGAGATTGGTTAAGACTCACCTCCTGAGTTGTCGTTTCAGATCTGACATCAAACTTTGTGTTTTATTCTTGATAAAATGTATTTTAAAAGTCCACTTTTAGGTTTTGAGTATTCAGACGAGAAGTGCTGACACACCTCAGAAGAGATTTCAGCCTTTTAAGTCGGTCTTTATTAGCTGATTGATTAAAAAATGTGCTTAGCACGATAATTACTGCAAAAAAGAGCTGCTGAGTCTGTGCAAGATGTATTATTTTTATTATTATTATTGTTATTATTTTCTATTATCTAACAATCATCCCCCCCGATCTATAGCCATTTGAATTAGCAACATCCATGTATGACTAAAAGCAATAAGTAATTAATTAAACTATTTATGAGCTCTTTAGCCAGGGTCATAACTGCCCCTCAGAAGTCAATAATTATCCCAATAAGAATATCTTTATTACAAAAGTGCATACAGCAGCAAAATCATCACCACGCCAAAACATTCCCCCTGCGGTGTAATTGCCACTGCTTGGAATTATAGTTTTCATTAAAAAGAAATGTCTGAGATTATTGATTGCTTAAATAAGACTCAATATCTTCTCATTTCCAAGCCGAACGAAATTGCACGGAATAGTAATATCACCCAACTATTGTGGGCATTCATCACAGTTGCACGGCCCCGTAGCGCTGTCCCTTGGGGATTATTAGAGTAAAATAAGTGTATTTAAATTACTGTAATTTCTGGGAACCGGAGATCTGTGCAAAACACATCTGCACACCCTGTTCGGATGTACTACATCGCCATGACCGTGAACAACAACCAGGGGTAAAGGACAGAAATGAAATGCAGAGTCTGGCTTCTACTTTTACCGTGAACATGTCATGTTGTGAAATATATCCAGTACATTATTCCTCTGGCTACAGCTAAACCCTCAACATGCATAAAACCTAAAGTACACCTGTCAGTGAAGTATTTTAACTCATTTTTCAATCTTTTATCACTTTCCGCGCCCTGAAAAATTTACATGCTGGTAAAAAAAGAGCAAATAATCCACAGACACACTAAATAAACAGGTTTTTCAACTATTAGATGAAAATATGGTTGCAGCGAGCAGGTCTACGTGACCCTCGTGCAATTATGAAAATGATGATTACCATAATTGCTGGTTAGACCATTTTATGTGACCTAATTCCAAGGCAAGTGAGAAAATTGGACATAATAATGAACTGAATATGAGACTTTGCTGCGTAAACTTACAAAAACAGCATTTATGTGTTTTGGGATCCTTCATATGAAGACTGCTGCAGAGACTCGGCATCTGAATCGTCCTGAGAGGCATTCATGTCACCCACGTCCTCCACGTCCACGTGTTCTTCTTCTACTGTCTTAGCCTCAACCTGCATGGAAGGACAACACCAGATCCTCTTTGGCTTCACTTACATATTGATTTTGTGATATGTGATTATCATGAGACTCGTTGAGAACATAAAATCTAATTATGATGTACTAGAAGTACATTTTCCATTGTGATTGAAGCTGAAGGACATAGAAAACAGGAACATTTTGCTGGAGAGACAAAATCTGCAGACGTATTTAATCAAACCCAAAGACTATAAATTTAGACTTGACAGAAAATGCTTTTAGACAGTAATCCATTTCTAATGAGCCTTTTTGGTTCAGAGACCGTATGCTAAACAGCTCATCGGGTGTTTGGGATTATGTTTTACCTGATCAATTGGCAGGTCCACTTGCACCTGGCGGTCATCCTGCACCTCTGTCGCTCCTGCCGTCTCATTCCTTTTGCTTTGTGCGTTGAACACGCTGCTCTCTGGGAAAAGTGATTAATCACAATTACTTCATCCTCTGGCAGCCACCCTCTCACTCGTCTGCACTCCCTTGTTTCTCTCCCTCCATCCCTCACTGCCCTCATGTCCTCTCCTTTTTCCTCTCCTGCTCAAATTCAGAAGAGATCAATACCACTGTCGAGCCATTTATTTATTTAGAGTGGTCCTTCAGAAGGAAGGGCCACAGACGGCTGTCCTGCTGGCTTGAGTCTTCCACTCTTACTTAAATATACCTAATTTACTCTGCAGTGTTACACTGGTTTCCCCTTGTAAACAAATCCTTTCATGTCTGCAACTCCTGGATCTGATATAAGGTGGGATGTGAATAATGAAGCACACTATTGAGCTTGATTCTAACACAGTTGCCCTAAGTGTTTTATTTAAATAATAAATCCCCACGTATGTTTGATTAATCAGTCGTAAGGCAAAGGAGCTGCGGACACAGGAAACGCTAGAAAAACTGAGGAATAATGTATGGAATATTGTGTCTAGCTCCAAGCTTGTTTACAGTCTCATTGTTTTTTCAGATAAATATTATTTTAGATCTATTTTCAGACAAACTTACTAAGATAAAAGAAAAACACAAGGCTCTGATCCTTTACGAGGCTTGTGGACGCTACTAGTAGCGCTTTTCTATTTCTAAGGTTCGGAGGGTTGAATTAGTAATAAAGGAGACATAAAATTCTGAACTTTTCTGAGTTTGGGAGTGAAGTTCCTGGGAAGAAACCACACAAGAGATATTATTATGGGATAATGGCGGTGTGTTATTATATCTTACAGGGAGCGTAATGGACCATTATCCCTTCATATCAGGTTTTCAATCTGTGGTTAGAGAACTGACATCGTTCTGGACACACATGATTATACCTTCATATTTACCTTTTCAAAACAGAATCATAATGTTTGTAACAGGTGGAAAATTGAAGGGATGGTAGGTTTCAAAAGTATCAAATACCAGATCCACCATCATGGCTGGGGTAGTAACTTGGCCCCAAACTGCACAGAATGTAAAACATATGCAGCAGCTAACATCTGTACAATTTGATCAAATGTCCCCAAATAAAAGCTGATAAACGTCATCAGAACATTTCTGGACTTTAAAACTGGACATAGTTTACCCTATGCTAAAGTTTAGGCTGAGCCTGTTCTCCTTAATGTGGCATTTTTTGATTCTTTTCAAAGTTTTAATGTCAATTGGATCAATTTACAAATGTTTTTAATTGTGGTTTTTTTCTAGGTGCATGTTGTAGGTTTTTGTCCTTTTGACCTTTACTTCAAATGTATTTTATTGACATTTAGCTTCATAATATATTTACAGTACCCAGTGGTGCTGCAAGGTTGTCATTGGGCAAAGCGTGCTGTTGTCTGGTGCAGATAGGCTACGCTAGCTAGTGGCTCCATTCTCTGATGGAGACTTTCCAAGCAGTTTGGATACAAACAAGGACATGTTCAGCAGAGCAGTTGGGAAGAAGGAGGAGAATGGGATGGCCAAAAGCAGACAACATATACGTAGGCTGCCAATTGGAGCTGTCGTAGTGGCCGGCCGCCATCTTGGATGGGTCTCCATTTGTCCCCTGTATGTTCATTTCTACTGAGGAAGGTGCTTACCCAACTTAAAAGAAAGCTCATTTAATTATGCTTATCACCAAATCAGATATATGGCATGCAAATTAAAATATAAATATAATAACATAAAATAAATAGAAACATTAAATCCCAACAGGTAGACTAGAATAGTGAATAGTAATACCACGTGATCAGTTTTCAATAGTACACCAGCTGTTGCAGCTGAGGCTGCAAAAGAAACGGGCATAGTTGTTCACCCTGCATTGACTCCAGTTGGGTTTGAAGCGTGAGGAACCCACCAAATATGGCGGTGATGCCGTTACGTTCTCCAGCGCCCTGTGGGGCGCCTACGTACTCATGTCTATGTGGCCAACAACTCTGAAGTTGTGATTCTGACTTCAAAGTGTGTCCACCTTCTGGGGCCCCCTTGTGGCCAGGAGATCCCAATCAACTGTCCGCCCTGCCTGCTGGCATGAGGCACCTCTGATAGTGCCTGTGTGACAATTAAAAAATTCAAACAAATCACTAGGTTCTGCTCCTTTTTAATAATCTGCTGATTACGTTTTATTAATAATACACTGCACTGCATCAGCCAATCATTTGGACTCCCACATCACCAGAAAATGAAAGCATTTCATTTCCAACTTTGTAGTTAACAAGGCTTTCAGCAGTCATATTCAACAAAATTGCCTGATTGAATTCATCTATGATTTAAGCCCCCTTGATAGCATTTGAAGTCTTGTTCCGTTTAATATTCACAGAAAAGTGATTCAAAGTGCACTGAGCCGCATTCTGTGTGGACTCAACAGAAGAAGTCGAGGTTGATAAAAAAAAAAAAGGTCAGCTTCACCTGCCAAATGTTAGATTTGTTGGTATTCCCAGCACACGCTGGACTGGTATCTGCTTTCCGATGATGCACACACATCCAGACGTGTTTGTGCCAAAATGAAACCATATAAATTTGTAATCAAACAAGAGCAGTCGTCTTGCTCATTGTTCTACTGAAGAAAGAATATGTTGGAGGAGCAAACAGTGAGCAGGCTGGAGAAGAAGAAAGTGAGGGATATGCAGTGACTGAAATGCTCTGCTTACCCCCCGCTGAGAAGAGTGCTGGGATTTTGGACACCTGCCTCCGCTGTTCCACGGTCTCCATATTGGCTGTGTGCTCCTTCATCTGGCCCCTGGCTGTGAGCTTAAGGTCCTTTTTAAAGAATACCTGAGCACACAACACGGAGAAACTAAAGCGAGCAGAAAGCAAGCACCCAAATAATGTTTTGTGTGTTTCTTTGAAGCTTTTTTACTCATTTTCTAAAAAGGAAGACAAAACATGACAAGGAAACTTGTTGAACCTCTTTTCAACACTCTTTTTTTTTACATTTTCCACTGACCTCAATTTTTCATGAGCTGCTATATTTTGCAGCTACCCCGTGACTTCTACTGTATTGAATCCATCTGGTTCCAATACATCCCATGCACAACCTATCAATCACACAGGGAGCGTGGCAAACTAATCATTTATTGATGAAACGGGGCAGCCATGAATTTCTAACTGCATTTGTCTTATTTATCAAGCCAGATCAAACAATGAAAATCCAAACAAGCCTAAAGGGAAAGGGGGGGAGTTGCAGGGAATAAGTTATTCTTCAGCTGTAGACAGCAGAACGTTATGGATGGAGGGAGGGAGAGGTGGGGTGGGGACGAAAAAATAAAATAAAATAAAAGGTTTGGGGGTTGCGCAGTGGCACAGTGGTTAGAGCTGTTGCCTTGCAGCGAGAAGGTCCTAGGTTCGATTCCCGGCCTGGGATCTTTCTGCATGGAGTTTGCATGTTCTCCCTGTGCATGTGTGGGTTCTCTCCGGGTACTCCGGCTTCCTCCCACAGTCCAAAAACATGACTGTTAGGTTAATTGGTCTGTATAAATTGTCCTTAGGTGTGAGTTGTGTACATGGTTGTTTTTCCTGTGTGTCTCTGTGTTGCCCTGCGATGCTCTCTGTCCAGGGTGTACCCTGCCTACTTGCCCGCTGACTGCTGGAGATAGGCACCAGCCCCCCGCGACCCTGCGTGGACAAAGCGGGTTCAGAAGATGGACGAAGGTTTGGGATTCAGTTGCACAGTGGGGGAGCAAAGGAGTGAGAGAGGAATCGAAGAAAGAGAAGGAGAGAGCAGTGGGGAGAGTTCAGACTGATGTTCAAACAGCAGGGTACACATCTGAATTAATGCTTCCACAAAAGGCAATTTTCTCCTTGCAGGCTCCTCATCCCCTCTGTAGGTAGCAAGGTGAGGTATGTCTCCCTTGCAGAGAGTGAGCAAACTCTGTGTTTCTTTTCACTCTTTACACCGCGGTCCCTGGGCTGGCTCCGGGGATAGTGTAGTCATCTCAGGCTTCCACCAGAATACACTCCTGGCTGTGGTGTTTGCAAGCTCACTAACATGGCATCTGGGGAATAGCAGAGCTGCTTCTTCACTTGTTTGCTTCTCTTTAATGCAAAGACAATGTCTGTTGTTGTTCTTTTGAATTTCTACAGAGGGGCTGAGGAAGAAAAAAAAAGGCAAGCAACAAAAGAAAGACTGAATTTTGCTCAGTTGTTGTATATCCAGCGAATGGGAGTTGAAATGGAGTTCATGTTCTGGTGCTGTAGTGTCCACAGTCACAGCAGATCAAAGGGAGAAGTGGCACAGTCGCAGCGGTAAGCCGGTCGGTTTCGTAACCTCAGCTCATGTGTGACTGATGTGAAATGTGTCACGATAAAGTTCAGGATCAAAACCCATCTGGCCAATCAAATATTGAGCAGCTTGTTTTTTGCTTGTTGACAGCCCAGCAGTGAGATTTAAATAGATCAAAATATAAATCAACAACATTAAATCAAGACAGTCTCACTCTGGGAGAGTGGTGAGGAGGGTGCAGAGGAGGGGGGGGGCTGGGAACGTATACGTAGACGCACAACTGGAAACACGGCAGTGGAAAGGCTGAGGTCATTCAGCCTCTCCTTCTGCATTACATATCTACAGCAGCATGTCCTCCAGGAGCAGACAAGTGTGTATCTGGAGGCCCCATCAGTTAGTGCAGAGGAGCAGAATCTGTGGTCCTCTCAAGTAGCAAAGAACAAGAGTCAACAAGAGGACACTTTGATATGATAGCCAGGGGAAAATGGAGGTCCCAAACAATTGGGACTGACCAGCCTCCAGTCAAAGTGACTGCAGTATCAGCAGGAGCCGCTCCCAGGGCTGCTCTGCAGTCGGTAGACATGCTGGCAGCAGGGTGGAGGAATGGGGTTCCTCTGGGCATTGCTGCTTCCTCTCACCAGTGAGATCATACACGAAGAGCTGAGAAATCACTTCATGCAGTCAAGTTCATGCAGTCGTTTAGAGCTGACACTTCTATTACATTATTCTATGTTCCTTGTTTAAAATTTCTCTACACTCTAAAAAACTGAAACGTTGAATTTACTTAACCGAGCTATGTCAGATTCCACTGAACTTAGTTGTTTTGAAGTGATTATGTGCATTTTTCCTGGCAATAGGGGGGAGTACATACCTAAATCATTGCAAGCAGGCAGTATTTTTGTGTTCGAGTAAGACCTTATCAACGAATGGCCAATAGGTTCAAAAATCCCCAGGAGCACAATTTTTGATCTTTGAGTTCTTTGTCAGATCGTTCAACCTGCAGCTAAATGACAAACACATCAGACTCCCTTCCATCACTGGCAATGAGCGATGAGGAAAATGTGTAAGACAACAACGTTTATGAATGGTGAAAGTTTTATAATCGCTTGTTACAAATCAGTAAATGTGTTTTGTCCTCATAGGCTTATGTAGAAGGAAACAGTGCATCTAATATGGCTTCGCCCAGAAACTTAGACCCGCGTCAATTTATCAAAGACCCGATTTTCATGGTTATATGTTACAAAGCCACCAGTCGTTTTCAAAAACTGGGCATCGTTCTGCTTATTTTCAACAACATTTCGATGGATGTTTCCAGAGATTAATGGTAAAAACTACACACTGTCATTTTAAAGTAACAATACGTGCCCCGCTTCTCCCTCTTATTGGTTGAAAGAGGTATTACAAAGCGTTAACAACGCTGCTGCAGCCTGTTGTTGCTAGCACTAAAAACAAGCTAACACTAAAGTGAGCCAATTGATGCTAGATAAGCCACAAAGTTTGAAGATTTGAAACATATTTATAAAAATATTATTGCTGAGAATTCTAGTTAGCAACAAAACCAAGTCACCATCAGTCCATGATTTCGTAGTCTCCTTTAGCTCCCTCTAACAACTTCAGGCCACAGCGATGCTCACTCTGGTTTTAACTTGTTGCTTTCCAAAGTCATAACTGTCTTACCTTTACTTCCAGGTCTCGCCATGATGCCAACAAAAAAAATGTCAATTTCTACTTCTTCTTCTTCTACTTTACAATAGAACCTAACAACTCCAGCGGCTTCTGGTGTTTAATTCTTCTCAGATGAAAAGTGAAAAATTCTGAGATCAGACATACATTCATACATGACAAGAATTGATGACTGGTCATTCGCAACCCGAGTCGCGCTATCGTAATAGATCAAGAGGGTTTATATGAGGATAGAGTCGGGGAGAGGGGAAAAAAAGGCACTTCAGAGTTTCTCTCACCCGAGAGGGTAGCTTTGCTATGCAAAAAAACACCTCAGACAGAAATGCACACATTTCAGACATTACACAACATAAGTGTCCACTAGGTGGGGAGGTAAGGTTGGGACTCTCCTCACTTCGGTGTGTGCAGCCGCATGAGAGCAGCGCTTATCACCTCTGTTTGGACGGGAGGGAGATGAATGGGTTGGAGAGCACAGTGACTCCTAGATATGGTTCCATGGCCTTCACTGGTCACAGTCCTGCCCAGGCTGGGAGAGGGAGAAAGAGTTGCCTAGCGACGACAGCATTCCACATTTCTTCTGAGGGGGGAGTTTTTACTTCAGCCTCACAGGCTCAAGGGCATCAGATTCAGATAAGGATTGTTTTCGGGACAGACAGAGATCATTTCCTCTCTGCCTTAGAGTTCTGTTGGTCATCAACCCCTCTAGATCCAATAATGGCGTAATTAATCAATCCCAATTCGTGCTGATCCGTCCACAACTCTATCCTTGATGGAATCCACCTTCTTTGCCAGAGCCTGAATCTCAGCCAAAGTTCCAAGCTTACGACTCATCTTGACAATTATATGAGTGTGTTCGTTCACAGTGCGATGCATTTCATCCCTGAGCTCTGGGATTGAGCCAATATTCCTCGAAAGCTTGTTAATTTTCCGGTAAGCCAGGTAACCGCTCAGGCCAAACAGCAGGAATCCTGACACCAAAACCATGAATATCCAGACATCTTCAGAATCCTCTACAGACGAGAGAGGCAGATCAGGTTCCATTGTTTCCAGGAGTCCATGATATACCCAGCTGGCTCTGTCCCAAAGGGGCATCCGGGAGCCTCTTATCCCATTCTCATCGTTGAAAAAATTTTGTCAATCACGTTGAGTGACCAGCTGACCAGGTCTGTTTTTAATAACTTCCAGTTTCCAGAAAAAATGCAGAAGCGCCGTGCACACAAGACAGGACAAAGAGCCTTGGTATAAGAGGGAGGGAGAGGAGAAAAAAGCATCTATACTCTCCAAGAGCCGGAAGAGCAACTAGGTTTAGTGGAACCAGTTGACATAACTTGGTTTAGTACATTCTACGTTTCTTTTTTTCTCCTCTTTTTCGACTTCTAACTAAAGTCGGCATTTATGTTGGCTCCCTTGAAAAACGTGGTAGGTTTCTGTCTGCAGGCCAGATGTCCCGTTCATCTGTGCAGAGACAGAACACTTCTGGTGAAGACAGGACAGGACACACACTGTCTCCATACAGCGAAGGCTGCATGAAGCAAGGTTACATTTTACACAGCCTCTGTGGGCATGTTTAAAGGATGTCTTTACAGGCATTTCCAGCCAGACTGCTGTTGTTTTGTGAGGTCAAACTGAAATTAACGGCGGACGTGACCCTATAAACGCACGTGCAATCAGTAAGCTACACGGCCAGCAGATTCACGAAAGAGGAGAGTCGTTTTGGTCATGTGTATTTTTCCCTTATGGAGGAGCCCTATTAACTGATGGGTTCATGTTTACAGATTCATGAGGGATCAGACACAGAGGCAGGGGAAGTCAAATGCAGCAGATTCACATCCTGTGAGAGACATTTACTACAACGAGTCTGGTGGGTATAAAACCCAGCCATAGGCCTGTCTCTGTCTCCACCTCATGGCGCTGAATGAAATGACAAAATAAAGTCTTTATGAATGAGCTGAAGTAAGTTTAATGAAAATGTTGTTTTCATTGATTGGTTCATGCTTGAATGAGTGACATTATGGAGAGCAGCTCTTAGAAAAGCACAAGCACGTTAACTCTTCCTAATAAGATGCTGATAACTTGCCGTATCTCTGAGTTTAAAACTGGAGACGAGGCCTGGGGTATTTTTCTCCATCTAGTAAAAATGGCACCTGCAACAGCACGGCCATCTTTCATGGTTAGAAAAATCAGATGTCATCTCTCACAAGCCCCCCACCCCCCCACCCCCACCCCATCTTCCTCAACCTGCTGACAGAGCATGTTCTCATCTTCACCAGCTGATTTGGCGTTCATCTCAGGCCCACAGCAGCACAATCCTCACACGGGTTCAACGCTTTTCGCCGTCTACTTAATCACAATACAAATTGTCCTGGTTCTGGTATGAATGAGGTCTTTTTTTTTCAGTAAGAGAAGTCCCTCCTGATGCATACAGTATGATCCATCTGTGAGGCTCGCTGCACTTGATCAAGTGGACCGGTCTGTCTCTGTGGGGATCGCCCATCAAAGTGGAAAGCAATGGTAACTCAATGCCTCTTGCAGACAGTGATTGATGATGGTGCTGTCTCGTAACGAATTGCACCCCCCACACACCCTCCACAACAAGCCTCACACAAGTGAGAGATGTTAATTGAAATGCTGGGCGTGCAAACGGCTGTGATTCAACCAAAGTGTTCCTGCAATAAACCGGAGGGAATGTTGGGAGGAAAAAATGTAATTTCACATGTTAGGAGACAGAAAATAAACCTTTCCCAAACGGAATACTCACTGCATCCTTCTGAGGTTTTTTCCTTTCATTGTATTGGCTGCAGAAAAAATATATCACAGACACATTTATAACCCCGTCAAGACATTATGAGAAAAGTATTGTAATCTGACAAAAGACATGTTCCCTACCCCTCAGTTGTGTTGTTTTCCTTGGCTAAATCCCTGTGGGGGACCCATTGTTCATACGGAAGAGGTTTGAACTTTTCGGCACCAACTGCAACGTAATGCTGGTGATTCTCCAGTTCACCAGGACCAGAAACAGGACGTCCATCTAGTCTGCAAAGCCTGCGAAGTCAGAAAAGTCTTTCACCTGTTGTTCTCTGTTCTTCATACACATGCTCTGATTACGACTCCAGGAGAATCAGATCAGTTCCCAATGAAAATATCCTAACTCGGCATGATCGCAATTCCCATATAAGCAATGGCAACTCCGGGAGAAGTTTGCTGTGTGACGATGAAACACGTTGTTACCTGAAGACAGCTCCAGTGCGAAGAGCCACTTTCTCTGTCACCATGGATAAAACATTCTCCCAGCTTTTCAGCGTGTGCTTTGGGATCCGTATTCTAGCTGCAGGAATCAGTAACTCTCCGTTTGTGAAGACACTAAGAAACAGTTCGCACAAAATCCATGAGATTAAGCTTAGACCCTCACTAGGACAAAGCACATTATTCAGTTTGTGTTGGGATACTGACTTTATGGTGCAAACCCCATCCGTCACTTTCTTCCAGCGAGATGAAGCGACGATTCTGCTGTGAGCAACAGGTAGGATCTAACCAGAACAAATGTGGATTACTTTATATTCAAACTTTAGGAATCTTTTATTATGTCCCATTTAAAGACTGAAGCTGAATTGCTACGAGTATTCTCAGCCTAGTAGTGCATTGCTGTTTTTTTGTTTTGCACCTTGGTCTACTTCTATACTGTTAAGTGCTATGTGAATAAAGTTGACCAGACAAGTAGTTTTGTCTTTAAAGATGCAAAAAATACCCATTTTTAGTTGAATACACGGGCATATAAGAACAAAACGGACTCAAACACAAGATAAAAAGTGTCTCTTTAGGTAAAAAGAGTTTTTCAGAGTATTTAATGCTTCTCCCTTTGTTTATTTGTACTTATTTTGCTCTGACATTTTTTCCAACGTCGTCTGCTTGGTGTGTGGGAGGAAACCAGAGTTTCTGGGAAAAACGCACACATGCATGGGGAGAACCTGCTACCTTCTTGCTGCAAGGCAATAGCGTTACCAACTGTGCCACCGTGCAGCCATGGACATCACTAAAACATCACTAACCTGCACTACATCAGTACCTTTATTTTTCTACTAGCAAAATTTGAATTTAAAACTTTGATAAAGTCAGATTTCAGCTCAGAAAACGCATTTAAATACTTATATCAGTGCTTTTTTTCTATTGTTGCTCACAATGGCAAATGTTTTACAATTTTCATTATAGGTTTTGATATTTTATCAAAATATAAATAATTCCACTAGAAAATGTAACTGTGATGTAATTTTCATATGATTTAAGCTGAGATTTCATCATGTGGCTAAACTGTTAGCCACTTTATTTTGTAAACCTTTAAATAATGGATCTGACCTCTTTTTCACATTCAGAACCTCATTAAAGCTTCAAGTCACTGATTCAACGAGGAAATATAAATTCTTCGCTATTCTAGTTCTCGGTTTTTACTTCAGCAAGTCGTCTTCTCTACATCTAAATGCCTTCATGCGATTGGCTGATGAACTGTGAAAGTGGCTGGCGATTATAATCAAACAGCACATGAACAAAAACCTTAATTTGAATAAACACACCTATTCTTACCTGTTTTATTGTCCTATTCTGTGGCTTCATGTTGGTTATTCCTAGATAACTGAAAGACAATTAAAAATAGACTCAGCACTGATTAAACCAAGATCGTGTTTTTATATTTGCACCATTATTCAGGTAAAATGTGGGATTTAATTTTTATTTTTTATCCATAAAAAATAAAACTTAAGTCATAAGAAGAATTAAATAAATCAGGGCTGTGCGCAATCAAGAGTCCTTCATTTATGGGACAATAGTGTGAAAGATTTGTGCAAATTATTTAGCGGACAGTTATATTTTTTTTATTTAACTTACTTTTAACACATTTTCATCACATTCAAAAGGAAACTTGCCTAAACTGTCAAATACCGACATCTTTCCATTTCTCATACGTTTATGTAATCTGTATTTCAAATCTAAATCTAAATGTTAAATAAAAATCTTTTGATTGAACAATCAGGCTATACAGTAGATATAGATTTAACATTTTATTTCAACATTCAGATTTAAATCTAATATTTAGATTTAGATTTTACACAGAATAGAATAGAATAGAATAGAATAGAATAGAATAGAATAGGGTTTTATTGATCCTAAAGTGAGGAAATTAACTCATTACATCAGCAGAAAAAGATTTGAATCCAACATTTAGGTTTCAAATTCATTTTTAGATTAAAATCTAAATTTTAGATTTAGAATGGACATTTAGCTTTAACATTCAGCTTTAGACTAACTGAATTTTAGGTTTTAATGTAACATTTAGATTTAAGTATAACATTTAGAGTTAACATTCAGATTTAGATTTAACATTTAGCCTTGACTATTTCGATGAAACTTTTAGCAGAATTATTTAGATTTAGCCAAAAGTGTGTGAAATGTAATCATGTTGGTTTCGAGTCCATTTCCAATTTAAAATGGATGAAAGTGTGCTGAAAAAAGTTAAATGTAAAAAAAAACAGTGTGCTAAATCTTTTGCGTGAACAGTTCACATTTGGCATCACTCTTGTATTAAATGGCCTCCATATTTGTCTTTTACTTACTTCAAGGTTTTGAACACCTCATATCCGGCAGCCACGTAGGCATGGCCGTGCTTTAACTCCTCCAGGTGCTGAACCTTGTGGCCCTGCGTGGGGGTGTACAGCCTCCGAACGGCGCCAAACGGAGCTTCAATCTTCTTGGTCAAATTAGTCAGAAAGTTGTCGAAAGTCGTTACCTGATGCGGATTCACCACGACTTTTCTTCCCGGATAGAAAGCGTCCCCGTTCCTGTAGACTGTCACTGTCTTTGTCGGAGGCTGGTCCATTCTTCTCGACGTCCTCAGCATTTTGGGGTCGAGCGACAATAGAGCCAGTTGAATTAAAAGTCTAGACGTGCGGAGGGATGTGTTCAGAGAGCTATCTGAGACGTAACTGGAGACAACATCTGATATGGAGACCAATTCATCCTCATGAGAGGTGTAACACCAAGAAACCAATTATCTACCGCCTTTGTTGTTGTTTAGAGGATTATATTTATACTTATAAAGTGAATTTCATTCCGAACTCACCCGTTTCCATACCAACTAGTAGAGCAATGAATAATCTGGATATTTTTATTAGATTAACTGAATTTAAAAGTATCTCTGAATATTTATTGTATTTATTCTTTCAGAAGTGAATATAACTTGTTTCTCAAGCGGTTTCATTTAATCTATTTACTATTTTTTTTCTTCAATTCGTTCCCTTTTTTTTTTCTTTTTTTTTTGCAAATCCTTCAAAATGCTTTAAAAACCACAAAGGTAACTAGAGATTGCACCAACTAATTGGTTTATGGAAGATAGCTCCTGGTCAATTACCTGCATAATTCATCTCAGCATTAATTATTCATTACTTATGGGAGTGGTGTTGTGCTTTATTTGTAAAAATGCAGCATGCATGTTCAGATTGCCTTCATTGTTGAGGCACTATATAGAGTATCGTCTCAGGGAGGATTACTAGTAGCTGGCTGGACTGTGAGACAGGATCACACAGCTGAAAAACAAACCTATGGTGAGGTTTCTCCCATTCGCCATAAGTGCTGTCGTTTTGTTACACAGCACAATGAGTTATTAACATAAAGTAGTTCAAATAGCCCAAATGAAACAACTTTTGATACAACATATGGAAAAATATAGCTCAAACTAATTTCAGCAGTGACAATTTCACAATCAGAAGATTTTCTTGTTTTTTAGGTTTTTTATTTTTAAAAATGTTCATCGAATGAACGCTTTTCCTGCCAACTATTAAAAATCAACGCAATTCATCTTTACAACTTATTGATTACAAGTAAAACTGTTGTCATTCAATCAAATGGCAGGCAGCTTTAGTGTGCACCAGGAATAAAGCAATTACATTTTTATTTATTTAACTGTATATTTGCAGTTTTGATTCATTTGGAGGAATTTGGGTTATATCATATAACGTACAGTAATAATAATGTAAACGTAACAATGATAATATTTAGGCAAAAGTTATATATGGTAGTGATATTTGACTTTTTATTAAAATATTCCCATTTTCTTGTTTCTATTGTTTTTTTAAAGGATTTTTTTAGGTTCAGTGCTTAAATAAAATCCAGTTAAAACAAACATTTTATTGATGGGATGAAGTTATATTTACATAAAAGTACAATTCTTTATTACTACAAGTTATGAATTAAGAAAATGTATTCTTGATTTTCATTCGTTGCACAATATAAGGCATAACTAAGCAGATTAGTTTATGATTAGGGTCATTTTCTAGCACAAGAACAAGTGAAAGTTTGAAAATATCTCTTGCACAACAATTGTTTGTGACTAATATGTGAAGAACATTTTTCCCTGTCTCACCCTGCCACGTTTGGCACATCTGCTGCTGTAAATAACAGCAACCAGCTCAGCAATAGAAAATAATGTGCCATTTCCTTTTTTTCACAATATCCCTCGTTGTTTATTGCACAGCAATCACTACAAATCTTATTATGTGAATTTAAATGTAGAATGCATGCTGCACTCTATTTGTTTGATTAAAATCACTCAACTGGAACCAAAATCTGTTTTTTAATTGGATATTTTTCTGCACAATCAACAGCTTTCTGCTTTTTCTGCCTTGTTTTTCACTTTCACAGGATAGTTTTGCATAAAGTACAACTGAATACACTTCCTGCATGATGCTGGAAAACACGTTAGATGACAGAGTATGAGAATGAGGACGTAATTATTGGTAAAAAAAAAACATCAAACTAACATCAGGATTTTGCAGGCCCAGACCAACTGAGATGACACTGAAGAAAATATCTCGCTTGAAACGGCTCGATTGCAGTTTTCTTGCTTAATTTACAAGAGGACGCCAAAACACAAACCAACATTTGCTTGTATGTATTTAACTTGTCCAGGCTGGACTCAGATCATGGACGTAATTTTTTGGGGGGACAGGGGGGACATGTCCCCCCCACTTTTTCCAAAGTCAAGTTTTGACCCCTGCTCTTTTTACCATCCAAAAACAATATTACTTTATATTAAATTGACACTGGTTGAGCTTTAGGACCAAGCAGAAAACAACCGTTTGTGTTGAAGCCTGTTTCCCATTAGAACATACCGTAAAGATACCCCCCCACCCCCACCCCCATGTCCCCCCCCCCCCCACACACACACACTTCTAAAGTGAAAATTACGTCCATGCCTCAGATAGTATCTTTCTCAAACTCACAAATAAAATACATGGTAGGATGACAGGCTACATCCGTCCACTCCCCAGAGGCCACCATCTCTGTACAGTCCTCATCATCGTAGGCGTTGTTGGGCTCTCCTGTTCTCCAGTTGCTGAAGGTGGACATGGGGGACCGATCCACGTAGGTGAACTTGCCTTCGAGGTCCAGGTCGTGGATGCCAATGTAGACTCTGCTGAGGCCTGCTTGGGTTATGTATCCTGCTATGGCTGCGTTGGCCGCGTCGTCCTTCGGCATGGCCAGGTGCCCTCCCCTCGACTGACAGTAGACCTCTGCGTCGGCGAAGCGCTTCTCCTCCTTCACCAACAGATACACCTTACTGTCTGTCTCTTTAATGCCAGCAACAGCTGCAGGGGAGGGCAGTGCTGTAAAATGAGCACTGGATTTTTCTATAAATTTCTTACTGACATGTCCTTCCATTTCACTTCCAAAGTTACGAGCCGCTAACACCACATTTTTTTAAATTTCATTGATAATGAGAAGAATATTCCTACACACATGTTTACATTGGATTTATAAATAATCCTTAAGTAATACCATTTTTGATGAATTTCAGTTCTGAGGATAGTTGAGCCACGACAATATCCATTTCACCAATCATCTTTCTCATTGGTGCGCACTCACATGGAACACCTCATAAGGCAAAGATTTAGGAAGAATAATTAATTTTTCACCGTGTTTGTGTGTCATCCTACAATGATGTGCTGATTTCTCACCTGGTTCTCCGTTAGGACCACTTGGACCTGGGTCGCCCATATCTCCTTTCATCCCTGAGACAAAACATTTAATATGAATCGTGACTAAAATGTAATAAACCTGAGAGAAATACATCCCTGAAATCACCTTTCATTCCACTTGGTCCAAATTTCCCATGTTGTCCCATGATGCCTTTCTGTCCTTTAAGACCAGTTTGTCCTGAGAAAGGTGCACATTTTAGGAACGTTAAAATGTAATCTTTAAAAATGTTTCTCTAGAAGCAGCAATCCAGAGTTGACCCCCGTTCAGAGGCTCTGTATGATTTTTCAGGAATTTGTAAAAGTGATATAATCTAAGCTAATCTAATTTTTTTTGTCAAGTCCACCCCATCCCGTAGGGTCCCATGAAGTCTGATTCCAGTGCCGCTCAGCCTAAAGCCTAGTTTATACTTCTCCGTCAGCAACTTTGCGCTCATGTGCACACGTACTGACACATTAATACTTCTTCATTGGTGTGTCAGTGTTCTGAAGTAATTCTCCACCAGGACAGCAGAGGGCAGTGCACTTTTCTGGCTCATCCTGTCATTATTGCAGTGTGTTTGTGTTGTGGTTATGTATTTCAGACCTTTTAACATGGACAAATATGTCCTCCACTTCTTAATTCAGTTACCACCTTAAAAATTGCATTTCCTGTAGATGTATTATTTTTTATATCGTCTGACTCTTACCGCGAGATGTTTTTCATTCTGCTCTGTGTCTGTCTCTAGCTATGTTTGGCTCTCGTTTTATGTCTTTGAGGCAGAATGGCAGTGCTGCTGACAAAGTTAAAGGAAGCAGCATCCTGGCTGGTCACAGGCTTGTGGTCTCAGTCTCTCTTGACGAATATTTAGAAAAGTACAAGCCCACTGGAGAGCCTTTGCAACGACGGATAATGGTCTACACTGACATAGATGAAGAAGCTTAAACTAGGCTTAAGCCATTAATGTTAGACGTCTGCTTACGCACAGACATCAGTCACAGAGTGCGGGAAGGTATGCAGAAGTATTTAGACTGATGCAGAGTGGGCGACATTTTCAGACTGACAAAAATTCTAAGCAGGTTGAGGTAGCATTCAAGCTACACTGTAAACCTTAATAAGTTCACAGAACTCAAAACTTATTTGTAACAGACAACACAAAAATATTTAAGTGATGTTTTTAAATATTTTAAGTTTACATAAAATAAAAATTACATTTGCAGTTGCCTTAAATTATCTCAATGTTATCTTATAAAAATCGATATTCCTCGACTTATATTTAGGGAGTAAATCACTCAAGATTTTCATCATTTTTCAACTCATATTATTCAGAAAATGTACTCAAAATGTAAATGTTTTGTAACTCAAACTTGATAAGTGGATATAACTCAAAATTTTTGGTGTAACTGATTACATACTACACTAACCCAGATATGTTGCTAATTGCACATGACTCACACACACCCATTGATGCTGACAGCCGGTGAGAGTTGAACGCCCAAAGCCAAGTCAAATGCATCAGGTGTGAACCACCACAGTAATGATTAAAGTGGAACGGTACAGTGTAGTCATCCTTTTGACCAACTTCCTCACTTATGGTGCCAACGTCATACAAACAGAAACACCACATTTGCAACACTGAGGGAAGTAACAACTAGGAACAACAATCCCCCACAATAAACATGCATAAACACCCCAAAATAGAACAAAATTACTAAAAACATGACTATCCACAATGCACCTCACCCACCAGTTCTTTATTGTACCTGAAATCCACCAACATGGCTTGTTTGTGCTTGTTTTTTCCTATGAATCCACAAATATTTTAAGAAATATATAAGTCTGTTTATCAGACACACTTTAAGTTGACATAAAGATGGATAGATTAATATGGAAATGTAAAATAATAAATAAATAATTTTAGTACTTATTCAAGTAAAGTTGTCTTTATTGATTCGTTTAAGTTATGCCCACTAAAAATATATACACATTTTTCTGATTAATTAAATAGTTTGAAATCTATGTACTTAAAACAAAGAAAAGGTTGAACTAACTCAATACATTTGAGTTCTAAAAACTTTTTTTTAATTTATGAGTGTCACCTGCTCGATATTTTTGATTATTTTCAACATTTGGATTTACATTGTAGCTTGGTGTCCTAAGCTGATGGAGGCAGTGGTGCCTGCTGGGAACTGGGGAGTACTCTTGTTGGTTGGCAGCTCCTTCTAATGAATTTGCAACTCTATTGGTCAACTTCCATTGTTTTCTGTTCTTTTCTGTACACAGAGTAGCTTCGGCTCCTGCTGCTGCCTTCGTCAGAGCGGCGTTAATTTCGTCAGTGTTGCTTTAATGAAGGCAACAGCAGGAGCCGAAACCGTTCGCCAAAAAGGTAAAAACAAGAGTTGTTACTCTGTGTATAGAAATGAACCAAAACAATGGAATTAGAAATTCAACATGAACTTAGCGGGGCGACGGTGGCACAGGAGTTAAGTGCTCGTCCCGTAATCGAAAGGTTGCAGGTTCGAGCCCTGCTCAGTCTGTCGCTGTCGTTGTGTCCTTGGGCAAGACACTTAACCCACATTGCCTGCTGGTGGTGGTCGGAGGGACTGGTGGCGCCAGAGCTCGGCAGCCTCGCCTCTGTCAGTGCGCCCCAGGGCAGCTGTGGCTACATCGTAGTTCATCCCCACCAGTGTGTGAATGTGTGTGTGAATGGGTGAATGACTGATTGTGTTGTAAAGCGCCTTGGGGGTTCCAGGACTCTAGAAGGCGCTATATCAAATACAGGCCATTTACCATTTGACCATTTAACAAAGATCTAGCTATTGGTCAACGCAGTAGACTCCTGTTATTGATTCCTTTTGTTGTTGGAAATCACAGAACAGGGTCAGGCAGTCACATGTAAGCATTTTTAAGTTACTTTTAAAAATTTTAACTATGCACCCCAGCATTAAATTACAAATTAAAGTGCTCAACACCCTCCCCTCCTCATTAGGGCCTTTAATAAACACTCATCCACCACACTGGATTCCTTACATCCTTCCTCCTCCAACCGCCGACCCAAATGTAAACACTCGGACGTCTCTAGATTGCCTGCTAGTGATGTAACAGAACATTATCAGCTCAAGAAATGTGATCTTTGCCCCAGTTCCCGTTGCATGAGTTGAGGATGGGAAAAGGAGGGCATGTGCTCCTGTTTTAAAGGTTTTTGTACCTCGTAAGTCTAAAATACATTAAGAAATAAAAAAAGATATGTTTTAGCTGTTTTAGATTTGTATTTTACGTGTAGATGTTTACCAGTCTCTCCCTGTGGACCAAGTCTTCCCGGTCTTCCAGGTGCTCCTTTCTGTCCTTTGTCTCCTGGTTCTCCTTCAGCAAGAAAAAAAAACTGTTTTATTCAAAATTTATTTCTGGTTTTTTTTTTTACATTTGCTTGATGAGTAGAAAAACGGCTTTAAGGAGGAGGCATGCCTTTGAGTCCAGGGACTAGGATCTGAACCATGCAGGAGTCTTCAGCTGCATGTTGACCAAATGAAATCTGTACTGGTGAAAGGCTTATGGTGGCACACAGCAGCATCATAGGAAGCACCAGTTTTCTCCCTGTCATTCTTTTTCTATCACTAGACGATAGCCTTTAAAGGAGAAAGAGAACATAAATAAATAAATACAGAAAATTTTGGATTTTTCTAAATTTGTTGAAAACTTAAAAAGTATATTGTTATTTTAGAGGAAACCAAAATCTTAACTTTGTTTGGATGCTTCATTTAAAGACATCTGGATTAGCCTTTCACAGATCACACATGCTTGGCTTTTTATTAATAAACTAAACTTTAGCTTTGAACTCAGATACTTAATTTTCTTTGCCTAAAACATTCATTTGACTATAAAGTCTTGCTTACCTGTAGAAATTGTTAAAAATACAGAAAACAATTATTCCAAGTCACAAAGATTTGCAGGAGCTTCAGTAGCTGGTTGTCCAACAGGCGCATCTTGTGTTTCTCCACAGGCAACGCAGAATGTGTGTGTGTGTGTGTGTGTGTGTGTGTGCGTGCGTGCGTGCGTGCGTGTGTGTGTGTGTGTGTGTGTGTGTGTGTGTGTGTGTGTGTGTGTGTGTGTGTGTGTGTGTGTGTGTGTGTGTGTGTGTGTGTGTGTGTGTGTGTGTGTGGTAGGACTGTTATAAACATTTCACAGATAAAAGCTGAAGTATTTGGAGCCCTGCAGATAATTGGCTGGAAAAAGAAGTTCGATGATTGGGGCCTTAGATATTCCCAACCCCATGAGAACAAGATGATAACAATAAAAGTTTCATTCATTCACTATGATATGTGACTTTTTTCAGCACTTGAAGATGTTTATTAATAAATTACATTACATTCTTATAGGTAATATAAAATTAATATATTTAGTTACAATAATTTACCAGCAGGCTGCGCAGTGGAGCAGTGGTGAGAGCTGTAGCCTTGCAGCAAGAAGGTCCTGGGTGCGCTTCCCGGCCTGGGATCTTTCTGCATGGAGTTTGTATGTTGTCCCTGTGCATGCGTGGGTTCTCTCCAGGTCCTCCGGCTTCCTCCCACAGTCCAAAAACACGACTGTTAGGTGTGAGTGTTTGTGTGTGCATGGTTGTTTGTCCTGTGTGTCTCAGTGTTGCCCTGCAATAGACTGGACCTCTGTCCTGGGTGTAATCCGCCTGATTGCCCATTAACCGCTGGAGATAGGCACCAGCACCCCCCTTTTAATCCCTTTTAATGCAGGGATTATGTAACCACTTCGTATTAAACCACCAAATGGTTCCCGAGCGCGGCTGTGTCTGCAGCTCACCGCTCCCCCAGGGGATGGGTCAAATGCGGAGAACAAATTTCGCACACACACCTGTGTGTGTGACAACTGATGGGACTTTAACTTTAACTCAGAGACAAAAGAAAGAGAGTCAAGTTTTAAAAGTTTAAAGATTTATTACTAAACAAATTAAAACTAGACTAACTTTAAACAATAAATGTATGGTGTAACTAAGGTGAAGTGAGATGGAGAATGGTGTAATGTGGAATGTTGCTCAAAACCAGCAAATCCGGAGAAACGATTAGTTCTGATGGGCGTGAAGGTGATGTCTTTGCGCTAAGCTTTGATTTGGAGATTCATAACACACACTGAGACACCATTCTGCCGGTCTACGTACCCTTGGTGGAAGTCCCCGTCTAGATCAGGAGGTGTAGAGGTCCAGCTTGGACCTTTCTGGAACTGAAGCCTGTAGCCCAGCCGCGGCTGCCGACCAGTCCTGTCTTTGAGATACTCCCAGGTCACGACAGTTTTATTGGCATCTAGCGAGACACAAATAAGGGTCGTGATGATTCAGCTTTTATTCTGAAAGGAACCGTTGCAGCAGGTGGAACAGCAACAGATTTTATCCAGCTTGTCGTTGGTTCTTTCGGCTGAAGAGGAAAGTTACGGATTGGCCACTCTGACAACTTCTCTAGAAAGCTTTGAACTGGAGTTAAAGGTGATGTGGGCATAGTTTTATAATTTAGATGTTTTGATTTACGGTCAAATAAAAAAGGGACAGATTTACCAAGCACCACCAAAACCACGCCTCCGTCAGATCTGGAAAATTCTGATTGGATCAGTAAAAGCAATGTGTCATGTGGCTTAACCTGACGTGTAATCAGTCTCTAGTGGAAACATTTAAAGTTATATTACTTATTATATTCTATAGGATTATAATATCAAGTAATTCATATTTTCATTTCACAGAATGGTTCACATTTTATTATTGACATACACTTTGATTAGCTTTACTAAAAATAGAGTTCTTCTGATTTATTAAAAAGAAAGAGTCCTTTGTCTTCATTCTTCTCTTGAGCTGGAAAGGAGAAACAGTTTAGAAGCAGAGCATGAGACCTTGAGCAATATCTCTTGCTGAGGAGAGGGGGGAAATGACTTTTAGGTGGAAAACAGTCATTTCATTCTGTTACACATATTTGGATTTTACACTGAATGTATGAACTACTCAAATAAAGGAAATAATAATATTAATAACATGATATCAGCAAAATATTTTTTTCTGTGAGATGCGGCCATCTATATGCTAGATTTCTGATTTGAAAGACATGGCATGACATTACTGTTCTGCAGTGAAAATAAATGTAAAATGTAAGTAGTCAAGTCGAGTGAAGTCACATTTATTTATATAACACATTTAAAACAACATGAGAGCCGACCAAAGAAATATAAAAATTTAAATAAAGACATTTTCACTCCCAAGACATTTGTAAAAGTTAGTAGCCCTGGTTAAGTGGTGACAGATTTCCCTCTTTTTTTATAAGATGTTCCTCATCTTTGTGACCACCTGAGGGAGCCATTGTCCATGCAAGTATAAGAAATGAGCCTACATGTTCTTACACACACACACACACACACACACACACACACACACACACACACACACACACACACACACACACACACACACACACACACACACAATGACAGGAATCCCCCATTTATCAAAATGGGCTATTATCTTTCCAAGCTTCTATTTAAAAGATGCTGCAGAAACTCAAGTGTGTCAAGACACCGCTTTAGCTCTAATGAATCCTTGATTTTTTTTCTGGTATCACAATTTTTTTTTACATGCTGTCATCTTCTGTCAGTAATTAGATATGGTCCAGAAGAAAAGTATCAGATGTCCTAATTAGACTTACAAACCCCCTGGCAGCCACCGTTTCAACTGCAGATTAGGTGTCTCCTTCAAAAACACCCCCAAAAGTTTTAGGTTACCACCTTCTAAAATATTTATGGTTCTCAAGGCAACATTTGTAGCCTCTTTATGTCACCGAAGAGGTCATTTGTTCTTTTTGCATTTCATATAGTTTTATATAGATAAGCATGAACGCAAAGCAAACACCAAGTCACATAAAGTGGATTCATTGACCAGGAATTAAATTTGTTGCCATGTCTGCACACAAAAACAAAATAATTATTTGTTTTGTTTTTTAAATTATGTTATGTGGAAAATATGTGTGACGTCACAGCGTTAAATGAACATTTCTTTAAGGAAATATTTTCGAAAATAATGTATTTTTGTTTTTCAATCAAGACTCTTTTTCTTGTGCAAGACAGTACAAGGTGACTCGTAAAATTACGAGCTGCACGCCAACGCACCTCCCTGAATGACGTCAGCGGCGCTCACCGGGGCGCGAGCACAGGTTTCTGCTGCCGTTCATCCGTCCTGTACGCCCGCGGGAGGAAACGCAGCGCCTCATTTTGAGCCCCGCATGAAGGACATAAAAGCCACAGCTGTTCACCCGGGTCTTTGAAAGAAAACTCTTGTAAGTCTGCGAAGTTTTGTCAAACTTTTTATTTATAATCAACACAGCGAGTCAAACTTGTTGAAATGCTATTTGTTTATACAGTAACGTTTTAATATATTACCCTGTAATGGAAGTATCATTTATACTAATGTCTGAACCACATTAAAATTACAAAATATTTTTAATTGTAATAACTGCACAAAAATTGGTTTTAGATATAATTTTGTTTTCAGTATGCTTTTCCATGAATTATCAGATTTTATCCCATTTAATACTTATACTAATGCTGACTGTATGATACATCTCTAAAGGAGGAACCTTGCTTGTCCCCAGTAGTCACCATCCACTCCTGTGCATTTTCCATGCTCCTCTGGCCTGGTATGAAACAGGAAACAAATGGCAGGAAACAAGAGGCGTGTTTGTGTGTCCTCCTTTAACTCTGAGCCAGTTCAGTGTTCTAATCGTATGTTTATGTTTCCTTTTCTCTTTTGATTTGCATTGTCCTCTCTCTGATGGCTAATTTCTATTGGCCAGGCTTGGGTTTCTGGAAGCGCCTCACCTCTCTGTCAGGATTAGGGTCAAATACTAAGAGGATTTAACTCTGCAGAGTCAAAGTTTGTCATCAGGGACTGGTTTCAGTTTTGATTACAGCAAGGACACCAAGACTTTGTTGATTTTTTGGGAGAAATTCATCAGCGGGTTTTCATGTTGGCTTTCTGTGGTTAAGCAGAATTCCTCTGAGTGTTTTTCAGTGTGGAAAAAACAACTAAAACTTGTAAAATTGTGAGTCCTGGTGTGGCTTCTGTTGTTATTAGCTAACAAAAGCAGTTCCACTCCTCCACTTAACCAATGACATGTGCCAATGCAACCTTGATCCAACAATTCAAGGTTTGTGATAAAAAAACAAAAAAAAAACAAATACCCTTTATGCTTTTGTTATATTTTTCCTTTGCTAATGTTTAAAAGTGAGATTAAAGCCATGGGAATTATCTTCATAGAGTGCAAATATTTAAGACATTAGTCTTTATTTTTGTTGTTTATGTTGACCTTCAGTCATTGGATTGTACATCATGTACTTTAATGATGATGCAGGTTTTTAAATCCATGGTTCAAAAGGTTTTTACTCCACTTAACTGCATTTTTTCTCATACAGAGCACTTCCACGAGAAGTTTTGAGCTTCCTTGTTTTAGATTTGACTCTGGTTAGTTTTTTGCAAATGATGTAGTCCTGTTGGCTTCATCAGAAAGTGATCTGTGGCTCTCACTGGAGCTGTTTGCAGCTAAGAGTGAAGGAATTTAAGTATCTCGGGGTCTCTTTCACTAGTGAGGGAAAGACGGAGCGCAAATTTGACCGGCGGATCGGTGCTGCGTCTCCAGTGATGTGAGAGTTAGATCTTTCTGTCGTAGTGAAGAGAGAGCTGAGCCGAAAGTCAAAGCTCTCGATTTACCGTTCGATCTACGTTCCTACCTTCGCCTATGGTCATGGAATTTGGCAACCGAAAGAATAAGATCGCAGATACAAGTGGCCAAAATGTGTTTTCTCCGCAGGGTGGCTGGGCTCTCCCTTAGAGATAGGGTGAGAAGCTCGGTCATCTGGGAGGGGCTCGGAGTAGATCCGCTGCTCCTCTACATCAAGAAGATCCAGTTGAGGTGGCTCCGGCATCTAGTTAGAATGCCCCCTGGACTGATGAGGTTTTCCGGGCACGTCCAACCAGGAGGAGATCCAAATGAAGACCCAGGACACGCTGGAGAGACTATGTTTCTTGGCTGGCCAGGGAACGCCTTAGGCTTCCTCTGGAGGAGCTGGCCCAAGTGGCTGGGGAGAGGGAACTCTGGGCCTCCCTGCTTAGGCTGCTGCCCCCGTGACCCAACCCCTTATAAGTGTCCGAAAAAGGATGGATGCTACTACCCACACACGCTTTTTACTTGCACATCGTTTTCTTTAAGGTTGCAGACCATAAACCTAAAAACAATGAAATAAGACAAAATCAAGCGAAAGAGGAGGCGGAGAGTGGCAGACTAGAATCTAAACTAGTGGTACTCAATAGGCGGCCCCCTGTTTGTGGCCTATCTATCTATGTTATAAGTTGTTGAATTTAGTTACAACATAATAACAACATATTATGCATTAAGGTCGGTACAATGCATCTAGCACTGAGCCACTGGCATTTATAATTAAATGTACTTTGTTTATGGATCAATCAGATGCATTATTTAATGCTTGATTGCTATTCTTTGTGCATATTTGTCCAAACCACACAGAAATGTTTAACTGGACAGTTTTGGGGGTCATTAAGGGTTATGTCGTCCCCATCAAAGGGATTACAGGAACCCCCCTGGAGAAATCTCCAGTCACACAGCAGTGGGAAATCCTTTCTTATAAGATCAGTGGGCTGAATAACAGGTTAATGAAAAGCAAATCAGGCAGCAGCAGCTGGTCCAGTCCTGATTAAATAGTAAGAAATACTTAAAAAACAACAATGTTAATTAGTTTACCCATAAAGTTCTCATCTGAAGATTTTAATAAATGTCACTTTAGCTAGTTAAAATAGTCTTGTTTAAAAATTACGTATTTCTTGAATAAATACATTCTCCTCAATGCCTATCTTAATAAAAGATTAGGTTTTATCTGTTTTGGCTAACCCCAACCGTCATAAGATCTTATGTGATTCTTGTACTAAACATTGGTCCTCCACAAGGATGTGTCCTCGGTCCCCTCTATTTCACTATACTTGTGTGTGAATTCTTTGTAAGTTGGCATGCCAATCATAATAAAGAGTTTGCAGATTCTGTTGTTGGTTTGAACTCCAACAATGATGTCTAAAGATAGCAGAACGTGATGGAGGAGGAGCTTTCCTGTTGGTGTAAAGTGAACAACCTAAGCATCAGAGAGGGTGGTGGACGCTAACATGTTGTTGATGATATAAATAAATTATTCTGATAGATTTGTAGGAGTGTGTGTTCTGAATGGCTCAGTTGGTAGAACCTCAGATTTTAACTCAAAGTTGGAAACATTGACAAAATGTTTTTGCCCACATTTTCCCTTCTAGGCGATATCTTAATCACAGCACGTTATCGTTTCGAAGGTTTTTGAAGTCAAGCTTCCTTTCTGAATTAGCATTACTGACCTCAAATAGATCACATATGAACTGGATCTATAAACAAGCGCAGCATAAACTCGGCTATACAGTAGGAACTTCTGTGTGTCTGGTTTTACATGTGAGTGAATAGGTTTGCTCTTTTATGCTTTTCCTTTCTTTACAGTTGAGTGTCTGTACTGAGTGGAGGTGAGTCATGGAGGATGGGAAGCCAGTGTGGGCGCCCCACCCTACCGACGGGTTCCAGCTGGGCACGATCATTGACATAGGAGCCGACACACTCACCATAGAACCACTGAACCAGAAGGGGAAGGTGGGTCACCGCACACGCACACCAACCGCAACTCTCAATTTACATGCAATTTACAAACTCTGAGAAACACGTCGGGGACACTGTTTGGGTTCTGTGCACTCATCCCAGGCGAGTCATCGCCATGCACTTAAAGATTCACGTGTACCAGTCAGAAAAATGTTAGTTTGTGGCCGGCTCAAGTGTGACTTTTAGGTTGGAAGGCATTAGCACAACAGTGTGTGAAATGTGAGAAACATGAGAGACCACATGTACAGAAACATAAATAAGTAAAGAGCGGCAGCAGGTGTGCTGATAGCGTTGCCTGGAGTTGGTGCAGCTCATTAGGAGGTAAAAGCCACCTGTTACACCTGAGTCGTCAAGCGTTAGCCCTCTGATGTTTACAGCAGACATGCTAGCAGCAGCTGCTTCTGTTTGTTTTGTCTGAAGGGCAATTTCACCTCCAGTTAAAAAAATGTTCACTGCAGAAATTGTTGCTTAAAATGTTTGATAACTTATTTTATTTATTTAGTTTTTTTTATCTCTCAGAGCTTTGCATTTTCATCATCATCAGTTTTAGTTTCAGGTTAGGAACATGGTTTTTATTTGAATTAGCTGTAAAAGGTTACGATGTAAAGAAATAACTTGGGCATTATCGTTATTAAACGGCTAAGACTTGTCAAGGTGACACAGTGGAAATATAGGGGCATCATGGCAAAACATATGATGTAGAAAGCAAATAGTGTGTTTGCTGTCATGCGGAGGATAGTGGGAAAAGTCTGTTTAGCTTCAGAGATACTACTTACTGTTTGAGGCCTATCTGCTGAGCTATAATGGTGGAGAGCAGCGGGAAGACAAGAAATGGAAAGTTTGTGTTTGCTAAATAAAGCTCAGGTGAAGTAAACTTATTAAAGATTGGAAATGTTCACATAGTTTTGAATCATTTTGAATAAATTACATTTATTTATTTATTTATTTATTTATTTATTTATTATACAACAGGGGTGTCAAATGTGCGGCCCGCAGGCCAGATACGGCCCGCAAGCGGGTTAAATTCGGCCCGCGGGATGGTTGTGTAAAGTTTATTTTCATACTTTACAATGTAGAGTGAAAATAAACTTATCTTTGTGAGCAAGTTTTCTCTGTAATGAGTATAAATAAAACAAAGCTGCGCTCAAAGCTCACACAAGAACGTGAATCACATCCTGAAGTTGGCCGACACTCAGGATGTGACTTGATGTGCTGGTGAAAGCTAAAAGATGTAAAGTAAAATGAGTCAAATATATTTTAAGTGCTGCATGAAACTGATCTAGCCATGTGATCTGTAAGCTCTTTGAATCACTAAGGAATGTTTTTTTTATTGATTGATTTTTTTTCTTCTAATTTTCAAGTACACTTCAGGTGTCATACTTGTACTATTTTGGATACACTGTCCTCAGGCTCCAGCTTTGTTTTAAATTGATTGTATTAAAACAAAGAAAACAATCTGAAGTTGTTTTTAATTTACCGGTCCGGCCCACTTGGGACTAGATTTCCCTCAATGTGGCCCCTGAGCTAAAATGAGTTTGACACCCCTGTTCTCTGCAGGGTGTCTGGGTTCTTCCTTAGAGATAGGGTGAGAAGCTCGGGAGGGGCTCGGAGTAGACCCGATGCTCCTCCACATCGAGAGGAGCCAGTTGAGTGGCTCGGGCATCTAGTTAGGATGCCTCCAGTACGCCTCCCTGGTGAGGTTTTCGGGGTACGTCCGACTGGTAGAAGACCTAAAGGAACGCTAGAGAGAGTATGTCTTACAGCTGGCCAGGAAACGCCTTAGGATTGCCCCGGAGGAGCTGGTCCAAGTGGCTGGGAAAAGGGAAGTCTGGGCTTCCCTGCTTAAGCTACTGCCCTCGCGACCCGACCCCGGATAAGCAGCCGAAAATGGATGGATATTTTTTATGGTTGCAAAATTTTAATTATTACAAAAATTAAATTCCTCTGTACAGAACTGAGCCTCATTAGAATGGGACCCTCAGCCAGGAAACCCCTTTTATCACAGTCAACTTTATTGGTTGGGCATTTTTCACATGGCCGGCAGTGCTGTGGGTGTTTTTGCCAAGACCCTGCAGCAGGCACACAATGCTCACTCTGTTTATGACTGCCGGCTGTCTGTGCTAATAAATCATGCATCACTGTGCAGTGGATCGAGTTCACACTGACAACCAGTGGCATTAATGTGCATTATTGGTAAGTGTGTTCTGAAAATTAAATATAATGAAGAAAAGCTGTTTATTGAATTAGCATCGAGCTACATATTGTATGGTTGCCTCGAGATAGCCGGAGCGATTAGCTAATTAAGATGTTTAATTTTTAAAAGCAGGGTTTTGTCTTTTAATAAAAAACATGATAGGTTCTTTAGACGAGAGCTCCGCATCATCATCACACCAGACTCAGTCAGGTGTTCAGATCTTGTTGCTCTCCCTCCAAATAATTCATCACCCTGCCATGTCTCTCCTTGTTTCTCTCACAGCCGACTTGTTCCATTGAGTTTATTTCCATTAACTCAGACTTTGAAACAATAGAGTGAGAGCAACGGTAACTAACTCATCCTGTGAACATGCTGCATCAGACATCATTAATGCAATCTTTAAGCATAATTAATGTTTCATGTTTTTTTTGGCTGTTTCTCTTGTTCATTGTGTTTTTGAACACTAATCAACATTTATTTTGATCCCTAAGCTTGCCCAAGAACTAAAAATAAACATTAAATTTAAAAATAAATATTAGGATGATTGAATCATAAACTCTGATCCATTTTGCAGACATTTCTTGCTCCGATAAGCGAAGTCTTCCCAGCAGAGGATGATGTCAACAAATACGTCGATGACAACTGTAAGTTTTCACAGGTTCAGCTAAAAATGTATTTTTTCTTATTTCATTAGAATTTCATTTTTATGATGTCCCTGCTTTTCCAGGTTCCCTCATGTACTTAAATGAAGCCACTCTTCTCAACAACGTCAGAGTGCGATACAATAAAGACCACATCTACGTATGTTTTTCTTTCCTATTGAAATAAAGCATCTTTTAGGGCACATGTATACTCTGTTGTTGTGGGTGAAACGTGTCATTGTCCAATTAGATTTGATTTAGAGAACAAAAATCCAGCTGCAAAAGAGCTAAGTGAAGCTAAACAACAGTCAGACTGTCAAACTTAAAGCCACGTCTCATACTTCGCACACATACACATGAATAGCCTTGTAGCGCTGACACAATGGTTTTGAAATGTTCCTGCTCAGACACACCTGATTCTAGCTGCTGGATTATCATTTCATCCCTCATCAGTTTCTACAAGAGCTGCTAATCACTAGTTTAAATCAAATCTGGAGCATTCAACAGGGAAACATCTAAAACCAGCAGGAAAGCAGCACTCGCGATGATAGCACAGCCCTGCTAATGCTAAAACAAAAGTCTGATGTAGCTCAAAGTTGAACGCTGCACTTAGCTCCAATACAAAGTAAAAAAAAAATCCCTATTCGACCCATTCCCTCGTATTCCACAGTTAGCTTAAAGTTCATAGATTGACATTAAATCAAGTTAGCATTCAAGCTAGGCTGGTGTGCTAAGCTGATGGAAGTGCGTCCATCTTACAAAGAAAATGAAATTTAATAGATTTGCAATAGTGGTCAATGCTTCCCAAATAAATGATTTGTTTTACTGTAAAGGCTAAAGGAGGCACACCGTGGATATATAAATGATAAAATATTACCTAGAACAGGGTCAAATAATCAAACGTAAGGGCTGGGATGATAACAAATAAATCAATTAATCGTACCATAGATGAAAATGAACTCAATAATTTTCCTAGCCTCAATGTAATGAGGTTAAGAAATGTACAACTTTTTTATTATTAGTTATTATCATTGTTGAAGTGCAGTTTTGGTCGTTGACACTGGATAGGCCATTGTGTTTATTGTTTTTGAGAGACAGGGTCTATTTTATTGTTTTTGGTGCAATCCTTTTTTATTTATTTCTGTTTTGTTTATTTTATTTATTTATTTATTTATTTAGAAGTTCTGGTTCTGGACATTCCAATGTTTTAAATGTGAAAGAGTGTACTTGCATTTTTATGATATATTAACATTACACAAGTGATTATTTTGGTCTCAATGATGTCGACAATAATATCGTTTAATGTCAATAATTTGTGGCACAACATATCATCCAGAAAAATGTGTTATCGTCCCAGGCCTAAACATGTGCATTTTTTGAAATTACTTTAAATAAGCTAGCTTAAAGGTGTTTTCATTTTTACATATCTTAAATTATGTAACTGTAATTATACTTACGGTCACCTCTTTTGCAGACATTTGTGGCTAACATCCTAATAGCTGTTAATCCTTACTATGACATACCCAAGCTGTACGGCCCCGATGCCATCAAGTCATACCAAGGAAAGTCGCTAGGAACTCTGCCACCTCATGTCTATGCTATAGGTGAGAGCGTCTTAAGATTCAAGCTTGGTGCTTCCTGCTTAGCAAACATGGGTAGCTCAAACCTACCAACACGGACTATTTATTTTCATGTCTTCACACTGAATCGCTGCCATTCGCTACACTTTTGTCTTTGCTCTGTTGGTCTCATTATTACTGTTTGGAAGGTTTGAATAAAAATGAATCATGAGAGTTTTCTTTACTTGTCATATCGTAGAAATGACATTTTACCTTTATCTATTTCTTCAAACCTATAAAATGTGAATCCCGTGTGTCAAACTCAAGTTAGTTATATGCTAAGTTTGCCATTATCAACATTTTTAGTTTATTGATTTTTTATTGTGCCTTATTGTTTTTAGCAGATTTGGGAAACTTTGTTTTGATGTGGAAATGATCCTCCGCTGTGTTTTTTTTTTTTTTTTTTTTTTTTTTTTGTTACGACAATCGTAATATTTGATGTATGAATAATACCACAATGGAAGTAACCAGCGATACATTTTCGTCTGTTTTAGCGGACAAAAGCTACAGAGACATGAAGGTTTTGAAGATTAGTCAGTCCATCATAGTTTCTGGAGAATCTGGTGCTGGAAAGACAGAAAACACCAAGTTTGTTCTCAGGTATACTTCCACGTAAATGTGTGTTCTGTTTTCCTTATGTTTCTGTCCTTTCAGTTTGGGAATAATTTTACACATTTCTGTTCATATCCCCTTAAATGGTTTACTCTTACTTTCCTACTCAGGTGTCTGGATTAATTTGTTTAAAACACAATCAGCATATTGATCAAGTGTCATGGTTGCAGTGCTACCTATTTAATGTTATTCTTTGGCTTCAAGTCTGCAAACAAACAGATATCTGATATGCACAAAGTACAGATGACGAAGCTGAAATGCAAAATCCTCCATATATTGAAACCAAAGTCTGCAGGAAGCCAATAAACCAACAAAGCCAGCTTTGTAGGTGTCAATAACATCCACCATAATGCTTCTTTACCATGTTTAAAAGTCAAATTAGCATCAGAAATAGTCTTTATGTCTTTATGAGATGGACTTTGTTTTTACCACATCTGCTGAGCGCATGCATCTGTTTTGCAAGTAAAAACATCAGTGGCTGCCTTGTTTACAGATATCTGACAACAACATATGGAAGTGGTCAAGATATTGATGAGAGAATTGTAGAAGGTAATACATAGAAACTTGTGTATGTATTATTTAAAAATGGGTTGATGTTGATGTTATTTTGTTGTTGTTTTTTTACCACATCAGCAAATCCCCTTCTCGAGGCTTTTGGAAACGCAAAAACAGTTCGCAACAATAACAGCAGTCGATTTGGAAAATTTGTGGAAATCCACTTCAATGACAAGGTAAGCATTCATGTTAGTTTTATGATCTATGAGTTGTAGAGTTTCCTGACTAAATTTGTGTTTGTGTGCCACCAGAATGCTGTTGTGGGAGGGTTCGTATCACACTACCTGTTGGAGAAGTCCAGGATTTGCATGCAGAGTAACGAGGAGAGGAACTACCACATCTTCTACAGGCTGTGTGCCGGAGCCTCAAAGGACCTGAAGGAGAAATTACACCTGGACTCTCCGGACAATTTCAGGGTCAGTTTTAAAGTCATGTTTTTCAGAAAAAGGTCAGATTTTATTTAATTCTGAGCAAAAATATGGATAAGGCCCTTTAGAGTATTTATTTCTTTATTTTTTTGCTGCAATGAAACAGAAAACCAAACCTGCCTAATGATCATTTTGTATAAAAAATAACATTTTTCATAAAATAGTCAATAAGAAACTCCCACTGATTCAAATTGAGTGGCCATTTTCTGAAATTTCACTTTTGAGAGCAATTATCATCTCCACAATTTCCAAATGCATATACATCACCTTACGCCAACTCTTTATTTTCTCCTTCATGCTCAGTGCATTATCAATTACCAGAACAAGCCCCTGAGGCTTCCCAGCACTAATACAAGTGTTTGATGTCATTTTCAGCTGTGAAAGCCATAGTCAAGCACCCCAGGAGAGAATTACAGGGTTCTTTTGAGTGCTTGAAATCCTTGAAAATTCCTGAATGTGGTATTTTCAATGTTTTTAAGTGCTTGATGTAGTTTTTGAACATTTACTTTTCTGAAAAACAAAGTAAAATAATCATTTAAAGAGCAAGTTCTTTGAGAAACCGCTTTCTATTTGATCGGTCAGTTTTTATGATCTCCATTCCCTGCATGAGCTGCCAAAAGACAATAAATGGGGAAAATGCTCGGATCAGAAAATACACAAATCTACATCACACGGTAAATTAGCAATCATGGACTCACCCATCTTGGCTTGTGACGGGGAAGGCTTTGTTGATTTAGCGTCCAGAAGAGAGCAGAGCTTGTCTTGGGTAATAGAAGCTAACCATTAGCATTAGCAACTCCACAACATGGCCGAACTCCCTCAGCGAACCAAGGCAGTGGAAGAGTTGCATTACTGTTTGCCAGTCAGAGGCGAGATGTCTGAATACCATGAATAATAATGAGTAAGACTTTAGATCCTGTTGTTTTCTACCCACCTCTCTAACTACCTTCTACAAGGTCAAGGTCAAGGTAACTTTATTAATACCCGCAGGTAAATTTGATTTGCCATGTGACACAAGAATTAGCTCCCAGTTTCACACACAGTCACAAAAAATACACACATCAATAAAAGTATAAAAACAATACATGAATAAATAAAAATAAAGTAAAATAGCCACGCCAGGCTCATTTCTCATTGAGAAATCTGTTTCTACTTCCTGAAACAGAAGCTTTTTTCCCACAGAGATCGACTCACAACTTGACATTCATTTGGACCACAGCAAATATGTGGAAATAACGAGTGAATAATTACAGAATCCGCTTCAAAGTATTTCTACTAGTTTATAAATCACTCAGTGACATGGGGCCAGATTACATGTCAGATCTCCTTCAGGTATACACATCCAGCAGGGCTCTGAGATCCTTAGGAAATAGCTGGTAGAACTTCGGGTCAGAACCAAACAGGGTGATGCTGCTGTTAGTCACTATGCTGCACACAGATGGAATCAGCTTCTTCATGACCTCAAATATGCCCCAACTCTTGAAACTTTTAAATCAAAATTGAAAACCTTCATGTTTTCATCAGCCTTTGAATAAATGTTATTTCTGCACTGAAACTTTGTTTCTTTTTAATTTTTAAATTGTATTTTTTTGTCAAGTTGATTTTAATGTTCTTGCAATTCTTGCTAATGGAAAGCACATTGAATTGCCTCTATGTATGAAATGTGCTATATAAATAAAGCTGCCTTGCCTTGAATGAGGGCTTTAGGCCTACCCACATTGTTTGTATACCCTCAACACCATTGCAATAGTTTAGAAAACCTTTCTTGGAAGTGATTCAATGTGATTTTGACAAAAGTGCAAAATATTAAGTTGTTTTTCCTCATCTGTAGTACCTGAACCGAGGATGCACCAGATACTTTGCCAGTAAAGACTCTGATAAGCAGATACTGCAAAGCCGCAAGAGTTCTGAGGTAATTTCCAGCCCTGTTCTGTTTCCCTTGATCTGATCCAGCACTGCATATATTTATTTTACTTTGAAAACCAGTAAACGTGCTGTTGTGCTTGTGCAAATAATAGAGCAGCTTGTGTCGATAACACCAAAACTATTTAACATACTTTTGATAACTTACAGCATCGTGTTGAAATATGAAAGAATTCACGACTGTAAGTAAAAGTTATAAACACACTGGTAATAATCTCATTTTGTATGTCTCCCTCTCCGTTTCTGATTATTACACAGGACAATAAGGTGACATCTCTCTCCTGTACAGCGCTTTATGCTCTATACGCTTCCTTCTGCGCTTTGAATACTTAATAGTCCACTATTAATGAGCTCTTCTTTGAATTGCAAACAGAAAATGTGTGCACGCCCCTTTTTTCTGCATTTGCATGCCAGGTTTGGTATAATATTTGGTTATTTAAAGAGCTCAGGTATGGCTGGTTTCAGGTGATTCAAAGCAGGTCTAGTTTACATAGTGCAAATACAAATTTGGATAATATTTTAGTTGGAATGCTAAAGTAAAAATACATTTCAAAATAACACCTGTAAAAAGTTTGTTTTATTACATAAGTTATAAATGCAATGGTTTAAACTCAAGAACTTTTCATGTTCGGTGTCAGCTGACTCTCTTCCTGTGTATTTTTCTGCGTTCATCGTGCATGCTTTTATTTTGAAATCTCTAATTCTGTGCTGCTGGTGGAGGGCTTGTTACAATAGTGTTTTCAAGGTTCTTTTATTGTGGTGGATTTATGTGTTTGTGTGTGTTGATTTAGTTTGAATTAGATCTACTCATTACATCAAATCAATAAAATCAAACCTACATAAAATCATGATTTAAATTGTTTTTACTGGAGTACATTTTTACTGATTGGCTTAATGAACTGACCTGTATTGGAATGTTTACTAAGTGAAGTGCCTTGAGATGACTCTTGTCGTGATTTGGCGCTACATAAATAAACTTGAATTGAATTTTATTTTGAAATAAAATAACCTTGTTGTCTTTAGGATTTCTAACTGATCTGATGTTTGACAGCATTTGAAGGTCGGCGCTCTGAAGGACCCCCTTTTGGACGATCAGGGAGACTTCAACAGGATGTGCGTGGCCATGAAGAAGATCGGTCTGAACGATACGGAGAAGCTGGACCTTTTCAGGGTCGTCGCTGGCGTTCTGCATCTGGGCAACATTGACTTTGAAGAAACGGGGAGCTCATCAGGTGAGACAAAAGCTAAAAGTTTCATGTCTTTCACTTGATTTTCATAGTTTTAACGTTTTATCTCGAGTTTAGCAGTTAGTATGTTCAGAGAAAAAGATCCCACTCACCTCTTTTTTTAAATAAATATATAATTTTATACTTTTATTTTCAGGTGGTTGTATCATAAAGAACCAGTCAAATGAGACCCTGCAGTACTGTGCTGAGCTGTTGGGCCTGGACCAGGATGACTTGCGCGTCAGCCTCACAACAAGAGTCATGCTTACGACAGCAGGGGGCACCAAAGGCACAGTAATCAAGTAAGGTCTAGTTTCTAGCATCCTCACAGTATCATAAATAAACTTTGAACTGATTTTACTGAAATCACTGAAGGTGGGGTGTTAAGTGAAGAAAGTATCTAAACAATTTTGAGTCAAAGATTGCAAATGAAATCCTAACATCATTTATTTAAATCGAGGCTTTTTTTTTCTTGACTTTCTGTGATATCGACACTGCTTTTGTGTACTTTGGCGGCGTTTGAGTGACGTGGCCGTGTTTGGTGGATTAATATTTTAAGAGAGCCAGATGCTGGCCTGGCCTGGAAGTTTTTCCTCCACATTAATAATGCAGTCAGCGTCTGAGGAGGCCGAGCAGCATGGCTGCAGTACAGTGAAGCCCCGGTGACTGGGGAGCAGGTGGAGCGGGGGGGGGGGGGGGGGGGGGGGGGGGGGGGGGGGTCTTTGTTACTAAGATCCAGACGACACGGCCCTACCCACGGGAGGTGGAGGGCAGCAGGAGGGGGTGGAGACTTGTCTCCATATGAAACATTGCAGCAGATTAAATGAAAAAGCCTGTCACTGAGATTAATTGTTAGGATTGCGTGTCATAGTTGTGTGTTTGTTTGCCGTAGCCCTGTTGGATGAAGGTTTCTCTGCAAACAAAAGGCAATTATTTAAATTTAAAGCTTAACTTCCTCCCAGCCGCTACATCTGAGTTGAACTCTTTGCCGTAGGAGAGGTGCACTTTGTCAAAGCATTCAACCTCTTTAAATAATTCCTACACAAATAGTGTTAAAGCGTCATTAGAGAGCCTTTAGTGGAGTTCAAGGTTCAGTTTCCTGTTTTAAAATCCTCTCTGTGACTGAGACAGGAATGTTAATTTTTAAAAAAGAAGAAGTGCCGTTCCTCTAAAAGTAGCGATAAACATTTTTGATGCCTTGTTCAAAATGGGGAAAAGGTGGGTTGGTGGGGAAAAGTCTCAGACAAGCGTGTCCCAGTTCCAGACCTTTCTTTACTGTCCCCCATTTGTGTGTCCCTCTAGGGTCCCTCTAAAGGTGGAACAGGCAAACAATGCCCGCGACGCCCTGGCCAAGGCAGTGTACAGCCGCCTCTTCGATCATGTGGTCCAACGAGTCAACCAGTGTTTTCCCTTCCAGACTTCCTCCAACTTCATAGGCGTGTTGGACATCGCTGGCTTTGGTGATGAAATACACTTAGACACATTTCTCTTCCTGTAACTTCTACAATTTCCCAAAGCTTTGCTTGAATTCAGATGCCATTTAACGTCGCTATTTTCTATTTAAAGCAACACTAAGTTTCTCGCCTCTCCCTCCTTCTGGTTGAAAGCGGAATTACAACTTCAAACAACCTGATGTAGCTAGCACCAACAACGAGCTAATGCTAACATGAGGCAACTGATACTAAATGAACCACAAAGTAGAAGGAGCTGCACTGTTGGACACATAAAATAGTATCGTAACTCTGGTAGCAACAAAGCCAGGTCTCCATCGCTCTGAGATTTTGTAGCCTCCTTTAGCCACGCCGATGTTCACTCAGGTTTTAGTTCTTTACTCTCTTACTTTTACTTCCAGTCTTCATCATGATGCCAACAAAAAAAGCAAACTTGACTTTTGAACTGAAAAATCTTTAACTTCTAGCCTTCATATTTGCTCTTGGCACAGTAATCAGCTATGCCAGCTATGCCAGTAAACCAGGTGCAGTCCTCCCACCAGTGTTCCTTTCCAAACCACTAAACTGTTAAGTGCAGTTTCTGATCAGCAGATGCTTTCGGAGTGATGTCCAATGTGAAGTTCTTTAAGTGTATGACTGAAGAACCACTGAAACCTGGTTTTAAAGCAATAGACTAAAGTGTCAAAAACTCTTTAGAGTTGTTTTTAAGAGACTTTTTCTCTGCTTTCATTTGCACACCGTCACACATTCATACGTTCTTCAATACCAGGCCCTCTTGCCTGAGAAATCATTTCCCCCATTGCCCTAATTAAAATGAGCTTTGTAAACCATTTCATTTGAAGAATTAATTGAAATGTATGTTTTTTCTGCTGCTTCTGTTTCTTCTCTTCTAAGAATATTTTGAGCACAACAGCTTTGAGCAGTTTTGCATCAATTACTGCAATGAGAAGCTGCAGCAGTTCTTCAATGAGCGCATCCTCAAAGAGGTGGGTGTGCCGCCTGTGGATTAACGTGATTAGTTGTAGTTTACCTCTTTTCACCTGGGAAAACGATCACGTCACAGATGAGCCAAGTTTACTGACTCCACTATGAGCAAAGATGGTTTCTTTGTTTTCTTACTTATTTTCTCCCTTCATGTCTCCTGTGTGCTTTCTCATTAGAATGCTAATTTCTCATGGGACATAATGAGGCTTGTTTTTTTTTCCTCCTGTGATCTTTTAACATTATTCTTTTCCAAGGTCTGTTCATGTTTTTGCCTTTTTTTGTAATTATCTGAGTGTTAGTTTGATGTTTTTGGGCTTTTGTTGCATCACTCAAAAATAGTTAATTAGTTTTTTATTAGTCAATGCCTCTCAGTTTTGACGTTTTTTACATTACAGGAGCAAGAGCTGTACCAAAGGGAAGGACTGGGGGTGAATGAAGTGCATTATGTGGACAACCAGGACTGCATAGGTACGTTTTTGCATCAGCTTGTCCGGACACTGTGGAGCTTCGAGAACTTTAAACATCCTTCATGGTCTGATGAGGTCACGTCAAAAACTTCAGGTCTCAGTTTTGAAAGCGTCGCCTGCTGAGTCAAACCAACATAAATATCCTAAGATTCCTTCAAGCATATCTACTCATCATGTAGATCATACTCCAGAGATCTAACACCTGAAGAAAGGACGCAAACACTTCCTCTTTCTGATTTTTCTCAGGTCTGTGTGTCTGAGGGCACGGTGTTCGATGAGTATGTGTGGGTTTTATGGCCCTCTGTTATAACGAGAAGGTAGAAAAATTATGCTTCCTTGTTTTGGTGATGTCTGTCTGCGAATGAATCCTGGAATTAATGAGATGAAGTAGTCCACGTATCAAGGTGAAGCCGTTTGATTTGTATTTCAAAGGTTGTGATTATTCAGATGCGAGGCTAACTGACAGCAGCGAATAACATTTCTGACTTGCAAATGACCATTTGGGATGGCGATTAATTCACTCATCAATCATTGGGATTTATGCACAGGTGCTTGTTCATGCAGATTTTCTTTTTTTTTTTTCCTAAAGCCCTTGGCGGTCACGTTATTTTCTAAACAGCATGTTGTATGAATAATTAAAATAAGTGTCTAAATGAGCATCCTGATGAGCGTGTTTTGTACTTTTTAAATATCCAAATGCAGAAACAGCAAAACAGTGGAAAGTTCCAACAAATCCCATAATGGCAAATATTCTGTCTTATAATGGTCTTAAACTGTTCTGCATGAAATAAAAATGTGTGGCTTATCGAGAAACTGATATAGGGTGGGAATGAATAAACTAGGAATAGACCGATATTTATCTTTATATATATATATATATATATATATATATATATATATATATATATATATATATATATATATATCAGCATTGGCCAATTTATTCATTTTATTTTAATACTGAGCATAAATTAAGATTCAAGAGTTAGTTAAATTCAGTGTTCAAAAACTGATTCTGGTTCAGAAATGCTGTTATTAAAGCTACAGTAGCAAATCTGCTAAACAAGATAGCTTAAAACATTATGGCATGCCTCTTAAAAATGTTCTAACATAGTATAGCTATAAATATTTAGATGGGATTCAAAATAAATGAAAAACAAATAATGAAGTGGTTCTCTCGCATTTGTCTAAAAACCTCAGCCAATAACGCGGCTCGGTCCTCCACTCATTACGTGCTCACGTATTTAGCAACAGAACACAACTGGTGTGAGAGGTTAGCGGGTCTCTAATATCAGAGAAGAAGCCGGCTGCTACCACTTCAGCTGTAGGACAATCTATCAGAATCCTAAAAGTAAACCACTATTTGAAGTCACAGAGAACAAAAGACATTTGGAGGTAGAAACCGGTGACTGGTATTAAACACTCTCCCGTTTACTGTGGCAATGTGCATTTCCGTTTCAGAGGGACCTGGCCTATGGGTTATAGCTGACGGGAGGAGTAAAGCCTGGTTTATGCTTCTCCGTCAGCTCCGCAAGGGACAGACACGCACAGATTGACGGAAGCATTTTGCTTTCGTACTTCTCCGTCTCCTGGAGAGTGTTTCAAAGCAATTCCCCGGCAGGACAGCAGAGGGCGTAGCGCTGTTCTGTGGTATCCTGTCATGTATCGGTCCAAGATCGTGTGTTTATATTGTGTTTTTTTGTGTATATACGAGACTTTTAACACGGACATATTTGTCTCTCATTCTCCACCTCTTCATGCGCTCCCCACCTCTAAACCCACGTTTCCTGTCATTTCCGTCCACAAATAAAACGCTTGCTGCGCATCTTTTCACTCCTCCAGTCACGGGAGAATTAAACGTTCATATTTTTAGAGTTTTTTCGCGAGGTATTCTTCAAGCTTCTCCGTGTCGTCCGCTAGTTATCCTCGGCTCTCTTTGCAATGGCGAGACTGTAAACAACAGCGGCGTCCTGACCAATCACAAGCTTGCGTAATCCGTCTCGTTCGACGGATGTTTAAAAAAGTGGGCTAGACTCCGTACGTTCTTGCGTGCCTGCCGTAGCCCTACGCAAGGATGGATAATGGTGTTGCGTGTCTCCGTACTGACACAGACGGAGAAGCATAAATCAGGCTTAAGAGTTCAGTGACTTAGTTTGTGTTTAACCCTCCCACTGTCTTTATGGGTGACCCCGCGAGGAAAGTTGACCATTGAGCAGGATTGATGGTTTATCCCTTGAGGTCCACGTGGCAGGGATGAGGTGGTGCTCACTCCTCACCCCTGCCACATGGACCTCAAGGGATAAACCATCAACGCTGCTCAATGGTCAACTTTCCTCGCGGGGTCACCCATAAAGACAGTGGGAGGGTTAAAAGCTAGCTTGTTTTGACATTTTAGCCTGGAACTTAGGCAGAAAACATGTTGGTCATAAAAATCACCAGCTGAACATGAACTCTACATGTCAGCCTCGTTATCAGCAATACCAAAGGAAAATTAAAGGAGGTGCCATGATGGATGGGGGGTTCTCAAAATGGAGTCTTCTTTTTATCAAAACTTTTTTAAAAATGGATATCTATTTAGTCTATTTGACAAGTACCATTTATTCCATTAAGTACCCAGATTCTGGTGTTTACAGAAAGGGTTAGGGTACGGCCTGTCATTGTTATGGCTGCTTTGCATGACTCTTTCATATCACCCCACACCGTTGTTATCAGCATGTAGATGAAGCCAGTGTCCCTCAACATTCAGTCAGCACCGCTGGTCTAAACACGGTGCTCAGGACCAGGCTCAAGTAGTCGAACATATTTCAGTGGTATTACTGGTCCAATACTGACCACATTGGTCCATCTCTGGAGTAAACCAATGTTGAATTTTATAATGAATCATGTGACCTTTGCAGATCTTGTGGAGTCAAAACTGGTAGGAATCTTGGACATTTTGGACGAAGAGAATCGTCTTCCTCAGGCCAGCGACCAACACTTTGCTCTGGCTGTTCATAACAAACACAAAGACCACTTCAGACTGACGGTCAGACCTTTCAGTCGTCCTGTTTTTACACTCTTCTTCTTTCTGCTTTGTCTTCACTTCTTTGTGTTCTCATGCTTTTGTTAGACTGGAAAGATGTAAGTGCACTTTGTGTTTTTTTTTTGCAGTTTGTTCCTGCCGTTTAGTCCCAGTCCTCCCCCTCCTTCCCTCCCAGTGTAACTTCCTTTGTGCTTATTGTTCGACACTCAGCCTGCTTATCTGAAAACATGAAATCCTTTTAAAAAAATAGCCTTGACACTTATTCAGACTTAAGATTAGAATTGGCTGGCTGCAGCCACGCTATTGTCGTCTCAAATAAGAGTATTCTTTGCATTTAATAGGGTGAAAAATGAATGAAGAGTGTTTGAATGTGCTGCGGGAGGACGTTTCTGCTTCACGGTGTTCACAGCTTCTTCTTGGGGTCATTTGTCACGGTTCTTCTCACTGATGAGGAAGCCAATTGAGCTCCAACTTTTGTTGTGGTCTATTCTGAAAAAAATGATGGAAGCTTGGAGCACTTTCACAAAAGTTGAGCTTAACGGAATTAATGTGGCGTTTAGATATATCGCAAAGGAATAACAAGCACAGATTACCTTGAACAAACTTTTAAAGAGATATCTTGATCTTATAAAGATCACGTCAAACTTTTTTGGAGCCAGATTTTGCTGCAAGGTGTTCGATCAAGACTTTTTAATCTGTAACCATTCAAGTATCTTTCTGACCTGTTTAGGTTCCCAGGAAGTCAAAGTTGGCTGTTCACAGGAACCTTCGGGATGATGAAGGGTTTATAATCAGGCACTTTGCAGGAGCCGTCTGCTATGAAACGGTAAGATTTCTATCATCATTTTCGATAATTTTCTTATTGTGTCTATTTTTCTGCAAGATAATTTGTCCTAGTTCAAAGATTATAACAAATGCAAAATTTCGGTGGACTCTTAGAGACTGCCGCTGCATAAATGCATGTGAATGCGCGCGTGTGTTGACAGACTCGGTTCGTGGAGAAGAATAATGATGCCCTCCACATGTCCTTGGAGAGTTTGGTGAGCGAATCAAAAGACAAATTTGTGCGGGAGCTGTTTGAGAACAACACCTCCAAGGACTCCAAACAGAAGGCAGGGAAACTGAGCTTCATCAGCGTTGGGAACAAATTCAAGGTCAGAACCTGAATGTGGTCCAAATGAAAAAGGAAACATGCGAAGAACATGAAAGATAACATGTTTCATTGTTCAGGAACATGCCATCAGAGAGGGACCTTTTCTCCTGGTTTATAATCTTTCATTGCTTTGTTTTAATTTTGTGTTCCTGATCTTTTTGGATAAAGACGTTAGCTAACTGACTTTCCCCCTTTCCAGTTGTTCCTCCTCATCCTGGGCTCCTTTCTTCCATTTCCTCTAGTCTCACTTTCTTCCCTCTGAGAAGTCCTTCTTTGGTGGATGAATCTGGATAAAGCCAGGATAAGACATAAAAGCAGGGGGTTGAATAGCAGAAGTGACGAAAAGAGAGAATAAAAGGAAACCGTTTTATTCCGTCTCTCCCTTTTGCTTGATTGTCGGTGTTTAGCTGTTTGGTTGGTTTGTTAACCAGGATGTGCATCAGTCGAAGCTCATTTGAATTTCTGCTCCTGGTCTCCTCTTTCCAAACAAATAATTAAAGAGTTTTCTTTGTCTGCTCACAAAAAAACAGACTCAGCTGAACCTGCTGCTTGAGAAACTTCGCAGCACTGTGAGTAAAATGAATACAAAAATGATGTCATTAGGTGGATTGTTGCATCACTTTTGCACATTAGAGCCAGATGAATCACTTTTGCAGAGAGAAAAGCAACAAGATGAATGTTTTTTTTTATTATTCTTCATATGTTCAGGGCTCCAGTTTCATCCGTTGTGTGAAACCCAACCTCAAGATGGTGAGCCACCAGTTTGAAGGAGCTCTGATCCTCTCACAGCTGCAGTGTTCAGGTAGGAGCAAAATAATTATTTTAGACAAATTTGATCCTGTTTTTAAAATATTTTAATCTTTTTGTGTCTTTATGCTGATTAGGAATGGTGTCCGTGTTGGACCTGATGCAGGGGGGGTTCCCCTCCAGGGCCCCCTTCCATGAGCTCTACAACATGTACCAGGCATACATGCCAGATAAACTTACGCGCCTGAATCCGCGACTCTTCTGCAAGGTGAGTTCACAGAAAATTCAGAGTTTACTATACTGAGAGGCGTTCCTTCAAAATAAGTAAGTAAGTAAAGTTTATTTAAATAGCACCTTTCACAGATATAAATCACAAACCGCTGTACAACATGAGTAAAATCAGGGTAAATACCTCAAACCAATAAAAACATCATAAAAACAATAGCAGTGACAACAAAAGTAACCAAAATCAGGAGTAAAAACAAAGTCAAGGTGTGAACAAGAACAAAGCCATCTTTTAGAATATTTAGCGGGGGAAAGCCTGGATGAAAAGGTGAGTTTTAAGATGCTTTTTGAAGACCTCTACAGATTTCAAGAGACGGAGATTTGAAGGCAGACTGTTCCAAAGTCTGGGGGCAATAGACTGAAAGGCCCTGTCCCCTTTGGTTTTTAGTCTGGTTCGAGGAACAGCCAGGAGGTTTTCAGATGTGGATCGGAGGTTCCGTGAAGTGGTGTGTGGGGATAAAAGCTCAGATAAATAGCTTGGAGCCTGGTTGTTAAGAGCTCTATAGGTCAGCACTAAAACTTTAAACTGTATTCTAAATTCTACCGGGAGCCAGTGGAGGGACTGTAGATCTCATTTTTGCTCCCAATTCCGAGTCTAAGTCATTTGATATTGAGTATCGGCCGATCTAATACTTCAGCAATGCATTAAATTTAAAGGAGTGGTTGACTCGTGAACCCAATACATCTCTTCTAAGAGTGAATGCCTTGTAAGTTGTTCTCGGTGCACCATTTCTCTGACCTAACGGTTGCTCACATCACAGCTGAGCCTCAGATTGCTGGTTTTATAGTCTTATTTCCTGATATTTGGACATCTCTCCCTGGAAAACAGTAACGCGACTCTACCACTGACTTGCAACATGGATGTTTTATCTCCACAAATAACACAAGCCTGGAGGATCTTCTGCTGTGTGGCGGGGTCGTTTATGCCAATAGTTAACTTAAACTAGCCAAAATGTCAGTTGCTGATTCCCAGACGTTAAAACAATAAAAGCCTTCCCAATCGTGATTGCAGAAAGTAGCACGAATAGGCAAGAATTCCTTTTCCAAGGTTTATTCGAACCTGCGTCACATGTAGCAGTATCAGACATCCATCTAAACTCCCTCATCCACTTCTTCTCTCCCACCTACGTTCTCCTTTCCTAGGCTGCCCCCTAGCAGTAGACACAACACACACCTTTAAGAAGAAAAAAGAGAAACACATCCAAGTTGTTCTTTAAGTTTTTTATTATTATTTGTGTATGTCTTTCTTTCTGTATTCATGACATTTCCTTAGTTCATCTGCTATGAAGATCATGTTTTAAGAAGTGCACTGATAAAAAATACATGAATATATTTAAAAGTAGCATCTTTAAGATTTTAGCTTGAATGTCTTTAGTTTTAGATTTTAAATGACAATGATGTTTGTTTTGTGTGATAGATTTCAGGCTGTGTTTAAATCCCTTCTCTCTTTCATTCACAGGCTTTGTTTAAAGCGCTGGGCCTAAATGATAATGACTTTAAGTTTGGATTGACCAGAGTGTTCTTCCGCCCAGGAAAGGTAAAATATGACCTCATCATGAAGAAAAGGCTTTTCTCTGAATCAAAGGGAACTGATTTTAATCTGTGTGCATCAGTTTGCCGAGTTTGACCAGATCATGAAATCTGACCCAGAACATCTGGCTGAGCTGCTGCAGAAGGTCAACAAGTGGCTGCTGTGCAGCTGCTGGAAGAAGGTCCAGTGGTGCAGCCTGTCAGTCATCAAACGTAGGTTAAATTCAAAGTAGGAAAAGTTATGAGCATTTAACCTATTTCCGTCCTAAATAGAGACAAAGTTCTTTTTATGTTGTAGCACCTCCCTTTCTGTGTGTGTGGCACCTGGCCCCAGGCAGTACTTTCACTCTGACACGTTTACTACTTTTAATTTCTTTTCAAATATTGAAAGAAGGAGCCTCCAGCCATCAGGAATAGCACTGCAGAAGCATGTCCTTGTTACACTCCATGCCAAGTTAATAGTTTCATTTATTTCAAAAAGTTCTGGCTGTTAGTGTGTTTATACTTTTAAAATATATCAAATTTCTGCTGTAATTGTCTTTGTTCTGGATCTCTCTTTCTGCTTTGTTTCAAAATTTTAACTCATTATTGCTTTTATTTATGGAAGTAAAATGTTTATTTACAGTTTGAGTTCTAAACTACCTTAAAAAGCTGCATTTGTTTGTTGCTTAAAATGAAAGCAAATGAAAGTTTTGACTTTTTTCTTTTTGATTACAGTCAGAAATAAAATGAGTTACAGAGCCATGGCCTGCATTAAGATTCAAAAGACTGTCCGCATGTGGTTGTGTAAGAAGAAGCATATGTCAAGGTGAGTTGTCCACTTTTTATTCCTTTTTTCCCTTTCTCTGTGCCTTTTCATTTAAATTAGCATACAAGTAGTTGCTTTTCTATATTAAATCAATCTAAAAAAATAGGAAAATGTCTAAAAAATGTGTGTATATATAGAAGTATTTTGAAATAAAGTTGTAATTAAAGTAATAAATATGTTTATTTTATTTTTATCAAGTTAAATTGAAATTTAAAAGGGCCAATATGTTTGACTGTGTTTAAAAGAAATTGAAGTTGCAAAACTCTTATTTTTATTCCTTATAATAAAATCTGTGTGTTTCTGAATGTTTGATTTAAAGAGACACTTTGCATCCATCCTTCCATCTTCTGAACCCGCTTGTCCATGTAGGGTCGCGCGCGGGGGGGGGGAGGGGGGCTGGTGCCTATCTCCAGCGGTCAATGGGCAATCAGGCGGATTACACCCTGGACAGAGAGCCAGTCCATCGCAGGGCAACACAGAGACACACAGGACAAACAATCATGCACACACACACACACCCAAGGACAATTTAGACAGACCAGTTAATCTAACAGTCATGTTTTTGGACTGTGGGAGGAAGCCGGAGTACCCGGAGAGAACCCGCGCATGCACAGGGAGAAAGTGCAAACTCCATGCAGAAAGATCCCAGGCCGGGAAGCGAACCCAGAACCTTCTTGCTGCAAGGCAACAGCTCTAACCACAGCACCACTGTGCAGCCCTAGACACTTTGCAACTTTATCATATTTAAAAAAAAATGTTCTTATACTTGGCCAGTATGTGCTAAAATGACCCTTTACATGGTTCATTAAAGGCCACCCAGCCCCTATCGCCAGTCTGGTTCCAGCACGCTTCCTGCGTGTTTTAGGTCATGAACACAGCTGATTTGTTTATTTTAGTGAGGAATCACTTATGTAGATACTAATGAAGACTGGGGAGACATTTCAGCTATTAAATTAAGGTGTTAAAAAGAGAATGAGCAGCAAGCAGATAGGTTTTGCTTTTGGTTCTACTAAACGGACACTAGGGGGTGCTAAAAGCACCTCCAAACTGCCTAATCTCCCTTTAGCTCCCAGTTGGAGGGAAAACAAGTGTATCAGCTAAAGGCCTAGGGCCCAATGACAGAAACTGAAACATTCAAACACTTTTCTTTCTACAATTATAGTTTTATTTTTTTGGTACTGGAACAGGATCCATGGGATGATAAAAGTTCGAAAACTGAAGAAACACATGGAGCACGTTAACGAGGTGGTAAATGTGTTGAAGGAGGGAAAACAAGAGATGACCAAACAAGTTCAAGAGCTGGCCGCCGCCATTGATGCTCTGTTAGCAAAGATGAGGGTAAGGCGCTTTTTTAAATGTGGTCCACTTTTTTATGACTTTCTTAATCGCAAGTCAGGATTGTTCTCTTACAAAATACGAGCTTGTTTGTGGAATATTTTGTGTTTTAATTCATCTTTTTAGCCTTTCTTACTTCTTGTTTTTTTACACTTGAGCTTTCCAAAGTGTTTTCGTCCCCTTCCATCATTTTGTCTTTCAGTTATTTTTTTAGGATAGGAGGAGCTTGACAAGGAAAACTCCTCTTCTCTCTCCGATGATTGAATTTACTGTAGCTTTTCTGATAAATTATAAGTGAAATTTGGTTAGGGAATCCCAGCTCTCCCTCTGCAATATGCACTCATCTTATTGGACCCTCTAGGTTTGGTGACTCGTAATAAACGTGCGTATCTAAATTTGGGTGTGTGGGTCTTTTTTTCTTTTCCAACACAAATAGACAGAGCATGTTTCTGGTGTTTAACCGTTAGCATGCCTGCTGTCAACGTGGGACTTTGTGAATCTGCACCTGCCAGGTGTAAATAATTCATGAGATGTCAATCTGATGTGTGCACACCTTGACATGTCCTCTCCCCGTGTCACTCTAATGAATCTTCACGGCATGGTGACCTCTTCTCATGAGTTTATGGAGAATTGAGTCTTGCTGCAGCAAAAATGCCACTGACAAACACACTGTCATTCAGTGGCTTGAAAAATATACGCAGCGGTTTGTTATTTCTGCTCTCCTGACTGACAGTCAGCTGAAGTCTTTTCAAATTTGAGTTTGCTGTGGTTTCAGGTCAGTTTCTTGATTATCTCCACTCATTCGCATTCTTTTGACCCTCCCACAGGCCACGATCATGACCTGGAAGGAGATCGACACGGAGTACCAGGGTCTGGTGAAACGCTCCGAACAGCTGCTTTCCTCTATCAAGAAGAAGAAGCAGGAAGAGGACGAGACAGAGAGGTTGAAACGCATCGAGGAGGACATGGAGAACGAGAGGCTGAGGAGGGAGCAGGAAGAAGTGCGACGTCAACAAGAGGAAGAGGACAGAAGACTGTAAGGGACGATGGAATAAATATTATAGTTAAAATGAAATCACCATTATGTTGTTATGATGTTCTTGTGTTTCTAATTCCAGCAAAGCAGAAATGGAACTGAAGAGGAAGCAGGAAGAGGAAGACAGAAAGAAGAGGCAGGAGGAAGAAAAGGTTATTCAGGTGGGGAGCCCATTGACTGGCTCAATCCTGTGGCTGCACGGTGGCGCAGTGGTTAGCACTGTTGCCTCGCAGCACAAAGGTTGCAGGTTCGAAACTCGGCTGCGGCCTTTCTGCGTGGAGTTGCGTGTTCTCCCCATGCACGCGTGGGTTTCCTCCGGGTACTCCGGTTTCCCCCACAGATCACAGCATGCACTACAAGTTATAAATTGTAAGTTGCTTTGGATAAAAGTGTCTGCCAAATAAATAAACACGTAAACATAAACACAATCCTGGCCCTCGACGGCCGGTATTCTGCAGGTTTTTGTTGTCCCTCTGCTCTAGCACACTTGATTCAGTGGATGAATCACATGTTCAGCAGCTCGTCAGGCTTGCAGAAGCCTGTTAATCACCTTCTGATTGAAAATAAGTGCGTTGAAGCAGAGTTAAGACTAAAACATGCAGGACCAGGATGGAGAACCACTGGTATACATAATGGACAAACTCTATGCCGTTAACGAGCGGACTGAGCTAACTGAAGCTAACGGAGGTTGGCAGGCGCTTTTAGCCAGAAAACCACAATCGAGCATCTCTGCTACCATCTGCCTTTTAGGCTGTAAGACTTTTAACGTGAGGCTGAGGGTTTCCCTGGACCAAGCAAGGAGGCCAGCGCTGCCGGCTCATCTGCTACCTGTGACTCAAATGGACGAGACCCTAAGCCTAGGCTTGGATTATACTTGCTCTTTAATGATGCATACACATGTTTAAAATCGCGTAACATGCGTTGATTTGAAGCGTCATTTGTGTGCGTCCTCTGAAATTAATGCGACGGCTGCACCTCCAACCGCGACTCTTGTCAAGCTAATCAAATTTGCAAACGACACCACCATGATCGGACTCGTCACGGATGGGGATGCGTCTGCCTACAGAAGGGAGGTCGAACGGCTGGTGTCCTGGTGCTAAACGCACAGAAGACAGTGGAGGTTGTTGTGGACTTTAGGAAGCACACAGCCCTACTCCCTTCCATAACCATGTCTGACACTCCCATGACGATGGTGGACACCTGTCGCTTGCTGGGCACCACCATCACCCAAGACCTGAAATAAGAGCCCAACACCACCACCTTCCTAAGGCAGATGAAGAAATTCTACCTACCCGTTCAGTCGATGAAGCAGTTTTACACCGCAATCATCGAGTCCATCCTTATCCTCTTCAATCACCGCATGGTATGCTGGAGCCACCATCAGGGATAGGAAGAGGTGTCAGCATGTTGTGCGCTCTGCTGAGAATGTCATTGGTTGCAAACTCCCCTCCATACAGGACGTATACACCTCTAGGACTTTGAGGCATGCAGGTTGGATCACAGCAGACCCATCTCACCCTGGAGATAGTGCCAGATGGGAGCAAGTCTCATTGACTTGCTTCCATCTGGCAGGACCAGAACATTTTGCCACAAGAGGAGTGTCCCCCCCCTCTGCAATTGGACTCATGAATGACAATTGGAGATCCGCCCACTCCAGTTGCTTGGTTTTAGTCACATGACCCTGTGTTACGTTCGCACCGGACTGTTATGCTTTGATCAGCACCTACACTCGCTGCAATACACGAGTAACCAGTAGGCGAAGTTGACAAAATGAGTCAGACATACTCGCCGTGGTCACTTCGTCTCTTGTTCAGAGGTCTTTCGTACTATCTATGATACTGCTGCTGTCTTTTTCTTCTCTTTTTTTTTGCCTTGATCTCAAAATTAAACAGATGCAGACCTCATCAATTGATGCCATGTTTGTTTTGGTTGCACCCCACATATCCAGAACTCTATCCAGTCTGAGTTCTCTAATGTGCCTCCTAGTGGAACACTCCAGTTCTACCTGCAGCACAGCAGCAAATACGTGATGCTTGGGTCAAGACGAGGTTAAAAAGCAAGTGTATTCCAGGCATAATTTGAAACTTTAATTACATCTAAATGGATAAGTTACAAAAAATGTATTCCAATCAGAGTTGTGATTGTAAACTTGACCTATTAACCCTAAAAAGATTTTTGTACCAGGCTGTAAACATGTTTATTCCTACTGTAAAGTTGGCGTTTTAACATGGGAGTCAATGGGAACTTGCCTCTTTATGGATCCAGCCCCTAGTGGATGAGGGGGGAACTGCAATGTTTGTCACTTCCGCATTGGTTTCACTTCTGGCAAGCAGAGTTTACCCCTTGGTGGACCCCCAGTGCTGCAATACCCTTCCGTTATAAGGACATGTAATTCATGTGGAAAAAGTAACAGACACATTTTATACAACTGTCAATCATCTGTACAGTTCAGACGACACCTGAATGAATTACATTTTGCTCGTCTGAAGTGAGCCCTCTCTACTTCAGGAGCTGACGAATTAAATGCATCCAACATAACAAATAGTATTACAGCATTTTCTACTACCTCTGTGTGCACAATACAGATACCTGATTTGTTACGTACTCTCAGCGCCGGCGCTCCGCACACGCACACCACGCATAGCGCGTAGGGCACCACGCCGGGGGAGGGGCACCAAATGCAAGCTTATGAAAAATAATTTATATATGATAAAGACAGATTTCAATTAGAAGATGTGCAAAGCAAGTTAACAGCATGTTTACAGAGAGAAAACAATACAAAAAGGAAAGGAGATGGACCGTGTCCACTTTTCACTCTGTCCGGGACGTCCGGACTGGGGGTTCTTTCATCCAGGAGCAGGGATCAAATTATGGGGGAGCTGGATATCCTACACATCCAGGGGAGCTGGAAAAAAGTTTTCTACCGATATTACATCATTTATGGACTCTTTTGTGCAGAGAGCACAGAGAGCGGCACAGCGCGTTATTACGCAGCGCTCCAGGCAGCTGCGTCCAGCGCACGGTCCATTCTCAAAGTGGCGCAACCAGAGCCGGATTAAACAAGTGGACTACACTAGGCAGGCTGCATTTTTTGGGCCCCCCCTCCATCGATGTTATTTAATGAATTGAAATCCGAAACTTACCAAAGTTACTAATAAAAGTTCATTCACATTTAACATAGCCTAGTTTTTGGTTACAAATTGGTTGTTTGTATGTAAAATATTCTACCAGACTATTTTTTGATATTAATAATTTATACGTCATTACACAGCTGTATTAAATGCTAATAAATTATCCTCATATTATCCATTGGGGTGCCAATGTTAAGGCAGTAGTACCAGTAAATAACCACTAGGTATCATTAAACTATGTAAACAGAGCAAATATGTTTATCTTATTTGCTCTGTTTACATTTAATCAACACATTTAATTAAAAAGATTTTCTGCAAAATACAATAGCTTACAACATTTATAAATGTTGACAAATTAATCACATGATAGTGGAAAGACATTCCAGAAGAAATAGATCAATTTTAATGGACTGAAGCATGTTTAAAGGCGCAAAAACAAACTATAAACACGCAGCTTAAATTATTGCAGTATTAATTTAATACAATCTATAATCTTAAAAGAAAGTATTTTAATAAAATGAAAATGTTATCTTAAGTTTTGATCTTGCTTTATGCTCATTTAGGCTGTTATTGCCTCTGCTGAATCAGAAATTCAGTGTCAATTTTCTGAATATGAATTTATTGTTTGTTATGCTATTTGAACATTAATAAAAATATTTAAAAAATATATAATAAAACCAGCAACACTTACCAAGGAAACCATTTAGCATTCTCCACTCTGGGATAATTTTCAGCTTTCCTGCTGAAAGTTTCCGGCTGAAGTTAGCTTCCGATTCGGGAAACGGCTAAAGGGCCATTACACCCAATTTTTCTCTACTCTGACCATTTTTAATCTGCTCTAGCTCAAAAACTACTACAGCCACACTGTTCAAACCTGTTCCAGATTATTCTACAATAATAGCAGATCAAATAAAACACAGTGTGGGATTTGTGAAACCTTTCCCTGATTTGTGAAACTCCAACAGAGCCTTGAAAAATTGTTCTGCACGTGCCCCATAGTAGCACATGTCAGTGAGCACGGATAGTCCGACTATCGTGAAAATACGCCTCCAAAACAATTCCTCCGCTCCTCCATTGTTCTAACGGCATAGTCTTTTTCTCCCGGACAGGAACTCCGCCATATTACCGTAATGTATCGTACACCTCTGAAAAGCGTGAAGTATCACCTTTCTGAAACCATTGGAATTACAAAGATTGCGCAAATGTTCGAACAGTTACGATAGTAAACATTTGTGTGTGGGCTCCGGCGAAGTAGACGATCACGCTTGACGAATATCTTTTGGAAGCTACATGGACGTTCATTTGGCTAAAGTGTGTATGATGTATTTTTAATGTATCTTTGAATAGTAAGGTGAGAAATGTTAAGAAATTTTAAAATTGTCTCATGGGATGTATATGAAACGTGTATTCTAATTATTTAATATTGATACTCGCTTTTGAGTAAACATGAGTTGAACATGAGCTACTCTTATTATGGTGAATTTAATATACTGTAATACTGAAAACACTTGCTACTATTCAACACAAATGCTCACTTCCATCCACTTGAAAATGAAAAAAATGTGTTAGGATTTCTATACGTAGGCTACATTAAGTGATATCCCATAAAAATGAAAGACCTTTACCCAAAATTTTTGTAGAGGAGATGACATGAAACATTAAACAACTGTACTTGATAATCAAAATGCCGCCATACAATCTGTTATTATTTTAGAATAATCTAGAACAGGTTTGAACAGTGTGGCTGTTGTAGTTTATGAGCTACAGCTGTTCCAGTGTTGGCCAGATGCTGAAAAAACGCATAAATCAGCCTTTGTTGAAGTTTCACAAATCAGGGAAAGGTTTCACAAATCCCAGACAAGGTTGTATGAAATCTGCTATTATTGTAGAATAATCTAGAACAGGTTTGAACACGGTGGCTGTTATAGTTTTTGAGCTAGAGCAGATTAAAGATGGTCAGAGTAGAGAAAAATTGGGTGTAATGGCCCTTTAGCCATTTCCCGAATACTTCAGCCTCGTTGCAGCAGGCTGCTGTAAGACTATATTGGGCTCACTTCTGGCTGGCTGCTGTTCTTCCAGTTCGTCCTTCTGTGACTGCGTTGATGTTGACGGCGTTGGCGCTACAGCGTCTTCCGCCACATCTTCAGGTCGTGTCTCCTCCGGGTCTTGCTCAGGCCCTGCCTCTGGCTCTGCTGACTCGAGCAGGTTCACAGCTGTCGAACGGCTGCTCGAGCAGCCCGACAGAAACTTCTGTAAAGCCCCCGCTGTCTCTTCTTTTGTTCCTCTTCATTTTTTTCTCTTTTTACGTTTTGCCGCACCCGAAAGCATCGTGAACGTTAGCCTACTCAAAAACACCTGCTAACTTTGTTGTGTCCCGCTCTGACTCTGACCGCTTCTCTGACATCCTTAATTGGGTGGCGCCCAAGTTGTAGGCTACAGTCATGGGCTGGCGTTAATGTGACCTAGCTAATGTAACAGTCTATGGTTAAGATAAATATCATCACTTATTTTAGTTAATTAATAAATATTGAAATAAACTGTGGATAGGAGTCCTATCTACAAATTCTATCATAGGACATTTGTACATTTTATTTTTAATTTTTAATTTTGTCCCTCTGTCTGGGCCCCATCCAGCCAATCAGGCCCTAGGCACGTGCCTACTTTGCCTTTGCGTTAATCCGGCTCTGGGCGCAACCAAAAAACTATAATTAACCCACGATCGTTCATGTCCACACATGTTCTCTACTTTCTGTCTTATTTGTGTCTGTATCGCTCTGCTACTGCGGAGCTCATCACCTGTGCTGCGGTGATGTCACCTCAGGCAGCATCGAAACGCGCTCTCCGCTTTGTGGTCAGGAGACCCCTTTGGTCTGCTCAAAAGTAACTGATGAGGTGAAAAAGTAAGAATCCAGGCAACATATTTTCTGGAGAGTTTAGAGGAGATGCAGGAAAATGAGAGACAGACAGGACAGGAAAATAGTTAAATAAAAACAAGAAAACAAAGTAAATTGTAGGTAGATTTATCTCCACTACGCGTTTTTACTGTATAAAACAATAAATTATACACATGTAATAATCATGCATCTGATACAATTCAGATCACCTTCAAAACTCAGTCACACACCCAGAGCCGTTTCAAGGCATTTTGGGGGCCAAGGCAAAATGACCCCCCCCCCCCCCCACACACACACACACACACACACACACACACACACACACCCCACTACCCCCACCACCCACCACCCCAAAACTGGGCTCCCCAGAAGCCTCTGTGTAATTTATACCCTCTCCAGGAGTGTTAGTTATACAGTGTTTGTAGAGGCCCCTCAGACATTACTGACATGTTATAATATTATCAGATGAAAAATAAATTATCAAACATGCTGTCTCATCTGCTGCTTTTCTAAACTTGCTAAAAGTAACAAAAGCCACTATTTGTGGATTCTCTGAAAGTTTCCGTGGAGTGTGTGACAACTTATTTCATCATTGATCCTATCGTCTAATCTCACAGCTGAAACAAGCACCCTTAATAATCTGTGCACAGGAAGCTTACCGATGCTGTAGTAAAACAAAAGGTATAATAATTTATTATTAATAAAACCTTGTTGCAGCACTAAAGCAGAAAAATGAGATTTTGCAATAAATATGCTAAATATTTACATGTGAATTGTTTTAGAGCCCTTTTATTGGCAGAATCTGATATTAATTTAGTTCTTACAAAAAAATGGGTCCCAGCGTTGTATGGCGTTGCCATAGTGTGACGTCATAGGCACAGATCCCCTGTCCTCTTGTTTGGAAATGGAAATATGATCACCCTATATTAAACAAACTGTCCACCCGGGATTTTGCGCTGCACAGAGACGCTTTGCTGCCTATGACTGAACGTCAGTTGAGAGTCAGTCTCATGCAGACTGACCAATGAAGAGAGGGCCTCAAGTTAAGACCCTTTCCTCATTGGTCAGTCCACACGAGGTGGGTCAAAGGTTACCCTGAGCGGGTTACGTGTTGTCAGGCATTCAAGTATTGAGTGTATTTACTGCATATTACTGTAAAATATTCTGTATGTGACCATATTATGGTGATCCTTGTGTCGTGATGATGGGGCCTTTTAATATTGTTGCCCAGGGTACAACAAAGTGTTAATCTGGCCCTGCCTACTGGGCGTTCATCAGTAGCTGAGTGAGAGAGGCTGAGAGGGAGAGAAACTGAGAAGCTTTAGAGCTTTTTTACTGCTGGAGAAAAAACGTAGCAAGTCATCATCTTCCTAAATGGAGTCATTCTCTTCTGAATCAGCACTTCTTTAAAGAAGAAATAGTTAAATGCAACAAAGGAAAAATCCTTTTATTCAGCCTGTTCATGCGACTTGTATCAAAAAATAAGTCTGAACAGTGTTAAAGGTTGTTCATCTAAAAATAGACCTTGAAGAGTTTGAAGATTATTTTGTTTTAATAAGTTCATCTTAAAACATCTTTCTCAAGTAAAATAAAGTTTCCTCTGTGAGGTCAGAAAGGCCCATCTGTGCTGTTTTGTAACAGAAATAAACAAATGAATCATATTTGTCCACCCAAATACTTAAATGTCACAAAAACAGGAAGGACAAAAACACCGTCAAGGTAAAGTAAGAATTTTTTTTTAAATAAGTGGCTGTTTGTGATTAATCATGAGTTAACTCTGGACATGATTTATATCATTATTAAATAGCCCATGTGGCCTATAGGCTATGTAACTGAGATCTAATATGAAAAATTAGACAAACCTATTTTCTAATTAGGTATTTGCTCTATGTTGATATATTTCATAAACATTTATGGGCCAAGAGGAACATCAGCTGCTGATGGTATAATTTGAAGAAAAAAGTCCATTATACTAACCTCCTTCCTTCATATTCAGAATTTTCTAGTTGTGTGTAAAATGTGTATATTGTGCCTCTCTAGTTCTTAATAAAGGTTAAATAGTTTTGAATTTAGTCATGTCATATGCCAGTGATTGTGTTGTTTTTTCTGTGTGTGTGTGTGTGGGGGGGGGGGGGGGGCACCACGAAGACTTTGTGCTTAGGGCACCAAAATAGCTAGCAACGGCCCTGCGTACTCTCATATAAAAACAGGTCATGCGATTTAAAATTTTTCTGTCTCTTTGAAAACAGATTCTAGCTTTGAAACGTGAACGTACTGCAAAAGACATGGTGATAATTGTTTAAATTTTCTCGACCAGCCCATGAGTGTGTTACGTACACCTGGATATAATGTGCGATTACAGGCTAAGCTGGAAAAGCAGATGGCTCTGGAGAGGGAGGAACAGGCCCAGAATGCCGCCGTGTTGGAGCAGGAGAGGAGAGACCGAGAGTTGGCCATGAGAATCGCTCAGAGCGAGGCTGAGCTCATCAGTGAGGAGGGCCAGGGAGATCCAAGCCTGCGCAGGTACAGTACATATGTGATATTGTAGCCTGATACAGTGTTGTTCTCTGTGAATAAGTAATGCAGGCTCGGGCTGGCCTCAGCATGCATATGTAACTGGCTCTCTCCTGTTGCAGCGGTTTCTACAGTGATGACTCTTTTTCAGATCTTCCTATCTCTTCATCCTCAGCCAGAGTCATGTAAGGAATTAGAACCAGCTCTAACACCACCTGTAGTGCATTTTCAGTCCCTCACTCCAATAATCCATTCTGTACTCCTAATTAGATACTTTGTTGTTAATGCAAATTCAACATTGACTCTCATATTTCTTGATCTGAAAGAACCTGAAGTGAGTGTGTAGTCTTAGATGGATTTTAAGGGGACAAATAAGAACATAGCTGTGGTCTGCAGCATGACGTCATCAACGGAGGAGGAGGAGCTTTAGAAGTTTAAACGGCTATATGGGAAGCCTAACCCCAAAATTCCACTATCTCCGCTCCGCTCCGCCCCCGCCATCCACTGCCGCTCGCTTCCGAACTCAAATTATACTGCACCCGCTCTACAACGGCTCCGCTCCGGTACAGAGACCTGAGGTGCGCAAACAGGCATGTGCGGGATTTACGAGATCTTGCGATACAGTCCGAGCACTAAACGCGGAAGTTAAATCCAAACACCTTTTGTGTGGGAGAAGCATCGAAATGAACTGTTTGTGCTGAGAGATCAGCAGTGTTTGGATCAACAAAGTGTCACTACTTTGATAGTAGAGACTGTATTAGTGGCTTATTTTTGTGCATTTAAAGTTCAACCACCATTGATAGTTGTTAAAAGTTGTTGGACCTGTGCATATGAAACAAAAAACGCTTTTTGATTATCGATTTATTGTGAAAACACGGAAGTTGTGCTTGCTCCCTTTCCTGTTGGGCGGTTGTGATTTCTGTCCGTTGACTGCGGAGGTGCTCCGGCGTCCGGCAAAAATAGAATCGATCCTATTTTTGCCGGATGGCAGAACGGCGGGCGGCGAACTGCGCCGCACGGCCGCAGTAGTGGAACAGCTCTGATTGACTACAACGGGACCGTTTTTGCTGCGGAGTTCGTGCCGGAGCGGAGCGGAGATAGTGGAATTTTGGGGTTAGTCTCCTCCCTTTCCGGTCGGTTCATGGGTTCCTGGAACAAAAAAACGAATGCAAGTCAACGAGGCTAAAAGAGCTATTTTCTAATCCGCTTTGCCTTACGTCCTGAATCATACATACGTTGGACTTCAATTTAAATGAAAAATAATTCTGTGTGTTTCAACTGAGATTCATCAGCTTGTAAAAGTTTGTAATTACTACAAATCAGGCTTCGGCATGCCTCGTACAAAATGTTCCCTACGGTAGCTGCTACTTACAACATGGCGAGATTTATGGTGGTTCTTTCCTCCTGGAGAAAGGATTCAGAGTTTGCTAAACTTACAATCATTTTTCCTCTGCTCTACCCTGTCTCTGGTTCGATGACATTACTTTGGCTGTGCGCTTTTTTTAGTCTGGAAGTATTTTCACACAAAACCTAAAATAACTTTTTCCCTCGTTTTGAAAATAAACACTTTCTTGGCATCAGAATGTGTCTTTAAAAATCCTGGACATCATATGTGAAATCCATGGTAAATAACAAATGGGAGTAGAAAATAACTTTTATAGCCCCATTGACTTGCATTCAGTTTTTCTTACCTCTGGGACCCGTGGTCCAGAAGAAAATCTGAGACAACAGAGAACTAAAACAATAGTTTGACGTATCATAAGGTTGGTCTCTACATTAATCATTTACCCCCAGTACACTGAAAAACATCTCACTTTGTTCCCCTCCCTCCTTTTCCATAGTTAGCTTAAGGTTTACAGACTCACATTAATTCAATGCAGGTCGAGTTAGCATTCAAGCTAGCTTCATATTAGCTTATGGTGAACAAAGCAAACTAAAGTATCTGCTATATTATTCTATGTTTAAATAAAATTTCAGTTACATACTTTATGCATACAGTACTATAGATTACGTAGTATTTACCTTTTCAACACTTCTTCACCAACTCTTCTTCACTTTGGAGCCGTTGTATACCAAAAAAGTCCTTCCATCTTTTAAAAGCATCTAAATTCTACTCGACTGTAAAGAACATCTCAGGGCGGGTTTTGCAGAAGGACTATTAAACTGTTTAAATTTTCTTTGAGAAGTAGAAAATGGTAAATGGTCTGTATTTATATAGCGCGTTCTTGAGGTCAACTCCCCAAGGCGCTTTACAGCACATCAGTCATTTACCCAGTCCAACACACATGAGCTACATTGTAGCCACAGGTGCTCTGAGTACACTGATGGATGCGAGGCTGCTGTACACAGGAGCAACCGGCCACTACGACCATCACAAGCAAGCAAAGCAGGTAAAGTGTCATTTCCAAGGACACAATAAAAGACTAGTAGGAAGCAAGCCTGCAACCATCTGGTTACGAGGAAGGCACTTAACTCCACTGCCACCGTTGATTCCTTAGTCAAGGAATCTGTAACTTTGGTACTTGTTTTCATTACTCCATTGCAAACTTCCAGCTTCTTCTGGAGTTGTGTAGTGCATGCTGGGGACTGTGGGCCACATTCTCGTTAACAGCTCCCTCTTGTGGCAACGCAAGTCTCTTATAAACAATTTGTTTAGCTGTAGAAGCCAAAGGATGGACTTACAAAGGCATATTATCTGACAGATTACCTATTTTATTTCATAGAACAGGATCAAATATTCAAATGTAAGCATTTTTAACTCATTCACTGCCAGCGGTTTTCTGATCAGATTGCCCCTGACTTTTGAAGAGTCACAGAATATTGTGCTTCATGATTATGTAAACACCACTACACCAAAAGAGAGAGTAGACTCACTTCTTACATCAGAAAGAGTCAGCGTGTTTCTAGCTTTTTCCATTCTTTCACAATCCGTTGTCGAAGTGTGAGCTGCAGAAGCTTTTCCGGTTTGCGCCTCGCTTTTTTCACAGCAGCGCCCCAAAACAGTCTCCTAATTCATGCATTCCCTGCTTCCTGATCAGGTGATGTGTGACACAGAAGGGTGAATATCAGCTTTAGAGCTGTGATGTTTACTCTCAAGGTGCAAGAGTTAGTTCCCAAGCTCGCCCCGTTAACAAATGGCAGCGAGTGGTTGGATTTAAAGAGATACTAGGCAGCTTTGTTTGCTTTTAGCACCCCCTCGTGTTTGTTATTAATTCACTGTGGTTATACCGAAAATTAAACCTATGTCCTCGCTGTGTGTTCGTCTTTTTAACGCCTTAAGCTAACAGTTGAAATGTCTCCTCAGCCTTCATTAGTGTCTACGAGAGAGATTCATCACTAAATCAAACAAATCAGCTGTGTTCATGATCTAAAACATGCAGGAAATGTGCTGGAAGCCAGACTCCAGCAGCTCCACTCCACAGCCCCCGAATGAGTAAAGTTACTTTGAAATTTTTAAACTTTGTACCCCAGCTCCATCATCCAGAGACACAACAAACCATAAATTAGAAATGGGGGAAAATGTGGAGAATGGGATCTTTTGGTGTTTCTAATCTCAGTTGGTTCTGCATGACTCCACCCTGGTCAGAGTGTTTCTGTAGCCTTTTTAATGTTTAATCTGTGGATTTTCCATCACAAATGTTAAACATATATACTTAAAAAAATATGGAAAAACTTTTTAAACTGGTCACCCTCTTCCAACTTTAAGTTTAAATTGCAGAAGAAAACAAACTGGACATCTTTATCTCTTAAAACGATAGAAACAAAGATATTTTTCCTTTAGTGTAACGGCTCAACTACACACTCCTTTTGTTTTTCGTTAGTTTTATGTGTTCTGTGTCTTTTCTGAGCTTCTGAACTGATTTACCTGATCTGATGCTCCACAACATCTCACAGGTCAGAGTGAATTCCCACGAGTGTCACTTCAGGAATGATTCTCCTTCTGAAGGACATTAATTTGTAAAATCCTAAAAATTACTACACCTGGAGTAAATGAGTGCAAAAATCATGGAAATCTTATGTGCATGTAAATTTTAAAATCCATGATGAGAAATTAGGACTATGGAGTTTATAAACCAATGTTTTTCCTGAGGAGGATAGATAGCAAACACTGATCCAGTCTCTTTCTCTCTCACACACACTTGGGTAACCCAATTCATGTTGAGGAGAAAATGTCTATTTTATTTTAATTTGTTCTTTATTTAACCAGGAAGGTCCCATTGAGATTATAAACCTAATTTTCGAGAGTCCTGGCCAAAAGGCCTATTATAAAACCAAACAATAAGTTACTGTCATGGTCTGGGGAAGTCGTCTAACCCAAGACATGCAGAATCACAACCTGAACACAGGATGGTGGAAAATAATATATATTTATTGAAAACGGGGGACTGGAGGCACACTGGGAAGTCCAGCGGGATTAAGAACGGGAGCGCAGCATTGGGAGTTGAGGGGATGGACAGGAATGGGGGGGGGGGGGGGGCAGGTTGAGAGGGTGTATCCAAGTGGAGGGTGCAGGAGAGGGAGCGTGAGGAGAGCAGGAGAGCGGGTCGGTCAGGTTGGATGGAGAACGTATCAGGGGCTGAGTCCAGAAATCCTATGTAGCACGGGTGAATAATCCTGAGGTGTCGCGGTTTCCTGAGACGTCCAAAAACCTGAAGACAGATAATCACAAAATCCAAAAATCACAAAGTTCACAAACACTAGAGTATCCAAAACCAAGTAGCACAAGGAGGGCTGGAAACTACCAAGCTGTAGCAATCATCCGGCGTCGTGGTGTGTTCTCCATCCTCCTTAAGTAGCAGGACCCACTAATTGCAAACCAGGTGCAGCTGGGAAACTCCCTCTCCTGCAACACACAACTCAAAGGAGTAGAGTACTCACCCCGGCTCATGACAGTTACATATTAAACCTCATTAAAGGCTTCAAGAGACTAAAAATAAGACACAAACACACTATAAATGCTTAAGTCATTGCTGCACTTGTACTTGTTTGTTTAACTACAACAGATGTTTTGCGTAATACAGTTTCACGCATGTCACATGCACACAAACTAGCTGAGCCTCTAGCAAAGCAACGTACAAAAAGATCTCAGCCTCAAGTCGTATTTCCTCTCCTGCAGCCAACCTTTTCCCTTTTACCGGCTGCCAGAAGCAAAAAGCGCGTTCCTTCACTTCCGCTTCTCCCTGCAGCTAAATTCAATTCATTTTTTTTCCCCCTTTGCAACTGACACCGACACATGCCAGAACCAGAATGGCAATGATCCTGTCTCAGTTTGATCTTTCCAGTCAGTAAGGCGTCTTAATGGTAATCTAGAGGAGCAGTCTTTTAATCCAGAGACATTATGCTAACTGTAATTAGAGGAGGCAAATCCTTCATTCCTATTATGGAATTAGTGGCTCCACCTCAGCAGGGTAGCTGGAAACATGAGATCAGAGCTTGGCAGCAATCTGTCAAGTAAATGACATCAATTACTGCTAATTATCATGTGCATTTATATAAGACCACTACACTGCCTCAATTATTCTTTCCTAATATACTCTTAATATTAGTATTTTAAAGGACATTTTCAGTTTGTATAACATTGCACATCATTGAAGGGTTAAAACTGATCACATTAGTGACTAATTTGCATGAAAAAATGATTTTAAAGGCTTGAAAATCAGTCTGCCGGCTGATTAATACATTTGGAGACGTTTCTGCTTTAATCATAGAAACTAACACCTCCCTGAAATGTGAAACTCGAGTCATATCCAGATTGGAAACTTTGAAACCTTAATTGCCTTATCTCAGATGATCTCACCTTGTAAGATACAATTATCTGTTTGCACACACACTTGAATTAATCTGTTCCTAACCGCAGGGGTCCTCAGGTGCAGGCGACCAAAGCTGCCGCCGGTGTGAAAAAGTACGATTTGAGCAAGTGGAAGTACGCCGAGCTGCGAGATGTCATCAACACTTCCTGTGGTGAGAGATCTCTGAATCCAGTTTCAGCGTGGTCAGCATTTTTGTTCCGATTTAGATTCACACTAACACACTAGCTCACATTTTGGCACTTTTCATTCCCAAAATCATCTCTCTCTCTCTCGCTCGCTCTCTCTCTCTCTCTCTCTCTCTCTCTCTCTCTCTCTCTCTCTCTCTCGCTCTCTCTCTCTCTCTCTCTCGCTCTCTCTCTCGCTCTCTCTCTCTCTCGCTCTCTCTCTCTCTCTCTTGCTCTCTCTCTCGCTCTGTCTCTCTCTCTCTCGCTCTTTCTCTCTCGCTCTCTCTCTCCCTCTCTCTCTCTCGCTCTCTCTCTCTCGCTCGCTCGCTCTCTCTCTCTCTCTCTCTCTCTCTCTCTCTCGTTCTCTCTCTCTCTCTCTCTCGCTCTCTCTCTCTCTCTCTCTCGCTCTCTCGCTCTCTCTCGCTCTCTCTCTCTCTCTCTCTCTCTCTCGCTCTCTCTCTCTCTCGCTCTCTCTCTCTCTCTCTTGCTCTCTCTCTCTCGCTCTGTCTCTCTCTCTCTCTCGCTCTTTCTCTCTCTCTCTCTCTCTCTCTCTCTCTCTCTCTCTCTCTCTCTCCATACAAGTCTTTCATCAGTGCATCATTTAATTCTCTGTAATTTTTCCGAGCTGCCAGAGCGGCTGTTGAAAAGCTTCATCTTCAGCTGTCCAGAGAGCAAATGTCTTGCCTAAAAATTCCATCAAAAGGCAGAATGTGAGGATGTTTCCACTTCTGCTGTGGCTCGATGCCTCGCGTCTTCGAGGTGCAGAGAGGAAATGACTCCCCTCTCTGAAGGATGGCGTGTCATTCCCAGCCAACCTTCGTCTCACTCAGCAGATGACTTTCGGTTGGCCCACGTTTGTGATCAGATTCCAGGCATTCCGAGGACATCTGGATCATTTGTGGGAACCGTTAGCTCGGCTGGAGCAGGAGTTTGAAGTGAAAAAAGATTATAGTCTCTAAAAAATAATGTTTTGATAAATGTCCCAGTATTTTGTTGACACAGTTACATCTCAAGCTTTTTGAAGGTTTTCATCTAAATTGCAAATGTTGGCCTGTTGTTCCGACATATATCTCTTGTTTGTCCTTGTTTATGCAGTTTTTGAGGTTAATGTGAGTTTCTATGCATAGTTTCTACTGTTATTAATTGGTCCTCCAAAAGCAGGTGCTATGTCAATATCTAGAAGTGTAAAACCGATGTTATGAGGTTTGAAATAACCTCATAACATCAGAAAAATCATGACAGCCCTACAGCCATTTTGGACTATTTTTTGTATTTTTATTAACCAAATTCACCATGTGGTGAAGCTCAGAATCTTTTATAAAAACAAATAAATTTGATATTAACTTAAATTAAAGACCAAGTTTACTGAGACACCGTTTTTACTTGTTATTTTTAAAATATGTCGGTCAGTCACTCTGAGTTAAACATGCAGGCTAAGCAAAAACAGTGTTCTACCCCTATTTCCTGCATTAGCCGCCGATAGAAAATAGACAGGGAAACAATTGGGTTAGAAAAGCCAGTCAGATCTACATCACATGGTAAAATAGACCAACCCATCTTGGCTCGCTATGGGGAAAGCTTCTTTTGATTTAGCATCCAGAAGAGAGCAGAGCACATCTCAGTTAGCAGAAGCTAACATTAGCATTATCAACTCCCACAACATGGCAAAGCGTCTTGAGGCTTGAGTTTTTTGTAGTGATGAAACATCAATGTTAAAGCAAACATAGTCGGTAGTAGAGACACGTTGCTGTTAGCCAATCAGAGGCAAGATTTCCAAATATCAGGAAATAAGACTCAGAAACCTACCATGTTCTGCTCCCCACTACTTAGGATAACTCCTACTTCCTGCAACAGGGCCACAAGAGCTTTTCTCCCACCGAGATTGACTCATTTATATTATTTTTTAATATTAAAAAATCACAGAAACATCAAGTTAAGAGTCAGCAGGACTAGTGCACAGCTATTTTTGAGACTGTTAATGGATCTTGTAGCTGTGAGACGTCCAGCAGTGAAACCAGCTTGATACCTAATGGAAAGACGTGAGAGTGCTTGTGAACTTCTAATCTAACACTCAGCAAGAAACCAAAGAGGTCCAGTCCCTTCAGATGCTGTACAATTTGTTCTGCTGTTTTTCAGTGTATGTTTCCAGCATTGGTGATGTCACATACCATGCAGAAAGACCATCACTTTCTTAGAAATGATAAGCTTCTGCACATAGTCACTAGATGGTCCGTGCACACGTCAGAAATCCTCTTTCTGTTGACTAGATGTGATTAAATAATTGTTTTGCAGTATGTCTTGAGTGCTTTGTGTTATATGCACAGATATTGAGCTGCTGGCTGCCTGCAGAGAGGAGTTTCATCGTCGTTTGAAAGTCTACCATGCATGGAAGTCCAAGAACAAGAAACGTGATGATGACGGAAGTGATCTGAGGGCTCCTAAATCGATCACCGACTATGGTCAGTAAAGAAATTATGCATGTCATCAGCTAATGAAGCAGGATAATTATGCCAAATTTTGACCAACCACTTATGACAACCTTAAAGTTGCTCGCAATTACCGTAACGGCTCTAAAGACAGTTTTATCAGATGATCCTATCATGTGTGGTGTGCTACTAGCACTCTGCTAGGCTTAGAAGAACATTGGGACTTCATTCATAAACCTGGGTTTTCAAACATGTTGGATTGCCTCTTGAATGTGACAAGCAGCCAATCAGAAAGTGAGGTGACAAAAGCTGTTAGTTTTCTTGTAAGCCTCATTTTGTCTTGAGCGGGGAATTTCTGTAAGTGCAAGCGGTGTGTGTGTAGTTTTTGCTCAGTTTCTGCACACCTCATACTGTAAGACCAAACCCAGTATATCAGTGATTTTTGTATCCCTGTGTGGTCTCTCATGCTTTAAAATCGGCCGACTATTTAAAGATCCTGTGTGATCCGGCCTCTAATGTTTTAAAAGGAGCGTACATAAGAACTCCCTCCTCAGAGGTTTTTTATTGAAATGTTGTAAATACAAAGACCCAAATCACAGCTGCTACTCCGATCACAAATCTCTTTCTCTAATGATCACATCACAGCTGAACAAAACCCGGCTCCCCCGACGACGACCCAGCATCAGGAAGTTGCAATGAACCGCCAGCAGCGTTATTTTCGCATTCCTTTCATCCGACCCGCTGACCAGTACAAGGACCCCCAGAATAAAAAGAAGGGCTGGTGGTACGCCCACTTTGATGGGCCGTGGATCGCCCGACAGATGGAGCTTCATCCAGATAAACAACCCATTGTTTTGGTCGCAGGTGAGCCATCCGCTTTTTGTCTGGTGATGACAAAGACTTTATTACTCTGCAATTAAATTCAGATTGGCTTCCTTTAGCATAACAAAGATACAAGTGAAATTAGTTTTTGCTTTTATGATCTATCAGAAGATGATGAACGGTTGTCCTGAGTTTTCGATTTATGTTTTTGTGATGTCTGAAAAGACCAAAACTACTACATTTAACAAGACATTTTATATTTTCAGCCATCTTTGAAATGAATAAATTTGAGAAGGTTTTCATTCTCATTTTTGAGCCAATAGTCAAACTTAAAATAATGAGGGGAACAATTGAAAACTTAGTTTACTTTGAGGGCAAAACAATGTGTTATTTAGATGTAAAATCACCATGATTTACTCATTATATTTTTGCTAATTAATTTATATTAAATGTAAAAGAGGCCAGAATTTTTAGACTTTTTTGAATAGAAATAAATCGAGTTTAAGCTGCAAACCAAATGAGTAAACAGGGCAGAGGGTTTAGCAAAAACTAACAAAAAAATGTTAAAGAAGATGAAGAAGGTACTAATAAAAACCCAAAGCACGTGTCTGACTTAGCTTAAGTACGTCAGTATTTGGGATGAGGGACGGCTTTGAGAATTCCCCAGAATCAATGAAGGTGAATCAGCGATGATTTCTGATTTTCATCACAAAGTTAAATTGTTTTCTTCATTATGATATTTTAGCTTTTAAATCTGTCTTTTGCCTTTCAGGCAAAGACGATATGGAGATGTGCGAGCTGAGTCTGGAGGAGACGGGTCTGACCAGGAAGAGAGGGGCGGAGATCCTTCCCAGGCAGTTTGAGGAAATCTGGGAACGCTGCGATGGGATTCAGTACCTGAAGAAAGCCATAGAGAACAAGCAGGCCCGTCCCACGTACGCCACCGCCATGCTGCAGAGCCTCCTCAAGTGAACCAGAGAAACACACTGCACAATCATGCACGGTGACCTGGTGGTACATTTGATGTGTCTTAAGATACTCAAACAATCCTATTGGTGTTCAATTCTCCAAAACATCTTCATGTTGTTTATTTGTTTATATATATATATATATATATATATATATATATATATATATATATATATATATATATATATATATATATTGCAGTGCAACAATTTAACTGTGTAGCAATTGTGCTGAGTCTTTTGTGATCTATGCATGAATTTTTAATCCCGCTGAGGCCTTAAACTGCAATAATGCTGCACCACAGAAGCCTTAATCACTTTATCCTTTTCTAGCTGTTAACCTGAAACCTCATGAGCACACCAACCAGTTAGACAGAATTATTTTAACTGTGTTCAACTGTCAACCATTAAATCGTGTCTCTGTTTGGATCAAACTGAAATTCTGGCATTTATTTCTTCACATGAATTCAGACAAAAACCAGGTCATACCTGGTGAAATACGTGATTTTAATGTAATAGTTTGATCTTTGTTACAGAATTAAAGCAACTAATTGATGGACAAGACAACCAGGTGGATAGAAAGGCAATAAGGTCTTTGAGTCGTTATTTCTGACTAAATACTTTGACTCTTAACTCTTGGAATTCTTGAAAAGAGTGAGTTTTTATTATTTTTTTTTTTTTGTATTGTTGACTGGTTTGTTAGAGGGAAATGTTTTCATGTTTGCAGTTTTGTGGGTATCAAATTGTTTTTCAGATGATAATGTGATTTCTGTGTGTGTGTGTGTGTGTGTGTGTGTGTGTGTGTGTGTGTGTGTGTGTGTGTGTGTGTGTGTGTGTGTGTGTGTGTGTGTGTGTGTGTGTGTGTGTGTGTGTGTGTGTGTGTGTGTGTGTGTGTGTGTGTGTGTGTGAAACATTAAATTAAGTTAAACACTTGACCACTTTGTTGATTAAATCACAAAATCGTTATTTATCAAGACAACTTTCAGTCAGACTCTTATAGAAAATCTGTTCATCGCAGCTATACTCACTGTCAGAAACTCCATATATAAACGTCTGTTCTATGATGGCCTTTGTTCTGAAATAGAGCAGAAAATAAAAGTCTCTGAAAAGTGCCTGACTGATTTTTAAAGGATGTTTGGCTTTTTGTTCTATTTTTGTGAAGAACAAAAAAGTTGTTGATCTTATTTTTGGTAGATGGCTTCCTGATGAGTCTCTCTTTGGAGAAATGTGGTTTAAGTCCAACTGGATTCATGAATTAAAGTACCGCTCATTGTCCCAGTGATCCTAGGAGCAACGTTTTCCGGAGCATCATGCTCCTGGTAGGGTCAGCTACGGAAAACAAGTCCTAGGTGAAGGATCAGACAAAGTGCAGTTCAAAAGCCTCTAATGACAACTATCAACGGAAACACTGTTCCCTCACTCGGTCTCTGGAGCAATGACTGGAGGTGGGCCACGACGCGTTAAATGCTCACGTGGGCAACAATAGTGGGATATAAAGAACTGTGGTTGGGAGGATTTCAATCCAAGTGGTGTTTTGTTGTTGGACTTCTGTGCTTGTCGTAGATTGTCCATAATGAACACCATGTTGGAACATTTAGATGCTCTTGGCACCAGGATCCTCATTTCATCTGTGGCCGCATGCCTTGGACACTCAGGTGTTAACTGACCTGGTGGTGAGAAGGTTCTGATTGTGGGGGAGGATGCCGGTCAAACCTGTTAGATCCAAACATATTGTGAGGGTCTGCTAGGAACATCTGATGACATCTAGTTCGGTCGTGTCCCTTGAGGATTACTGTACTAGGCCCCTGAGACATGCTTTTAGGTCCCTGTATGGTGAGTATGATTCAGATCTGACCCAGTCCAGCCCGGTCTCGGTAGCGTTAGCCCAGTTGTGCACGGCCAGGTTTTGTTCACATAGCCTTCTCTGGAACGTGAAAATCTCTAAGCATATGGGTGGGGCAAAAGACACATGGAGAAGTCTGAGGGGTCCTCCTTAATTAGTAAACAATAATGAATCACGCATGCGGGAAACCCCTGCCGGCTGGTGTGAACTTCAGCTGGCCAATCAGTTGGCAGGGTACTGGGTCAGTTCAACCCGAAGCAGACTGCCAGGGAAGGAGATCTGAAAAAATGTTTGGTTGAGCATAGAAACACACAGGTTACCCAGATGTTAACACAATGTACCATACCAGGGCAGTCTGTGCTCAGCCAGATGTGAAAACGCCATAATATCAGAGCTTGGTCCACATTACCAGTGAGGCTCAATCCCGATGAGAGATGGACTCCACAAAGGCTGTCCTCTGTCGCTGATTCTTCTATGGCCAGGATTTCTACGTGCAGACGAGGTGTTGAGGGGGTCCGTTTTGGTGAACTAAAGATTGGGTCGCTGCTCTTTGGAGAGGATGTGGTTGCCTTCATTAGACTGTGATCTCCAACTTTCACAGCTGTACGCCAAGTGTGAAGCAGCAGGGTTGAGAATCAGATTCTCCCAATCCGAGACCATGGTCTTGAGTCGGAAAAAGTGAAATGCCTTCTCCATGACGGTGACGAGACCCTACCGCAAGTAGAGGAGTTTAAGGATTTCTGAGTTTTGTTCAGGGATGAGGGAAAGATGGATCGATAGGCAGATTGGTGCTGCGTCTACAGAAATGCGGGCATGGTGAAGAGAGAGCTGAGCCAGGCAAAGTTCTTTATTTACCGGTCGAACTACGTTCCTACCCTCATCTGTGGTCAATGCTTTGGGTAATGACCAAAAGAACAAGATCGTGGATACAAGCAGCTGAAATGAGTTTTCTCACTGTGAGGAAAGATCAACGTTTGCCAAGAGTGTACAGTTTAGCACATGAAAGTAACATAGGCTTCTCCTGAACACATCTTCATACGTCACTGTCTCATCAAAATGATATAGTTCACAATTATAGATGTTTTTGGTCAAAGTTACATAATCTCCAGGTAATACGACACAAAAATGTGATGATGACCATTATTAAGAAAACTGCTGTAAATAAGGAATAATGGCTAAAAGGTTGTTAAAATGTTATGATGATTACCTTCATAAGTTTGTTTCTCTGCGCAAGTTTGAATTAAATTCACTGAAAAGTGTTCATTATATCTGCTTCTCATCTCCACTAAGAAAATGTTTCCTCAATTTTCTGCAAATTGATTTATTTCCATCAAAAATAGTTGTGAAATTAGGCTTGTTACCAGTTTTTACAAAAGTACTAACAGATCAAATTAAATAGGATAAATATATTTTTTGTGTTTATTTTAAAGAAATATATATTAAAAAATTTTACATAACAATGGCAACAATGTTTTGAATGCTTTAGTGCTCAAATCACTCAAATTCCTAATGTCGTATTCTCAGCTTTAGTGAAAATCTGATGATGCTTGAGGCCTAATTTATCAATTCATCAGACTCAATAGAGACATTACGATTTTGAAAACTTTTATTTATATTTGTTTTGTATGTAAAATATATAAAAATATGTCCAAGTCTTCAAATGATTAGTGGTATAACTAAAGAAACCAATCAAAACTTCTAGACAAAAAGTGCAATAGCTTATACAGTACATTCTCTTTTTGGGACACAACAGTGTTAAAGAACGGCATTAAAATTAAACACATTATAGAGTCTAAACATGGGTAGATACATCCATGTGTATCAGTTTGTAGATAATGACCTCACTGTGAGGAAAGAACAACCTTTGCCAAGTATGTACAGGACGTCTTCCTACCGCTCAACACATGAAATAAATATTAGCGTCATCTTGAACACATCTCCACAGCTCACTGTCTATCAGAAGACTTTCATCACTATGAAAAACTCGATCACTCTTCTAATGTACGTCCAGCCAAGGCTCAGGCGAACGAGGTGTCATCAGAGAACCGTCACCTCGAGGCAGTCGCTGTCTGACGCCCTTAAAGAAAAACACCTTCTGTATTCATTTGGCAGTTGCCACGTCTGGAGGAAGCAAGATTTACAAGGAAAAAGAGGGAAAATTATTCATTTACACAATCAATTATAGTTTTATTTCATATATTTGGCATGCAAGAAGAAATGTCATCAAGCATGCAGCATGAGCAGTGATTGGTGCTTAACTAAATTATGATCTACATTTAATTTATTCAAGCAAATTTTGAATGCAGTGATTCGGTATGTAAGTTAAACAAATCATTGAAAGTTGAGAAGACAGATTTGTTTGTTTTGTTTTTTTACCTTTGCGCATTTTGTAAAGCTGAAAAACATTTCAGGTTGGAGTCAGTCACTTTTTGCCAAAATGTCTTAAAATAATACCGAGTCTCCAAAGAGTGAAAACATCCATTATACGTGTGTGTGTGTGTGTGTGTGTGTGTGTGTGTGTGTGTGTGTGTGTGTGTGTGTGTGTGTGTGTGTGTGTGTGTGTGTGTGTGTGTGTGTGTGTGTGTGTGTGTGCGTGTCCCACTTACAGCAAAATATTTAATGAATTTAGTGAAAGTTATAACTGGATGCTACTGAGCCAACCACATTCAAGATGGCCACCGCAGCTAACTGGCGCGACCAAGGAAGTGTGCAGCTTTACTCTGTTAGGCTAGGCCAAAAGCTGTGGATCTGTCTGTCTTTCTACCTGTCTGTCTGTCTGTCTGTCTATTCACATTTTAGATGTGCCCAGTACATCCTGGAACATGAGTGGTGCTCTATCATTTTACCTTGTTGTTTCCCTATTGTCTAACAAAGACATTAAGGCCGTTTCTCAATACTCAAGGATGCTAGTACATTCTTGTGTATTACACAAGGATGTTCTTGGCAAGGACACCAGGAAGTCAGTTCTACCGAGTACGGGAAGAAGAGGACGGCATTTGGAACAGAACCGTACTCCGTTGTGTCCTGCCAACAAGCACTGCTTCTTACTGCAGTTAAGAAAACGACCTGACATGAAATAAAAGTCTAGTTTGTTCATTAAATAACAAAATAACTAAAACATATTATTTGTATTATATTTGGCTTTTGATCAAAACTAATAAAATACGAACAATTCCTGCACTTTCATGAATAAAATAAGTTTATGTTTCATCAAAACAGGGCTACGGTGCTTTTATTTTGATAGTGGGTAGTTAATTAGCATTTTGGAGGATCGTGAAGACTCAAACCCAAACACACACCGCAAAATTTACAGTTTACACACGATTATTTACAATAACAGACAATTTTATATGATTTTATTTATATTTCTAATATAAAACATTACAGTTATTAGCTTTCTTCTCTGACGTTCAGAGTTTAACGGTTAGCAACGCAATGCATTATGGGAAACTTTGCTGTCTCAGTGTCGCAGAAGGATGCATCGATGCATCCTTGACACAATGGGCGGAGTAAGAACACATCTGGGAATTTGGAGCGAACTTGCCCTTTTGCCTAATTATGATTGGAACAGTCCTTGGGCCATCGTTGATGACGTTTCACAAGGACGTGAGTACACACGTTTGGACAAGTATCATATTGAGAAATGGCCTGGAGTAGCTTGGGCTAGCATTGTTCTGTGGTTAGCTTTATCACAACCAACGTTTATATATTGCTAAAGTGGGGTGGGACCACAGACATAAATATGTAAACGTCTCATGGACTGGCGCTGCCTATTGGAGCTGGCGTTGTGGCTGGCTGCCATCTTGGATGGGTCTCTGTTCGCAAACAAAAACAGGCAAAGCTGCTCACTCTGCATTGACTCCAGTTGGGTTAGGAGCGTGAGGAGACCCACCCAAAATAGTTGTTACACTCTCCAGCGCCCAATGGGGCGTCTACATAATCATGTCTACGGGTGAGACATGCTTATGACATGTTATACCAGCTTTTCTCAGAACAAACCCTTTCTTTGTGGCCTTTACAATTTTGATCATTTGCATAGGAAAGTAGGTCAGGCTTTCCCCAAGCTGCCTACATTCAACAACAACAAGGTAAATGTGGTTTTGAAATCTAGAACACCTTTAAAGTAGAAACATAAAATTTGGGTAACACTTTACAATAAGGGCCCCTTTATTGACATTACCGTTATTGTTTACTATTAAGTGTCCTTAATAGGACAAAGGGCTGGGGGTGTCTGCTTTTTAATGCATTACATAATATGGTTAAGCAATTGTTAATACTTTAGTAATGCTCATGACTGCACAAAGTAATGTTAATAAAGTGACCCTTATTGTAAGTTGTTACCAAAATTTGAATAGATGTTAGGTCCCAGCCACTGAGCTGGGATCAGTTACGAGCTCACCTCGCTCCGTGGCATACTGTGATGAAAATCCACCATTTCCGATACTAACTTTTCTGATCTTGTTGTGTAGAGTTGTCTGGGGATCTGTAGAGACAGAAGCAGATGTGTTTGCAACGCCATTAACCTCTGACAGATGCAGCATGAAGGACGTACATGAAGAATCTACTCCAGGAAATCTACCTGTACAAGACAAGAGGCGGCTCAGAGGAGTTTGTTAAAACCTACATAGCAGTTCTTAAACTTATGAAGGTGAGTAGTTGAGGCTGTTGGTAGAGTCATTAGAGCAGTTTTAGGCAAAGTTTAGTATTTAGTCGAGATAATCTGGCGGTACGATGTACCTCAATACTTAGCCGTATATTTTCTATTGTGGCAAAATGTTCCTGCTCAGATTGTTGGGAGTGGGATGAGACAGAGCTCGATGGACACGGTATTGTGGACACATGAGTTAAAACACCATCATCATTCTCAAATACCGGGTTCTCCCTCAAAGTATTCTCGAAGGCATAAGGCGCAAGGGTATGCCTGGAGGAGATGGGGAGCGCAGTTGTTTGTAAAACACCAGGAGACAGACAACGAATGACAAAACGGGTAATGCAAAGTAGATGCAAAAGTGTGCTGTGACTTACACCAACGTTATCGTCTTTTTGGTTCTTACACACTTCTTGTTGATGAATATTAAAACGCAGATGATGGCACAAATGAGGCAGAGACTCCCCACGAGGCAGGTTATAATTAGAGGAGGGTCCACGGGCACTGATACCAGCTCGCTGCAGCGCTCGCCGTGGTAGTGCCAGTATTTACCCACTGGGCATCTGAAACAGAAGAGAAAATATACAGAGCATAAATGTATTTCTGAATAAATAAAATGACTTTTACTTTGATTATGACAAATGCTTCAAAAAGCTCCTGCAAACAAGTACTGTTAGATAAATACTATATACTGTGGCATTAAATATGTATGGAGGAACCTCAGTCATTGACTGATTTCATAACAGTAACTTCATTAATATAGTCCTGTTTCCTAAAGGTAGAGTGAATAGATATGAATTCAATTAATCTGAACAAATTATATGAAATATTACAAAATGTCGTGTCTAAACTTAAGTTTCACTTTTATGCCAGCAGCATGTTTTTGTGTATTGCACTAGAGCTTCTTTATACCATACCATACCATACCAAGTTTATTTCTAAGCAAATTTAGAAACATGGCAGCTGACCAAAGTGCTGTACTTTAAAAAACATACTTTCTATTTGTGGAAATTAGAAGAACAGACTTTAAAACCAGTTAACTTTTGGACACAGCCTATTTAAAGATGGCTGCCCCGGCTAACAGACCTTAAGAGTTAAAAATGTTTCTAACCCAGTTTTATGATAAGCTACAATTTCAGAGAGCCATTCAGGACGCATACTAACACTATTCAAGCAAAATGTCTATAACTGTCACTTCTCAGCTTTAAATGATCTTGGTACTAAAGACTGACATACAGCAGGTGAAAATGTTTCTCTGGCATGTTTTCTCTTTTAAAATGCATCTAATGTTTATACAGGGAACAGGGCTAAACTGCAGTCAGAGATATTTGAAATTCAAAGCCCTTAACTTCAGAGTCACAAAATTGTAAAACATGCAAAATATGTTCCGTAAATTTCCTGAAATATGCAAAAGTTTTACGAAAACATAATGTTGGGTAAAAAAAAAGACACTGTAAATAATATTCAGTCATAACAACGGGTTCATCTTTACTGAAGTAATGAGCATAAAATGATACTTTAACTAACTTACATTTGCTGATTCTGCTTTAAATTTGTGATGCAAAATAAAACAATTTCTTTACAGTGTTTGCAAGTTTAAGAAATATTTGAAAGTTTTGAGTTATAACTCTAAAAAGCAGCTTTCTAAATGGTCTGGATGTTTGATGCCCTGGAAAGTTTTCATAAAGGTGGACAGAGGCAGTCAGTGGAAATGGGGTGGCACACCAAACCGCTCCTTATGGTAAAATTAAAAAACAATATGGATCCAACACTTTTACCCAGGGTTCGAATTACACACTTTTTTTACCAGGCTTCCCCCGAGTGTGCCAGATGAGAGCTTATGGGAAAGCCCATCACCCTTTCGGGGGAGCAACGCTCCCCATGGCTCCCCCATAATTCAATCCCTGCTGTTACCTCAAATTGGAGAAACATTTCAGGAAAAAAAAGAAACATTTCAGTTGTTTCAATAATTTTTCAACATTTATTTTTGTGCATTTTAAAACAGTTTAATTTGCCTGTTTTTGTCTTAACAAAAAACATCCTCAAAAACTATTACTGTAATATTTATACGTCTTTTTGAGAGTGATAAGCAGCAGTTAATTATAAAGAAGATGGAAATATGTTCTGTGTGAACGTGAACAAGATTTATTAAGATAGGCCAAGTCTTACCTGGAAGGGCAAATGTAGTGGCCAGCAATTCTCCAGGTGGGACCTTGGCCACCCTTGGCCACCCCTTGTGGGTGCCACTGGTTAACAAAGAGGTTAAATAAAGTTTTTGTATGATGTGCATATGTGGAGATGTTCACTAGGAAATCATTACCATTCAAATTGAAGATTCCTTTATTTAAATTAGTGTACAAGAACTTTTTTTAGTAATCTGGCTTTTTAAGTAAAACTGCTTTAGAACGGATTTCTTTAAAATCACTACATCGTCTATTCGTTAAGTAGCTATTTTTTTAAAACATCTACAATCAGATTTTATCTTGAAATACTCAGAACCAGAACACCAGACGTCCTTTTTTTTCATAGAAGTACATTTAAGGTTTTAGTCAGATTTGAGGTAATGGTTGTTAAATACGTGTAATTTCACCTATCTCGTTCCTTTTCTTTGTGTTTTCATTGAGTGTTTTCATCAATAACCTCTCATGTGCCCTTGACGGCAACACTGAGTGAGTTTTATTTTACATCAAAGCTCGTGCATTCAACAAAAAAAAGGGATGCAGCCTATTAAATGAAGTATGCAATCTTCTTTCTGTGCAATAGTAGTTTCATCTAAAAGGTCACAAGTATGTACCTGCAGGTGACTCCATGACCAGGGATTATTTCACACTGTCCTCCATTCAGACAGTAATCTGGCTGCAGAATGCAGCTGCTCTGACAGGGTGAGCCGTCCACTGTGCTGTAGCCCGGATCACACAGACACTCGGCCTCATTGGTCCAACTGTTGACCACACAGCGGGAAAACTCGTTGCAGGACAGGAACTTGCAAGGATCTGCTTGGTCAGCTGGATAAAAACAGAACAGAGAGGTCACCGGACAAGAAGAGGGGGAAAAACAGGAAAGGTGTTTCATTAATATTAATGCAAACTCATACTGTTTAAGGAGGAAGAGGAGAGTTTGGAGGGCATTCTGATTGATTTGAACGAAGCTGTCTGCTTTAAAAAGGTGTTTTAATGAGGTCAAATAGAGTTAAACTCATTTATACAGCACCTTATTGACAAATAAATATAATTTCTTATAAACGAGGCCTTTGCTTTAGACAACTTTATTCACGAAAAGAAAAATCTTTACAACTTTAAAAGTAGGATTAGTGATTCCATCATGAAAGACATCTGACCTGGTTCCACCTCCAAAGAGCGGCTATCAATCTCGATGTCGAGCCGCGTGGATGCTACATTGCAGAAGTCCTCCAGCACGCAGTGCACGGCCTCGGTGACGTTATACGGTACCGGCTTGTCCAGCTTCATCTTGCTGTTCACCACCACGCTTCCGTTCCTGAAGTTGAGAATCTCCAGCTGCTTGAATCCCGTCAAATTCGACTGGAAATATGGTAAAAGCTGTGTGGGTGGAGAGGAAAAAGCTGATTATTCTGCTACTAATTTTGATTTCAATTTCCTACAGATTCATGGTGTTAGTTATTAGTTTGCAGCAAGAAAACAGGATCTAAAAACAGCTGATTTAATAATTCATCTGAGGACATTGAATAATTAGACGGTGCTGGATGCTTGTCAGCTTTAAGCGTCAGTGTAGATTTGTGTCACTCTGAGAACAAAGCTGTTGTTTATCCAACTGTTTTCCGCTTCAGAGAAGAAGTTGTCATTTCACTGTTGATTTGTGTTATTTAGGTCACATTTCCCAGAACATTCAATTAATAGTTTACGATTACATTTTAATGCAGGAATGAAATTGTGCCTTTGCTGCTGTGATCGTAATTAAATGCAGGAATTAAACTAAAGCACAAACAGCAAAATTAAATCTATAATAAATGTTATTTGGTGATGGAATGTCAATAAGCACAAATCTGTCCTCAAGGATTAAATATGAAAGAGCTGACATTCAACTGAGTAAAAATGCTAACACACCATGTAAAAAACTAAGTGCAAAATCTTTTTTCGATACTTTTGATATCATTCTGAGCAAAAAGTAAAATAAAGTAAACATTTAATTGGGGGGGGGGGGGGGGGTGTTGTAATAATTTAAAGGGATTTTGGTCCACTCCTCCTTAAAATGCTGCTGCGGTTACGTTGCAGACATTCGTTTGTTCACAGCATGTCCAAACTATGGCCCAGGGGGCATGTATGGCCTTTTGGGGGAATTTTGTGTTGCCCCAGTTGCACATCTAGAATATTTTTGTCTAATTGGTAGATTGTTGACTTATCAACAATTGTTTACATTTTTTGTTCTGATTTTGACTAACATGAATTAGAATAGAATTTTCTTGATTAAAAATCTAATATTTGTGGCACACGGGAACTTTAAAGGTGCATGAAGTAAGACTGACATCTTGTGGTCAAATTTGGGTACTGCAGTCCATGTTTCAAAACAAACAACACTGCTCTGAGTGACCGCCCCCACGACCACTCTATCCATTCATGAGTTTTATGGCGGTTGCCAGTTACGGATTAGTGCCAGATGATTTTAGATTTTTTTTCTAATTCAGGTTAGCATTGTTAGCTCAATTTTAGCTTCCTGTCTTCTTTACCCGATAATGGAGCAAAACAAAAATGATGCTGTGGCTCTTTAACCTGGCCTGCCAGACTCCTCCCCTGTTTTATTTTGCACAGAGAAAGGGTCTGGGAACTCTCCTATTCAAATAACCCCACCCCGTGAGAATTCTAACCGAGCCAATAAGCGCTGAACAGCGTACGTCACACACCACAACGCTGGGTTTGTCATAAACATGGCGACTGAAACGGAGTTCGCTGCGGCTCTTTCCTCTGTTCTAAATTACTTGGACACGTCTTTAAAACCACAAGTAGAAGCACTAAAAACCTTTCTTCTAATGTTTGCGCTGTCGCCAGACACCATTTTTGACTACAGCTGAAAAACTACAGCGTTGCACGGTACAGTCTGCATTTCCGTCTTTTTTCTGATTGGTTATTTTTAAGCGGACTAGTCCCGCCCCTCAAGTGCCTGTGAGTAACCACACTCTTTCTCTGTGCAGAATCAAACAGAGGACGAGTCTGGCAGGCCAGGCTAGTGGCATTTTAGGGTTACAAGAAATAACTTCTGGGCCACTTATTTTACCAGTTAACATACTGTCCACAGTGCTGATGCTTTTTACTGGACGTTGTCAATTTTCAAATGCAGCTGCAGACTTGGCAACCCTGCAGGCTCACAGATTGGAGGACTCTTCTGCCTTGCTAAAAAGAGAAAAACTGGCAATCCCCCAGCCGGCTGAGAAGGAAATTTGTTTAAATGTAACTGTCCTTCCAACATGACTGAGACATTAGACGGTTTTGTGACTGTTTTACTGTAAAACTGTAATTTAATGCACCTTTAAAGTTGAATATTTTGGGCCTCTTCTTGAAACGTTTGGATACCCTTGGCATAGACTGATGTTTAAACTTTGTTGCTGTGAATTATTGCCCTAAAACACCAACTGTGAGACTTTTGATGGTATACCTGCGCAGAAGCCATTATTATAAACCCTGTTAGACACGTCTTTTCCCTGACTTGTGTATGCTGGAAAAATATTATATTTTCATACTGTAATTAATATTTCTTTAAATATGTAGTCAAAATGTGTGTGCTCACCTGAGTGCACATTTATTACAAATACATAAAATCAACCCTCTAAAAAGGAAACTAGACATGAAAATTCACTTTTAATGACTAAAGATGACTAAAAGTTATCATAATGTAGAAATAAAAGGCTTAAAAACACTAATAAAATAAAAAATGTGGACGTCTGTATAAAAGCTTCATTGCTAAAGTGACTCAGCTCATATTATTATTATTATTATTATTATTATTATTATTATTATTGAATTATTACATTATGTAAAGATGAAAATCAGACATTTTTCATGATTTTTTTTACTGATGGTTTGGACATTAAAATGCACTAATGAATGAAAGCTGAACAATTTTACATACAATTCAGCAGAGGGCATAAATACATTTTATATTGTCCATTTAAGTTTGTGATTGTTTAAAAAACATATAATTTTCTGATTATACGGAACTCAGGACACACTATGGAGAATCTTTTTTCCTAGTGTGTGTGTATGTGTGTGTGTGTGTGTGTGTGTGTGTGTGTGTGTGTGTGTGTGTGTGTGTGTGTGTGTGTGTGTGTGTGTGTGTGTGTGTATGTGTGTGTGTGTGTGCGTGTGTGCGTGTGTGCGTGTGTGTGTGTGTGTGTGTGTGTGTGTGTTTGTGTGTGTGTGTGTTTTCTGTAACTTTCTGTAACCTTGTAGGAATTCAGACAAATACAATTAAAATCTAACCACGAATACTTTGTTCTCAGCAGTGAGATCTCTTTCTGATTCTAGTGGGAATGACTGATATGGAAATGACATTATAAAGGTATTGAAAACTAAAATAACCTAATAAACGAGCTCAGTAGATTAGTTTCCAGAGGCTTCCATGAATCTGTTTTAAAATATAAAATTGAGTAAAATCCACGTTATATTTAATAGGATTAATTTGGATGCAGGTTTGTATATTGGATTACAGCAGAAACTAATCTCCCAGGACTACAGACTGATGGCAGCAGAGGTATTTAGGACGAGGAGGAAGTAATGAACCTGCATCAATGTCATCGACCTGTACCGCTCTCCTTCCAGTCACTCTGAGTTCACTACAGATGAGGCAAACATCAAACCAGCGCAGTGTGAGGGGGAGAGCTTACGACTGCTGTGTGGGAGATAAGAGGCCTTAAGGAGCTCTGCTCTGATCGGGTTACCTCACCTATCACTGGCAGGCGGTTTAAAGACAGGACCAGTTCCCCATAATAGGTAGCATCTTGGTTCGGATTTCAGAACAAATAAAGGAGCAACTTTCTGCACCGCTACACACACAACTTTGAGCAGGATCACCCATTTGTCTCAGTGCTAAATGTCACGGAGCTTTGGGGACTTTAACGTACGAATCTCAGCTGATTGTGTTCCTTAGAATAAAAAGGCACTGCTCAAACACAAACACAGCCAAAGCGTTCACACAGCGTTACACTTGTATCTACTGGTTCTTGAGTTATAAAAATAAAACAAGCAACGTGTTCCTGCGCTCATGTCACAAGTGGTATTCTGCTGCCGTGAAACTGGTTGTCTCTGATTTATTGTAAATAAACTCATTTCCAAACTCCATGCCCAGTTTTATTGGTTGCGTCACAAACCAGTAGGTACAGGGGTAATTGATGCAGGAAAGACAGGGGGGTTGCAAGCCACTATGGGCTAATGACACACATATATGCATGTATATATGTGGGAGAGGAGGTCAATATGCAGTTCCACAAATGAGCTCCAAAAAGCCAGCGAGCCATTTCACTCTGTCACTTTAAATGGGCTGCCTGATGCATCACATTATGTTACGGTTCCCAGTGATCATTTGCGCTTCTTCCACTGATTTATAAACTAGGTTGGATGAGTTTCATACAAATGTGTCCTCCTTTTAACAGAACTAGCCCATTTAAAGGAAGATGATCATTTACAAACGGTCAATAAATACTAAATACTTACCCGCTCAAACGTCTGACCACTTTAGATTTGCCAGGAAGCTAAAAGGATCAGTTAAAAGGCATGGTTTGGGCAACCACTAAAATTTGGAGATGGAGTGTTGTTTTTAGCAATGATTTAACCTGATATTTCCAAATATATTCAAAAAACATATGATTTGAAATATCTTCTGCCATTTTAACAGGATTAGTACTTTCTTCCAAATATTGCTAGATAGAAATACGCCTGCCCTCTGGTGGAATATTTAATAACTTTAGGTGGAAAGTGCCATTTTTTTTATTGTTTTCATAGTATCATATAATAACACATTAAAATGTGATACACCATTGTTAAAATGATCTAAAAGACAGTACATTTCAGGTTGCTGTACAAAATCAAAACACCAAAACCATTTCATAATATTAAAGTTAGAACAACAAGGTGATCTTTATTTCTGGCTGTGTCAGAAGGAATGTTGTACTATTAACTCAAACCCTGAATTTTACAAAAGCTAGCCCATTCCTCACCAGGCCATTTGGCCTAGCAGTAACAACACAATTCAGTTTGCATGTTCTCAGTTCCAGAATTGGGACCTTACGTACCGCCGAATACAAAACACGTGAGCAAATCAAATGCATAACCATACTATCAGCCTGAAAACTGGTGCAGACATGGAACAAAAATAGTCCTCACCAAGAGTGCGGTTACTTTTGCAAATAAGTAACTTTTCATAAAACAATGAATGCTTTAAAAAACACTAAAAACCAAAAAGACCCCGTTTTATTGCATTTTCTTTACTGCGTTAAGTTTTAAAAGTCAGTATTGAGAAAAACATGCGTGCACAAGTCCACATAAACTTGAATGACATCAAACTAAGGAGATTCAAAACTGATTAGCGTAGTGTGTGTGTGTGTGTGTGTGTGTGTGTGTGTGTGTGTGTGTGTGTGTGTGTGTGTGTGTGTGTGTGTGTGTGTGTGTGTGTGTGTGTGTGTGTGTGTGTGTGTGTGTGTGTGTGTGTGTTGTGGAGGGCAGTGCAGGAGCTGCCTAGCATTAAAGCCTCTTACCTCGAGTCACCCACCAGTGACTAAGGTAGATAAAGATCCCATGATTCAGGCTCTCTGCCTTGTAAAAGCCAACACAGTTTAAGCAGCAGAGTGTGTAAACCTACAACATTCCAAGTGTGTTTACTAAGCTTATTATCATATTATTTTACCCCACGACCGTTCTGGACTCCAATCTGCAGGTTTATCCTTAAGACGGCAAGCATGCGATCGCTGGAATTTTGCAACACAACTATGAAAAACAATTCTAGGGTTAGGGTTAGGTGTTTGTGAATACCTCACTCCTGCAAATAGTCATGCACTGCATACCGATGTCACTTACAGAAAAATACGCACTTTGTGGTATTGTTTATTTGTGCTGGCTACATTATTACATGCTGAATATCTAATTTATTAAAATAATAAAGTGAATCTATGCAGTGAGAACAAATAAAAATATGATAATCTAAAGGGGTTCGAGTTAAGGCAACTGGATCTTTTTGGTTTTTTGAAGACGTTTTGCTTCTTATCCAAGGAGCTTCATCATTTCTCACTGTAACACAGGAGAGTCAAGCTTATAAACCTAGAGCTGTCTATTGTTGCGTAATGAGCTGAAACTTCTAATGCATGCTTTCTTGTCAAGTTAACTACTGTATACTTCAATAAGAGCTTGTTAATATGGCACACAATCCTTACAACAATTTAGAAACACAATTTAAGCATTTTTGTCAACTGTGGAAAATATTAGAGTAGGACCAAGCCCCCACAATGCGGGTGAAAAATTGAGCCCAACGCGGAAGTGACAAAAATTGCAGTTCCACCCTCATCCGCTGGGGGCTGGTGTCAGAAGCGAGCAAATCCTCATTGACTCCCATGTTAAAAATACTAATTTCACAGCAGAAATAAACATGTTTACAGCCTGGTTCCAAAACATGTTTTTTGTTTAAATGATCTAGTTTACACTCATGACAACTCTGTGGGGGGGGGGGTGAATTTTTTTTCACTCTTCTGTTTAAGTGTATTAAAAGCCTAAAATTCTGTATAATTAATGAGCATCCGACCCACGTGACCGCCGCCTCAGACCCACATGACCACAGAGCTAGCTCCGTGGAAAGGCCTCAGTAGAGCCTCGGTCTGGCTTGGAAACTGCTCCAGGATTTTGAGTCTCTGTGTTTGTGTGTTCTTTTTTGGATATTATTTGTGCAATTGTTGGACAAAATGACTTGCCGTGGCATTAATTGCACTAATAGAGCGTCCAAGGAGTCTCCACTTCATTTATTTCGGTAAGTAAAATTATATTTATGTATTTTAGGTCACTGCCGAGCTGAGCTTAGATTTTAACATGTACTGTTTAACCATGAAATTTAAATGTAATAGTGTAAAACCCAGTGCATTTAACATAATGCTGCACTTTAGAAAATGGGTTGAAACATAGCATGTTGGTGGAGCTGGGTTCCGACTATCGGCTTGTGGAGCTCTCAGGAAACCGATGTTTTCCACCCGGTTCTCCCCTCCCCGCAGCTCGGCGCATCTCTGTCTGATCGTGGCTTCGGGCTGCCGGCTTGTGGAGCTTTCGGGAAACCTCTGTGTTCCACCCAGTTTTACCCAGCGGTCAGCCCAGCGAATCTCTGACTCAGAAGCTCTGGTGTTGTGCACAGTTAACTCCGGTTGTAGCTAGGTTGCTACCTCCGTTAGCTTAGCTCCCACCTCCGCATTAGCTTTGGGTTAGCTTCAGGTTAGCTTGTAGCTAGTTCGACCGGGTGTCGTCAGTTGATCCCAGCCTTACAGCCCCACCCTCAGCTCCACCTCTCTTCCCTTTTGTGGAATTGTCTGGGCTTGACGGAACCTGTGACACGGTCAAAATGGCGGTGGGGGCCACCTCCGTTTATCTTCAGAAATGTGTTATTGGAGACTATGGAAACCCATTGTCCAATATTTATATGTCGATGAGTAGGACGTTATTTGGAAAAGAGTCTTCAAAATATCTTGAAATGTTTGCAACGGTTCTGTTTCATTTTGTGAGTTGTGGGGCCTCGCTGATGTGTGCTGGAATTTTGAACATGCTCAAACTTTTGCCAGATGAATTTTCTTTTGAAATAATCCTGAACTCTCCTCAATCTAGTTGTCATTAATGAGAACTTGTGAGAAGTGTGATACAATTTTGGAGGCATTAGCAACATATGATACTTGTAACTTGATACAAGAGAAAAGAGGAACTGGTTTGGAGAGTGCAAAAAAATAGTGATGACGCTAAACTACCAAGAAAATGAAAACGCAAGTAAGACACTTTGTGACTTAAATGCAACCAAATAATTAGCACAATATTCAAACAAATGTTGCAACTATTTACACTGTTTACAGTGGCCCCGAAGGTTCAAGAAATTACAAAAGCTGCAGCATGAGATATAAGCCACAAGAAACATCCTTATTTAAAGGGATACAACGCCCCTTTAAATACGTGTACCCCCCCCCCCAGTGGCTGATATGAAAAAGTTACATAGTATGGCTTTAAGAGACTCCTTGTCAGATTGCACCCTAAATTGCAGACATCTGATTTTGTAGGCACATATTACAAACTGTATGCATGACAATATTTTATTTGTATAAATATGGAGATAAATTCAGCTTAATAATGATGTCATTAAAATCTATTTCATAATATATTCCAACTCGTCTCTGATAAAAGCCTCTGACAAACCCATTCTGTGAAATAACCACTCTAAATTCCTCTGCACTGCTCTTCAATTGAAGAGCCGGTGTGATGCAGCCCAAAAACACACCAACACACAGAGAAATGTTATGTATATGTGTCTCTGCAAGCTTTTAATACAGAGATGACAAACACTCAATCCCACTCACCTTAAGAGTTACGGGCGGAATAGAAGCAGGAAAGACTTGTTTTGTGTAAATCTATATGATACGACACCAAATGCTACCTGAATACTATGAATCAAAAACAGGAGAAGGCTCAAAATCAATCTCACTCTTTCTTGTGGCCTTACTAGTTTAGCAAGAAGTATGATCTATGTTCACTGCCTCGTGCACATCCATCTGTGGTGCAGTCACTTGATGTTGTGATTTTTACTCTTAATAATGGGTTTACTTTCCCGTTGAAAAGAAAATCTGATTTCGATAATTAGAAAATCCAAACAAAGTGGGATCTCTGTGTGTAACTCATTTGGAAAAAGGCTTACATGTTTCAGACTTAGTAATATGAAAGTCCCACGTGTTGGATTTAATCTGTTCTCTCTAAAACCAGTTTTTCTCTTAATAACAAAAACCCAGTTTTTGTTAGAAGTGCAGACAAACATCAATGACAAATACACACTGACTTGTGTTTTTTTTTAAATCAGCCAGTATTTTGCTTCATTCTACATAACAAGAAAAGGAGGGAAAGCCAGAAGAATGGAGGCAAAGCCGTTTGTAGTCATGAGTGAGTCACACAAAACAAAACTGCAGCAAAGTTTAGCACATTAAGGCAAGATGCACAAAGATTGTTTTTAACATGTGAATTAGATTTACAGATAAAACCAGCAGGCATGACAATCTGTAGCAGGACAGTTCACAGTGCAATGTTAAAATGAGTTCCAATCTGAAAAAATGGTGAAATGTTAAAACAAAAACAAAAATCTAAGTTTTAGTTACTGCATTTGGAAGTAATGTAAAGACAAAAGAAGGTCAGTCTTTCTCAGAGAGATGAGGAAGAAGTAGTTGCAACATGGAAGAACAGAGCAAACGTTAAAGATACCGGTATAGAGGCTAAAGTCGTCTGTCTCCTAGGCCCAGATTTACTGGATGCTCCAGGGTTTGGCGAGTTTCTGGACCCAGAGTGTTGTGTCTAAGTGAAACAGAACAACATCACCAGGAATTTCTCTTCATGCATGATTATTTTTTTGTATTTATTTAATTTTTTTATTATTTTTTTATTTATTTTTTTTTTTCAAATTACTGCAGATTTGACCCTGGTTTTGTTTTGATTTTTTTTTTTTACAAAAATACAAGATAATGTTGGAAAAAATAGAAATTTATCTTAATTTACCTTTGATTTTAAGAAAATATATCCTGTAAGGATAAGGCTTGCTGTATAGTCCTCATTTATGCAGGACAAATGAATATATAAATACAAACTTGGGGTTTCCCATTTACATATAAGTATTGCACAGCTGTAGTTTTATCACATTTCTGCTTATAAAAGGAAGTATGAGAATAAAGCATGGAGAAGCATAATATCCAAGGAAAAAGCTTGTGTACCTACCAGCTCAAGAAACGTATTCTCCAGGGATTTATACTCAGGTGAGCTCTTGTTGAACAGGTCATCAGAAAACATCATGTTAGTGACCCTCAAGCTAAAGAAAACCACTAACTCTTTGCCCTTATCCACGGTCGCCATCAGAGGTGTGGTGACTTGTCTCATGGCAGGTGCCGCTGTAGATTCATATGGACGTTCGTCAGACTCTGAGGCAAATCCGCTCCCGCTCTCCTCCTCCAGGGGCTCTGTTACCTCCACAGTCTCGTTCTGACTGGCCCCGGCTCCTTCTTCGTTTGAATTCACTGAGATGTGGGTCACTCCACCATGCCCTCCACGTTCCTCCTCGAGGGTTTCCTCTCTGTCAGCCGGGAATGGTAGAGACTCCACGTCTGCTTCTAGTCCACTGTCCTGGCCTGATGAAGGGGAGGAGATTGGAGGCTCTTTCACAGGACGATCTGGACCTGTAGGAGCTATAGAGTCTGGTGGGTCGAGGTCATCATCAGTGGGTGCATCAGTCAGCCATTCCTCAGGTTGGGAGCCTGGAGTTACCTCCTCAATGTCTTCCAGATGTATATCGTTTTCTGCATCTGTCTGTTCAGGCTCTTGTAAGGCAAAATATAGGAGCATTAGTTCATTGGTTATGCATGTTTGTAACACAAGTGTGTGTCAGTCACTGATATGTTACAGGATGCTATCATTTTTGTACTTACACAGCCAGGAAGACATTGGTACAAGTCTTTCCATTCATTTTTGAATGTTTGTCCAACCTTTAGTTAAAGTTCTCCCTACTTGTCCTAGATTCCTATGTATACCCCTCAAAATGTATTTGTGACTTTAAATTTAGCTCATAAGAACTGGACTTTCATGTTTTCTCAATTTCAATTCTTCTCAACTTGATCATTTTGTTGACTTGTTACGTCTTTCAGACACTTGGCTACAGTTTAAGGATCATAATCCATCAACTCGTTCTAACTACCTACATTTTCACGTTCATTGAGCAGGTGCAGCTGCTAACAGGTCTAATGGTTAGTCCTAGATCACTTAATAAAGAGTTAACCTTTAATTTCTCTAATTTGTTGATTGCAAAACAGGGAAAATATCTTTTTCTCAGACTTTTTCTCAGATCATTAAGTTTATAATAGTGGAAATTTTTAATAGCCATGTTAATGTTGGAAGTGACAGTTTGAACATAACTTTTACTAATTTAATACACGCTAGCATCAGTCAACTTTAATTTCCCTTCCTACAAATGGTCTAAACTGTGATTTTAAAGGGAGACTTTGCAGTTTTGGCTGTATTTTAGCACCCCCTAGTTTCCATTAGTATAGGCAAAAGTGAAACTCTTATTGCTGTGCGTTCATCTTTTTAACACCTTAATCTAACTGCTGAAATGTCTTCTCAGCCTTCATTAGTGTCTACAGGAGCGATTCATCATGAAATCAAACAAATCTGCTGTGTTAATGATCTAAAACATGCAGGAAACGTGCTGGAAGCAGATTCAGTGCTGACATGTCAGCTCCACTTAAAGTCCAACAGGGACCGGTCTGGCTACTTTGAAGTTGCAAATGAGGTATTCTGGCCACAGTGGGTTGTGGGGGTTTGAGTGACATTTCATTAACCCTATAAAGGGGTCATTTTAGCACATACTGGCTAAAGAAACTGATTTAAAAAATTTAAACAGTGCATAGTATCTCTTTAATGAGCACTGGGAAAGGTGATCACATGTTTTCAGACCTGGCTGCCCTTCACGGGCTTCCTCTTTGGTCTCAGGAGAAAATTTATTCATTTATTTATCGTTTGGCCGGACAGCTGCAACTGAATTTGCCAACAGTGTGTCTGGAATCAATGGGGGTCACACTTTTTCAGGCTTGGTACCTAAACTAGGGAATGTCCTTCCAATGGAACTTAGGCAAGCTCCATCTCTCTTGATGTTAAGGAATATTAGTTTGTAAGTCATAAAGTGATGATGATGATGATGATGATGATGATGATGATGATGATGATGATGATGTATTAAGCTGTTTTTTTTCTCAAATGTAAACAGACCTACTCATTCTATTCTACAAACTCTTGACCTTCCCTGAACATATCTGGCCAACTAATAATATTTCCTTATAGCCCTGTCGTGTCTGATCATACACTGAGTGACTTTGCAAAATATGATGGAAAATCTCATCTTAATAGATATTTAGCAGAGTATGTTGTAGTTGCATTAAGTTTTTTTTCCCCACTGGGCAGGGTGAGAGGACCCATATTTGACCAGGTGCTTGTAATTGTAATAGTTTAGTATATGGGTAGAGACTGACGTATATACAGAGTTTAAACTTTAACAACTAAAGATGAAAAGTTCAATAAATTGTTCAATATATTAATGTAAATTTTACAATATATTCCACCATATTTTTCTTCTGTAAGGGACTGAGCCGAGAACTTCTCACACCAGAGGTGTTTTGTTGCTAAATACATGAGTTCATAATGAATGAAGGACCCAGACAAGTGCAGAAGTACGGTAGAATCTGCGACGCTGACAACCAGTTGCTCCAACAGATGCTTTCAGAAAATGTGTCACTGGTTTTTTAGACGGATATGAGAGAACAATTTTATTTTTTTTTTCCCCAAAATTTCCCCCAATATATTTCTATGATGTTAGACCATCGTTAAGAAGCATGAAAAAAATGTTTTAAGCTTATTTGTTTTCCAAATTTGCCATTGCAGCTTTAAGTACATTTGAGTGTAAAGTAAAATTTACAGCCAGAGCACAAAAAGGGGTCAATACTTCATTAGAAAGTGTAAAAGTATATGTGCATGAAGGGGAAAAGCTCTCATCCTTGAAGCAATGAAATAGTCTCCATGAAATTATGGTGGGTCTGGGTTGCTCAATCATCTCACACATGTTAGAAATTGGAAATATTTTTTGATAATGCAGTAAGCACTTGGACTCTAAATGATTTTTTTCTGGGTTCAACACATTTTTTTTTCTCTCTGCACAGCATGAGTCTGTGATGACCTAACCAATAGCCTGCTGCTTGTTAATAAGTTTGAATGTGAAACTCAGTAGTGTGCTTTTCCACGTGCAACGTGAAATCACCAAGTCTAATTGTGCTTCTGCTTCCATTTCCTGGGGGAAATGAGTTTTCCCTTGTAACTATATTTGACTTTTCGTGTTTATTTTAGATAAATACTTCATCTGACGCTCGCAATTGTGCTAAAAAATTGTGTTAACTGTCTAGATCAAGTTAAACTTAGAGCTAAAATCACAAAACAGGAAAGATGTGCACATTTTATAGCTTCTCATCCTTAAAAAGCTTCAACTAAATCAAGACAACAGAAACAGCTAAGTGAGGTTTAGGTTTTCTCTTCCTAAGTTCCTCTGAGCAATCTATCAATGTCTCTAAATGGAGTCTCCACCGCAGCCTACTGTTTGATTAATCAATAAAGCTTTAAATTTTTAAACTTGGCTCTCCTTGACATCCTGCTTCATAAGCAAGCAGCTCCTCAGATTCTGCCTCACCTCCGTTGTCACATTCAGTTGGTGCAATCTCCTCCACGCTCTCTGCTCCTATTGCTGCTGTGAACTCTTCTTCTGCCATTGTCATCAACGGCGTTTCAGAAGTGACAGCAGAGGTGATCCCTGAGAAGATGTTGGAGATGGAAGGCCCTAAAGTGTGCACCTCTGGTTTGATCATCGCCGCAATGGGAAAGTCTTCTGGTGCCAGCCTGGTGTCATCTTCAACAGGGTTGATTTCAGGCTCTGTTACTGGATAAATTGTGGTTACTGCAAAAAGAAACATCTGTTAAAACATGGTAAATGGCCTGTATTTGATATAGCGCCTTCTAGAGTTCTTGAAACCCCCCAAGGCGCTTTAAAACACAAACAGTCATTCACCCATTCACACACACATTCACACACTGGTGGGGATGAGCTGACATGGGGCGCACTGACAGAGGCGAGGCTGCCGAGCACTGGCGCCACCGGTCCCTCCGACCACCACCAGCAGGCAATGTGGGTTAAGTGTCTTGCCCAAGGACACAGCGACAGACTGAGCGGGGCTCGAACCTGCAACCTTCCGATTACGGGGGCGAGCACTTAACTCCTGTGCCACCGTCGCCCCAAAAAACATCTAAAAAGCTTCACATTATTTTTACCGCTGATGCTTACCAGCCTCAAAGCTGAGCGTCTGTATGTCCATGAGAAGCTCTGGCTCCTGTTTCAAGGCCTTCACAATGATGTGTTTCAGTTTAGGGGCATTTACATCCTGGTTTGTTTCTAAGTCAGGCACCTCCAGACTGTCAGGTTTGTCACTGAGCTCCGTTTCCCCGTTAAAGACGACAGCGTAGCGTACAGACACATCCTCTGATCTGATCAACAAAGCAAATCAGGTCAGAAATCCTTAAATTCAGACTAAAAGTCCTGCCAAAAGAGACATGCTTGCTTTTATGGCATTTTTCACAGATGTCTTTGCACAGCAAAAATATTTCAACTTTTACTGAAACCGGTTTTCAAACCTTTGTCAACCCACCGAAATCCCAGAACACGTAGCTCTTTGAATCCTGGGACTTTTTGGAACACATGTAGCAACTACACAGAAAAGACGAGAATAGGGAAGGGAAAATGAGAATTTTCAACCATTTTTATGCCTCCTTAACAATCGTTATGTATCTTTGGCAAATCTTTACAAATTTGAATATAAAGATGGAATACAAAAAAGCCTTTGGTGTTTGAACTTTTTCATCTTTCTGGTAATTATTTTTATTAATTTCTTGATTTCAAACATCATATCTTGTATTTTTCCTCAGTTGCATTGAGGCATTGTGGGGGCAGTATTATGATATGGGGCTGCATTTCAAAAACAGGAACCTTTACGGGGATGCTAGTGCAAGGTTGGGGTGATCAGATTTTCAAAATTTAAAACTGTGACACCTAAATTTGTGCGTGTGTGTGTGGGGGGGGGGGGGGGGGGGGCTGCTCTAGTGGACTAGTGGCTTCTTCAGCTAGACCTTTTGTGAAGAAGGTGAGATGTGTGTGTTTCATGTTCGAAGCGTGAGAGCTGGCAGTCCTGTAATAAGCCATTACTTTGGTTAAAAATCGGGGCATTGGGGACAAAGGCTGGGTGAAATCGGGACAACAGAACGGGTTGTTAAACATCTTTGGGGACACAGGACAGATGGCTCAAAATCTGTACTGTCCCAGGTGAAGCAGGATGCCTGTCCACTGCATTGGAACAAAAGTTCCAAACCAAAGACACTACAGAAGTAGACTGGAACCAAATCCAGCAGAATCTCATGCCAATTTCATCTTTTACCCTTCCCTACAAATGTTGTCTCCCCATCAAACATGAAAGTGCTTGATATCATTAAGGAGTTTTAAAGGACCTTAAAAAATACATTACTGACCTTAAACATTTTCCAATTAGCCATGTTAAAGATTATAGCTAATAAAACACTAACATCTGAAATTTGCATTCTGCCTTATTATGTCAATCAGTGCTGAATCTGATCAAGTTTGGATATTTGATACCATTATACAAGTGCTTGTGCGCATAAAAGTGCTCACACGGTGCTTTCACAAGTATGGACTTGGGCATTTTTGACATAACCTAGGGCCGTGGTTGGCACTAAATGCACTTTGATTTATTACCATGTACTGTTATACATTCTCATGTTGTTGGTGCAGTAATATTTTGGTTGTTTTTTTTTTTGTGTGTGTGTGTCCACGTTTTTTTCTCTTTTAAAACAAAAAAGAACATTGTCTGTTCTCACCTTGTCTCTGAGCTTTGCAGTGATGTCATTGTTCTGTAGCACCTCAGGGTTGCTGAGTAGCTCACTGTATGCTGGATCTACAATGGTGATGCTGAACTCAACAATGTACTCCTCATAGTTTTCTTTTACCATGTTAGGATCTTCTTTAATCTGGTATTTAAGGAACCAAAATTCAGTTAAAGTTTATTAAATCTGGATAAAATTCATAAAAAGACAGGTTAGATTTGTTCTTATCCTTACCTCTTCAGTTTCCATTGGAAGTTTAGTCACAGAGGGAGTCCAGGTGCCTGAGAAGAAACTTGAGTTAAATTACAACAAAGACTTTTTCATCATTTAATTTATTCCATTGAGTAAAAACTTACATTTACTGCCAGGCTCTTGAGTTGCAGATATAAAACTGGAAATGGAATAAAATTGTCAAGAAATGAGAGAAATTATTTGAGGCCTATCAGCAGAAATATTTAGAGGAGTTCAAATGTGCATACCCTTCAGTCTCAGCCTGCTCTGCAACTCTCTGGGGGGGAAACATAGTCGTTCTGATGACTAAATACCAAAAAATGCAGTCTTACATGGCTACTATCACATCTGAGAGGTTTCCCTGCTTCAAAACACCTGACTCATGTAAACTGGTAATTGGCTGGCTTTTGTGAGACCATTAAAATCTGTAAAGCCATTTGAATCAGGAAAGCATCTACACCATGCACAATAGCGTTCTTGAGGTGTTAGGTTGGTGTCATGTAGCATAAATGTATGTTATACAGTTTTGGGGTGGTATTGACTATGTATGACTTACTTTGGCCACCATTTCCAGATGTTCCTGAGAACTGCTGAAGTTTTGAGCCAGGTCGTCCATGCACAGGTTCTCATGCTGACAGGTGTAAACCCACGTTCGGTACTCCTCCGGGTCTGGAACTCTGTCCAAAAAGATCCGAAACGCTTCCCAAATGGCTTCCTGGCAAACTGAAAATAAATTGCAAAACCTTTTTTAATAGAAAATGTAATTTTCAAAAAAGACAGAGTAAAAAAACTTCATCTAATTCAATGTAAAATTAATTAAAAGTGAATGTCCATGGAGATAGGAATGATTCAGCGCTTATAATTGGCTTTTAATTGCCTTCAGAGGAAATTTTACCAGTTTTAGTTTGCATTCGTCTTGTAATAGAACACCAAATATTTAAAGTAACATGATACCAGCCCAAAAACACCCATTTCCTAAATGTCAGCCTATATTTTTCACAGTTGTTGACAACATTTATTTATATTATTTATTTATTTTGTGAACATCACAGCCATGAGAACAAACAAAATCCACGGCAGCATCGTGTTCCATCTGCCTCCTCCAGTGGATTGAGCGTCACACTGTCCAATTTCCTGCTGCCTGTGGGAAATTTAGACTCTAACAAAGCCATTTCTGACGCGATGTTATTACCGCCAATGCACCAATTTAATCTGCTTCATTTTAAAATGACACTCCAAAGCAGCTGTTGATGACAAACTATTTGTATCAGTCACAGAGCCCAAAATCCACCCCTCTCAAACTGGAGGTTTTTGAACTCGGGTATCCCTTTGTCCCTCCAGTAGCATCACCCATGTAATTTAGGATGAACTAAACAGATTTGAAAGGATTTTATTTAGTAAAAACCCAGGTGTACCTCTGAGTTTGTAATAGGCCCGGTGGCTGCCAATCACTGCCTTCATCGTGTCCTGGGGGCACACCTTGACACCTGTAGTTATGAGCGTCGACCTCTTGACCCGACGTCCATCCTGCTCCGCTCTCGCGTTGGTCCCATGCCTGATGGGTCGGTAAGTGTCCAGAAAGTGGCGGTACTTTACATCCCTGAGTCCAGAAAACCCTTGGTCACGAAGTTCTGCAGAGTGACGAGATTCAGCTGGAATATTGAAACAAACACTTTCTCATTATGAGAATTTCCCAACCTCTCATTAGTAGTCGTATTTTCATGGACTCGTCGTGTTTGTGTCAGACCTGTCAGCTGTTACTAGATGATTGGTTAAAATCAAAATGTTTCTTGCTAAACTGATTTATTTATTTTTCTGTCACCTGCATTAACAGGTTCACGACCTCTCCTTGTATTGTTCCAAAAAACTTAGTTTGTTTGGTTTTGTTATTCTTGCAGTGATGACAAGTCCAGAAAAGATCTGGAGCAGAACTGAAGGAAGTGGTTTAGATTATTGGAGTGTGCACTAACCTTTGTTGGACCAGTAGTGTCAGGAATAGGTCAGCCAATGTTTACTTCCTCTAAGGAGTTTTTAATTTGACGGATGCTTAATCCAAAACACCTGAAGGCAAATTTTCAGTTGTCTGGGTGCTTTTAAGCATCATATAAAAGCAGTTTGACGGGTTTTTGGACCACTATAAATGCAGACGTATGATTTCAGATTCTAGGGTTACAGCAGTGTTTATGTTTATAGGGGCTACGTTGTGATTTTGTTGTATTGTGTTTGTTTAATCAATAGCTAAACTGCTCACTTTTACTACGTTGTTTTGATCTAATATTTTATTGTGTCTTCTTTATTGTAAAGCGACCTTGGGTGTCTTATAAATAAATGTATTACTATGGTTATTATTGGAAAAATGTTAGTCTGAGTGATGAAAAAATGCAGAAATGTTGCAAGATAGTACAATAGTATTTCCTTAATGTTTGAGGCCATGTTTTCCAATTGGAAGTTCAGAAGTCATAGAGACCTGAGCAAATTTATTGAAAAAATAGGGAATGCAACCTTTAAGTGGTTGCTCTTGTAAATTGCGCTAAAAAAGTAGCTGAGATTTACAGGTCCAGAGACCTGGGTCATTATCAGACCAGACCGTGTATACAAGCGGCTGAAAGGGTTGACTGGGCTCAGCTTTAGCCATAAGATGACGTCTTCCATCATTGGAGGGAAGTTGCCACTTTTGGATGCTCTCTGGGCACGCCCCATTGGGAACACTTGGGAGCAGACCTCAAAACAGATCATACAGCCTCTCTGACCTGGGAACACTTGAGAGGAAGGACTAAAGAGTGTCAGGGGGAGAGGCAAAGTCATGGATTTTCAAATCGAGTCAAGTCTTGATTTTAACTTTGCAAAACTTTCGTGTGCCTGTCTGGAGTTCCTTCTTGGCTCACCTTTGTGACCTGACCTTGGATAATGATGGATGGATGGATGGATGGATGGATGGATGGATGGATGGATGGATGGATGGATGGATGGATGGATGGATTTGTACAGCTGCACTCACACAACTCATGTTATCTGAGGATTTGATTTTACCCAGTTATAAAAGCAAAGTGCCGCTCTAAATTCAACCAATCTATTACGGGAAAAGTCTACTTCAGAAGAAAGGGTCTCATTGTGATGCCAGCTGGCGAATCTTACCGGACTTCTTAAGACAATAAGCCAGGATTTATGAGCCCAAAAAACACAGACTGGAGGTATCTGGACCCAAGTAACAAGCTGTGCCTTTTCTGGATTACAAAACACCAATGCAGGTTTCAGAGAAAAAAAGGAAAAAATAAGTGTAAATGATCAAATTACTCCATGATTATAGTTAGATTCAAGGCTGAACTTGATGATGAAGGTCTTCTGTTGAATAGCGAAAGCAGGGGAGTGGCATATTTGTACATACATTTGGTATTTCAAGAAAAGTAAACCTGAAAGTGCTTTCTCCATTCTTCAGGTCATGAATGACAACTTAACACAGGAACCTTAATAGCGATGCAACTTTTTAGGTCTTCTCTTTATCTTGATGAGCACCTCAGAAAAGTCATAATTTGTTTTTTGAAATGCAGCCAAAAAACCATGAATCCATAGCCTGGCAAACCAGACTATATAAATATTTTGTTTAAAACTTTGCAACTTTTTTTCTATGTTTTATCGATTTTTATAGTACCTGTGGGGTATGGAGTGCCCCTTGCAGAGTTAAACATTCATAACAAAACAGCAGTGTTTTGGGTTAGTTAGCCTATCATAAGAGGAAAAAAATGGGAGTTTGCTTTTCAAAGTCATATTTTCACCATGTTATTCATATATTTATAGATGTTAAAGTTCCAAATTAGAGCTAAATGTTTATTTTACAAACTAAATATTTAAAGGTGCATTATGTGGAATTGAAGTAAAAATTACATCCTGTGGTAGAATTTGGTTACTGCAACCATTTTATACAACTCTGAAGCGTTTTGCCAGCCGTCATCACATTACAATTGTCGGCACTGCAGCATTAGCTCGTTGAACATGGCAACCCAACACTGACTGATGGTAAACAGTAGTTACGTCCCTCCTTCCTTTGTTTTGACAATCCCCGCAGCCAGCTGCATATGAAATGTGTTTCAGTATAACCTTCCTTCCAAAATGCCTTAAACAGTAGACTCTTTTGGGATTTTCTCACTGTAAAGTTCTCACTGTATTTTTACATACTGCACCTTTAAGTCAGACCTAAAACTTTTGTTTGTAAAATTAAAATTTAATTCGCTGACTTAATATTTCAGAGACAAATATTTCATTTACAAACGAAATATTTAGCTCCAAAATTTTTTTTTTCCAAAATAAATATTTTAATACCATCTCTGTATTTATTTTGGGACTAAACCTAAATATTGATTTTGCAAACAAAATGTTTAGCTCCAACATAAATATTTAATTTGGAGCTAGCTCAAAATAAAATATTTATTTATTTAATTACCTTTTTATTTTACAAACTACATACTTAGGTCTGACCAAAATATTTAGTTTGTAAAATGAATAGTTAACCTTAAATTACATATTTAGCTTGCTAACTAAATATTTAGGGAACTAAATATAAACATATGAGTAACATGGTGCAAATATTACTTAGAAAAATTAACTCTCATTTTTTATTTTTTTATTTTATTTTATTTTTTGATAGGCTAAATAACCCAAAATACAGCTGCTAAATTATGACTGTTTGACTTTACAAATAGCGCCCCCATGGTGTGGCTGGAGGAAAAAGGTGCAACTAAGTTACCAGAAATTACCAGGATCAACACAGAATGTTGTTTTTGTTGTTTAAATAACCATTTCTATTCATTGAAGCTTTTCCCAGTCTTGTTTTGGACCAAAAAAGAGTTTTTCACATGATGACCACATTTTGTCTAAATACATGTTGCAAATATACAAAAACACTATACGAATTAATAATTCCATGTCCAACTCAAATCCATTCTGTCATTCTTTTCAAAACATGTTGTGTTTTAGGGTATTTTGTCACGCCAGGTCTTTTGAAACATTGTTTTGGGGGGGGGGGGGCTCAGTAAGTCTGGCATACACATGTACGAGCTGCAGCTCCACAGGAGGGAGTGTTTAGAGTGGACATTAATGCCCTGAGCATCCATGAAAAGGCCTCACAAGAGAATTACACGCCAGAAAAGATTAGCGTCCTGCAGCACGAGGAACAGAATAGCTTTTGTTTCCTGTAGGATAACGAGCTCACCCGGACATGACTCACTGAACAGGACCGCCAGGGTACACTCCAAATGTTAAACCACCTTTCCTTACAGAACACCTTTCATATGTCACGACCGGTTTAATTTACAGCAAACGTTCGCTACTTTAAAAATTGATTGCCAGCTGTTTGACATTTGCCTGACGTCTGAAAATCAAACATCTCTCTGAGATTGAGCTGGCATTTTGGACCTGTGGTATTTACTCACTGTACTGTTTTTATTGACACAAATACAAAAGAGATGAAATAAAAAAATTGAAAAATGGTGCAAATTTTCCAGGAATCTGCAAAGCAAAACATTTAGGAATCTCTTATCTCTTGGCTTACCTTTGATTTGGCTTCCTTGAAGAGTAAACAGACAAAAAGAGAGAAATACTCCCGACTTTAAAAGCATGATGGTTGAAATTATGTGCCCTTCATTTCCGGAGTAATCATTTGTAGAGAGAACGTTGGAACCAACAGTAAAAATCCGGATCTCCTTATCTCAAGCCCATTAATAGAGTTTGTAAAAGTCTCCTCACTTGTAGCACGCACGAAGCAAATCAGTCCAGCTCATTCCAAAAAACTCCACTCCGACTTTGCTCCTGGTTTCTGGTGCTGCAGGATCCCAGTGGAGAATAGAATCCACATGGATGCACTCAAGGAGCAAACAAGGAAGGTTGACTGATAAAAGAGGAGATGGGATCCGGATGGAAATGTGGCTCCAGAGTTTACTTCACAGTGACGAGGTTAAAAAAGCGGGCTCCATTTGGAGTCTAATCTCTTTACCTTCTTCTTGCTGCTTTGTAATCCCTGTGGGGCCACGTGGCCTCCCTGGCCTCATCCTGTTAGTCACCTTCTGGACCCTCATCTGTCTGCTGGGCAAAACTTGGGGATCTTCCAATTCCTCCACAATGGAAGAGGGCTTGATCAGTGACACTCTTTGGGAACCCCTTTCCTGTCCAAGCTCTTTCCATTTCTCCCTCTCTCTCTCTCTCTCTCTCTCTCTCTCACTCTCTCTCTCTCTCTCTCTCTCTCTCTCTCTCTCTTCTCTCTCTCTCTCTCTCTCTCTCATCTCTCTCTCTCTCCTCTCTCTCTCTCTCTCTCTCTCTCTCTCTCTCTCTCTCTCTCTCTCTCTCTCTCTCCTCTACTGTGCTGAGCTCCAGTCCCTTTGTGTGCCAGAAAAATGTGTTTATCAGTCATTTCTTCATGAATTAGGTCAGTTTTGCAGCTTCGGTCTTTACAACACCGACTAAAACTTTGTGTTATCCTTAAAGGGATTGTCCTTGCAAATGTTTCTTTGTCTTTCTGTGCAGTACTCTACATATTTATACTAAAATCAAGGTTTAAGTTGCAGGTAGCCTTAATGGAGGACTGAGTTGTGTGTGTGTTTGTGTTGTTAAATGAAACCTGACAGTTTCAGTAACTCCAGTATTTGACCCTGATCTAAATCCTCCAGGATTACAGTCCGGGTCACAAATCAGGGTCGGTCAAGATTAAATCTGTAATTTTAGGCGCAGGGTGAAGATTAACAATAAATAAAACATATCGAAAGGAAGCTCAAGTCCACAGAAAATTGAC